AACCGCGACCTCGACGGCCCTTAGATGACACACCATAGTTATATAGTTAAACGCACGCATGAGCACATGCGCGGCCCTACCCTTAGCGGAGGGTCCAAACCCGTGGGTTCTGGCTAGCCCACCGGTTCTGCGTCCGATGAAGCTTTAATAGTCTCGGGACTGAAAGCGAAAACATCAGTTAATACAAGATACAAGAATGTGAAAGAGTCGACATACGATTTTTTATAAATTTAAAGATTTTACAAGATAAATCCGGGTATAATTTCAATGAAGGTGAATACAAACACAATGTCTCATGGAACAATATCAGAATTTTGTAAAGCGTTCAAAATTTCATTAATATTCTACAAAATTTCATAAACTCAAAAAAAAAAATTAATATAGTTAATATAAGAAACAAACGGGAGAAAATGGAAAGAATAGAGGACATAATGATAACCAATGTGTATTCACAAACACTAGAATTAAGTGACCATAAGAAAACTGATTTAGATGAACTCTTAAATAAAAACTTAATTCCTAGTTATTACGTCATCATCATCATTTCAGCCTGTTTAGATAGAACATAGGCCTCCCCCACAGACTGCCACGAAGTACGATCCTGAGCCAACTGCATCCATCGACTTCCCGCACATTTGCACAGGTCGTCACTCCATCTAGTGGGGGGTCGTCCTACACTGCGATGGCCAGTACGAGGCTGCCTCTCGAGATTTTTATAATTTGATTCTTTAATTACTTACGTACAATAATATTTTTTTTTAGTTTCTTTTTAATAGATACATTGTTAAGTTTTGTATGACCAATTTAAATATTATTCACAGATAATAATTAGAACTTGATAAGACTCTTATGATTAAGATTGTTATGAAGAATATGAGCAATACTTTAATGCTTAAGTACAGCTAAGAACTTGATTTTATTGTAAGCGATTATTGAGACTAGAAGCTACCCTTATATCCTTTACAACCTGTGATGTAGAATTAATTAAAGATTACTTAGTAGGAATAATTATTTAGTAAGTTTACTTTCTAATAAACCTTATTTACTATCTTTTATGGTTTACGTATTAAATAAAAAACCTGAAATTAATCTCAAATTTATTAATACAGGGACTTACTAAGGAAAAACCCAACATTTTCACCGTATATTCAGAAACAGAGAGACCTATATAACAAAGAGTCTTTTAAAAAATCTGAGGCTTTAATATTATATAGACCTAATTTCGACTACTTTTTTTTAAATAATTAAAAAAATACTTCGTTGACTTTTTTTACTTTATTTTTTTATCAGGCATGTAGACAAATAAGTTAACAATCAAATAAAATTATATTTTTATGATTTTTATGAAATTTCATTCTCATAACCTTATTTTTTTACAAAAAGCACAAATGCACAAATCTTTATTTAACGTTTCCCAAAAATTGATATTTTTGAAATAGGTCACTATAATTCTAAAGGTGCGAAATGAACTTTACATTTAAGGTTTTTACGTAAGGGTGTTCTAAAATTCTTTGTTTTGGAAAATTTGATAACTCGTTAAATATTGATGTTTAAAGAATGTAAATCTTTTAATATACAATTTTAAAAAGTTATCCTCTATATGTGTGTTCATTTACTGTCGCAATGGTAAAGACACGCTGTATGTATAAAAAAAGAATTGCGTTAGTCTCGCTAAAACTCGAGAACGGCTGGACCGATTCGACTAATTTTGGTTTTGAAATATTTGTGGCAGTCCAGGGAAGGATTAAACGATGAGAAATTATGGAAAAATTGCACCGAAAATCGAAATTGCAACAATTTTATTTTCCATACAAACTGTTCCTATTCAGATTCACAAGTTCCCTAGAAATAATTTATATGGCAAAATAACGTTTGCCGGATCAGCTAGTTACTTTATAAAGAGCCGTTTAGCTCAGTGGCTAGAGCGTCAGGCCGCGAATGCCGAAGACGTGGGTTCAATTCCTACAGCGGCGACAATCTTTTCGTACTTTTTCTACATGTTTTAAAGCTCTGATGAATAAACCGACAAACAAGATACGAAACGGTTAAGTTGTACTATCGTGCAACGCTATGGATGTGGGAAATAGGTAAACGTATTGGCACAAAGTTTATTGTTTTAAACACTAATAGGCAACATTCGAATGGAAATGAACGGACGATAAACAACTTTATTCTACTTTTTTGAGATCGAGTCTCGTTTTAGCAAAAATACGCAACTGGATGTCTCGAAATGTTTGTTTACGTTTACTCAACTGGTAAGTCCACTCTCGTGAACGAGGTTCCATTATTAGTGTTTAAATATCACTCTACCGCTCTTCTTTTGTGATTGTAGCTCTTTATAAAAGACCTATCAGATTCCATTCATCAACCGACTTCAAAAGCGGGGAAGGTTCTCAATTCGTCTGTATTTTTTTTATTTTCGTTAGCTCAGAACTTTCGACTGAGTGAACCGATTTTGATGATTCTTTTTTTATTTAAAAGCCGGTGCTTCCCATGTGGTCCCATATGAATTTCATTGGTATTGGATCTTGGGAATTTTTGAAGTCTGTTTCGATTTTCGTAAATCAAAAAATTGACTTGTTCTCACTATTCGGTCGTATGTAATCAGGACGAGGCGACGAAATAATTGGGTCGCCGACTGTAACATTACCCGCCCGTCTTTGCAGGCCGGGTAAACCGCTATCGATCGGTTTCGGTCGGCGGATCTTTAGCATTGCCGGCTATCTATCAGGAGCTATGTTTGTTTGAAGAAAAGAGCAGTATTCTATGAGTTCACTTATGTTTACCAGTTCAATTTAGTATTAGTTTATGCTACAAATGAATTAGGTTTGAAAATAATCGTCAATCGTACGGTAACAGTCTTATAACGGATGATTGTTTTATAATCGTCCGTTTATAACAACTTTGTGCGCCCGCGATTGAAATGCGATGAATCGCTTAAGTAAATTCATGAAAAAGCATGTTTGTAAGTAGTTCATTCTTCTGTTCTGTTTTGTTCTAACCATAACGGTAAAATAACAAAAACAATAAAATTTTTCTACATATTTTAATTAAAAAACAATATTATTGACCGGTTCTTTTTCTCTCACAAACACACAAGAAGGAACTCGAAGAAAAGAATCGAACTTCTGGGGTCTTCTGCTTTTGGGACGGCCCAATTTCCCTCCTGAGCTATTGTAATCTTGTAAATGGTGGCGAATTTACGTTCCTATTTTAATGATATTGGACCAGTTTTTCATTGCCTGAAAACAGATCGATTTATCGCCCCTGATATTCCCTGTGTACTAGATTTCATTAAAATCGTTTGAGCTGTTTAATCTACATGTATAAAAACTCCTTGTTTAAACTTATTAGATAGATAACGTTTGACAGTCAACAGCTTAATATTATTAATTTAGATAGTTCGCGATGTTCACATCATATTATTTCATAAACGTTACGTATACATGAAAGTTGATCCGAACTTGGATTGATTGATTGAGCTATTTTATGTAGGTACATGTTTTATATAAATAAATAAATAAAAATTCTTTATTTGCAAAGATATGGTTTACAATAAGATGTTCATATAGTTAGAGTATCACAAATTCTGCTTAAGAGCGTGTAAATCTTATAACTAGTTAATGTTACAATTAACTATTACAATTATATTGACATAAGCTCGTTTCGGACATGCAATATATAATTATATAATTATACATGCAATATATATATATTATATATATATATATAATATATATATATATATAATAATATATATATATATATATATATATATATATAAATATATATATATATATATATACATATATTGCATTACTGCTTCAGAGCTTTATCCGCTGTTTTGGTATGCAGAGTTTATTTGGACGTCTAGAACTTTTAGTGGCTATTTCGCTTTTTTTGTTAAAATACATTTGAGACTTTTTAAATACAAACATGCAAATGTCAAATATATATTGGCAAGGAAATGGAAGTATATTATATTTTTTCAATAATGGTTTACAACTATCTAGGCGGTTCGCTCCACATATAGCTCTGAAGCATTTTTTTTTGGGCACGAAAAACATGAATAGAATCGACAGAATTTCCCCATATAATTATACCATACTTGAGTATGGAAGCTACATATCCGTGATATGCTAATAAGGCTGCATCTATAGACACCGTTTTTGCTATATTTCCGAGTACATATACAAATTTTTCCATTGTTAGACATAAACTATGCACGAGCTCTTTCCAAGTACATTGTTGGTCTATAATTATACCCAGAAACTTAGTGGAGTATACTTCTTCTATCTGTTATGATATGATATTTTTAGAGAGTCACGTGTGCTATTGTGTGCTTGGAATTGCATTAGTTTTGTCTTAGTGGCATTGATTGACAAGTTTTTCCATTCTAGCCATTGTATAGTTCTTTCTAAGGTCTTATTTACTTCAAATTCATAGTCTAATGTTTTATTATTTTCTATAAGTATGGTAGTATCATCCGCAAATAGTATACATTTGTGTTTTATTGCATTTGGGATATCGTTTATGTAGCTCAAAAAAAGTAATGGGCCTAGTATTGAACCTTGGGGTACACCGTAGGCGTTATGTAAGAAAGAAGATCTGTGAATTTTAGTGAACCTACCTAAAGTTTCACAAGTTTCTACACATTGGTAACGATTAGAAAGATAACTCCTCATCCAATCCTGTGCAACTCCCCTGATGCCCTGCTCATCGAGTCGAGAACGTCGAGAAGCATATTATGTAAAACAAAATCGAATGCTTTTGTAAGAATGTATATTCATGTTAGTGTCACGATTGCGCTCTTAATTGGTTAAGCATTGAGAAATAAACTTATCTGAACATTTAAAAGGTTTTGAGTAATGAATTGAAAAAAAAAATGCTAGCAAGGAAGTATGTACATACCACATATATTTCCTTGTCCGCATTTAATTCTAATATGTGGGAGTAGGCATCATTGGATGCATACAAATAACCGTTCTATCCGCTTGCAGACAATGCCCACCGACACTGATGACGCCGCTGCGGCGGATAATCCTCGACGAGGTGCAAAGGGCGGCGAGGAAACACCCCAACGAATTCGGATTCCACCCCGATGAATCAGGTAGACCAAGGCGCTCAGATCTTTTTAGGGTTCCGCACCCAACGGGAGGTTTAAACGGCACCTTATTAGTAAGACTCCGCTGTCTGTCTGTCTGTCCGTTAGTCCGTCCGTCAGTCCGTCCGTCTGTCACCAGGCTGTATCTCATGAACCGGTGATAGTTAGACAGTTGAAATGTTAACAGATTATGTAGTTCTGTTGCCACTAAAACAACAAATACAAAAAAACAGTTTTTTTTAATATTTTTTTGTTAGGTCGAATTCGGTAAAACATGTATATTCCTTTCTTTACGACGGCGATGATTCATCACTTGCGGGCTCGTAAACAATGTTTCAAGTTTTGCGAGGATACGATACCATTTATCGTATACTAGTGTTCTGTTTGCTTTGTTATGTCATCGCTTGTTTAGATATCTAGTCTTATCGCTGGCTGATATAATGTTTGTGTGCATGTTTTATTTTGTATCGGTTGCTTAAAGTACAAAATCAAACAATAGACTTCACAATAGCATATTAAGAAAATTTTGAAAGAGCCCTGCTCGGATAAGCGCATAAGTGGCATTAGGCAATAGTATAATATATTGTAATATCGGCGTAATTTCTCAACCTACTTCGCATTCCAATATACAGTTTCAGTGATCTAAAAACGTAGATCTTCGGTAGCGTCGTGACAAATATCAGCTTACGTCGGTTTGCGGTCGTGTTCGAGTATCGAAATGCAATTTATTTTATAATTCTCCCTGAGCTCGCATAGTTACGACTCAACTCGCATATAAAATATCATACTTGCAGTGTCCGTTCGTTATGAAGGACTTTAGAATGCATGTTTCCAGATAAAGAGCACTTTAGTGGTATTTACTTCACATACGGGGGATTAGACTTGAAGCGAATCACTATGTTCATTAACTGTTTAAATGCTTTTTTGGTTATAAAATTGGTTAAATTTTTTCAATGTAACTATATTTTATACTGTAAAAATAGTATGTTTATGTATTGACATAACCAAATGTTACTATACTAAAATCAGAAACATCAAGATTTTCACCTGTCCGCTTAGGGTGGAATGCCCTATACTTGGACGGAAAGTGTTCATTAGTTCAAGTTCATTAGTCATGCCTTTTTTTGGATTATGCTTTTCGTGCATAATCTAATAAACACTTTGTAGTGTTTGTTTGATTGTAACAATGTTGTGTAATAATGCTATATGGTTGGAAATCATTCATAAAAAGAAGCTGAAAAGAACAACGCAAGGCCGATGTGCTCAATTAATATTCACGCTCGATTCGAATAGACTCAATGACGAATTCATTCAACTTGCTTTGTACATAGCCACGATTTTACAGTCAAAGGATCAATATCAGCGATGCCCGGGCGAGCGAGAGCAATTTCGCTCGATGCATCTCGGAATACTTGATCTAGATTCCGAACCTAGCTCGGGAATAAGTAAGCGTCGGGGTAGAAAGCTTGGATCACATAACAATGTTCTACTTTACGTTTCGTTCGAAATATGTAGAGAGAATTCTGATATCGACTCACTGCTCAAAGCATTTTTTTATTTGCTTTTGAACGCATGAAATTTTGAATAGTCTTCGTTATATAACTTTGATTTACATTGAGAAGCGTCCGCACTCAAAGTATATTAGTAAGAGATAATTTTATTTATAGAAATTGGTCAATATCAAGTTAGCAATGTAAATAAAAATTATTATTTTTGTTTAAATTTATTAATGTTATTAATGACACTTAAGTGTTTTGGTTTTTTCGCTTGTCATTCCGATAAAATTAAACGAATAAATTTAGTTTTCCAAACATTGCGATTTTACAATAAAATAAGCATTTACCGTTTCGTCTTTATATATTTTATGAAACAAAGTGGATTCAGCTTGATGTGATAGGAAAGTTTCTTCTCACGTAACAGCATAAAAACACGGATATAGCTGAGCGAAAAAGCTAATTATATGTTTCAAATCCATTGTCGGGTATATCCTTCTGATTTATAAAGTTTCTAAACTTGTTGTTAAGTCTACGCATAAAACCCGACTTCTAGTAAATTCCATCACATGGAATATACTAGAAATCTGAATACAATATGTATAACTGATCCGTACTATTATACGCCGCTAACTTTCGTGTCTAGAGTGCCGAAGGATTTGCGGCGACGAGACTGTAATGCATGTTGATCTTGAGTAAGTAGGTCTTATCGATTGATATCACTGAAGGTATCACTCTGCGTTGCGTTGCAGCGTTCATAGCGCTGCGGCTGATGCAGGCGGTGGTGGCGCGCGTGAACGCCGTCTGCCTCCGCTACCTGGACAACGCGCGGCTGGACACGCTGCCGGCGCCGGCGCCGATGGAGCGCGACGCGCGCACCATCGCCGCCGCCACGAAGAACCTGCGCCGCGTCATGGAGGACCGGCACGTGGTCATCGGCGACCTGGAGGCGCTGTTCGGCATCGAGGTGGGTTCGCATCTCTATGCACTCGGCAGACGTCACTACACTTACACACCCACACACTCACACACAGACATACAGAAAAACATCGTATATGAATGCTCTGCAGTTCGTCTTCACTTAAGACCACGACTTGCGACGTATTAACTGATGTTAATGCTTTCAGTCCCCAGACTATTAAATCTTCATCGAACGCAGTACCGGTGGGCTAGCCAGAATCCACGGGTTTGAGGCCCTCCACAATTGGTAGGGCCACGCATGTGTTCATGCGTGCGTTAGCTAAGGAGTGTCGCCTACGAGCTATTCTTACACTAGGTAAACGCACCTTACAAGACGGTACTCGCAACTTCCCAATTACTGCACAGCTTTGAATAGTACATTAATTAGTTTTAGTTGGGTGTTGTCCTTGATGTTGGTGGAATAGTATTAAGAGCCCACATAAAGCGAGAGCGTCCTAATGCGTGTTTTAGCCTTAATTTGGGGCCAAGGTCAAATTTTTAAATTGCCGTCACTGTGACACAGTGAGCCCACGGAAACGTTAGCATTTATTCGGTTCGCCAAACTAAGTTTCGTAGTGTCGCTTAGACTGAAAACATTAACACCAACGTAAAGTTTTATTTGGACTTATGACTCGATGTTGAATCGATACGATTTGTATGATGTCTAATGCACGTTCATTAATGAATAAGTCTGTTTTGAAACTATTGTGTGATATAGACAGCCCTTTTTAATTTATCGTTTTTAAATGGAACTGGCCATTAGTCGTGCACTTGCATTAAGTTTAAAGCAGTGCGTTAATGGGGCTTGATGTCGCTTCACGTTAGTAAATCTTTGTTTTCAACTGGTATGAGATTAAAATGTAGCGCCAGTGATAAAAAACATACTGACGCATGTGTGAACTATGCGTTTGAAATGTTGTAATAAATTGTGATGTTTATAACATAGAGAATTTATACTCATGTATAGAATTTCATCACAGAAACCGAAATATAAAAGATTATTATAATAATCAGTGTATACATAGAGTCGAGCTGTCGGCTATTTTATATGAATATCAAAGAGGTTTAAATCAAGAAACGCAGACAAATTCTGTTTTGTCTTAAAGCTTTTGCCAAGATCAAATAATACGAGCAAGATTGTATATAAAACGCGACATAAACAATTCACGATTAATATTGAACAATTTATCGAGAATCTTTGAGGAATAATATGCTTTTCGGAATATTTTTATCCGTGGATAAATATTACTCTGCTTAATTTTTTTTTAAATTTCAAAGGGTATAGTGTATTCTTAAAAATTATGTAGTATTTGTATTTGATTACGTATTGTTTGTAACTCCACAAACATGAATGGGTATGATATGTGAAAATGTTAGCTATTGACAACTAATCTCGGAAAATTTCATACTAATGTGAATGCGTAATTTTAATGGAAAGTGAAGCTGCAATCATTGCCTTGAACTTCATCGTTGTCATGATTACAAAGAGAACTACTAACGTAGTGATTGGCTTAATTAAAATAAAATGAAATCGTAAATTGATTAAATGGTTATAATTTTCTTAAGTTTTATTTTCACTTTTGACGCGACTTGCCAAGATTTAAACTGAAATTTCGTTTAAAAACACATTTCTGTGAATTTAATCGTTGTGTTTATTGATCTTATTTAAAAGGCCACGACGCTGGCAGATATAAAGGTGTTTGTTTACCTTCAGAGTGCCAATTATAATGAGTAAATTCAGTTTAATTTATGAAAGTAATAACATTAGTATCAAACTGTTATACAAGAATCATTATCTAATTTATAAAATTCTCGTGTCACGGTGTTTGTAATTTAATTCCTCCGAAACGGCTCGACCGATTTTCGCGAAATTTTGTGTGCATATCGGCCAGGGTGGAGAATCGGACAACTTCTATATTTCATCCCCCTAAATGTAAGGGTGTCCCACGCGAAACATTTTTTTCTACCCTACAAATAATTTATATGGAAAAACAACGTTTGCCGGGTCAGCTAGTTTCCATATATTTTTTTGCTTTCCAATTTATTATATGATGCAACATTTACAATACGAGTACGGGTTTACAATATTTCAACCAACATGATAGTTTTGTATAATAAGTTTCACTAATTCTGTCGTAAAGAACAGTCCTCATGTAAGGTCTGTCATATAAGGTTTCTGCCTAACATGGAAACGCGATTCTTCTCTTTTTTCTTCTTCTTCTTTCTGTGTTTTTCTTCCTCTTGGCAGTGGCTTTGTAAGGACTTGAATGCTTCATTTTCGATGTGATCATTTTAGAATTCTTAATTACCTTACTTAAAATGTCCTATAATTATAACTCATAAGTACTTTATTCGACCTACAGTGGCTTTTGTGTGAGTACATTTAAAAAAATGACTCTTAATCTGTAGTTTCATTCTTTTATTATATGTTACAATTGCACCAACACAAAATTTAAATTATTCGAACAACTTTTGAAGATTTGCTGGTTTTCACAAAAACATCTGCGTATTGTTTAGTTAGTAGAAATTATCTGTAATATTTATGCAAATACATATTACGTATGGTTATACATGAATATTTTTAACGATTCATCTTTTTAAATCATATTTTGTACTCGCCAAAGGCCTATCTTGTGTCCTTGAATGCTGTAATCCATTCTTTGCCGCCAACTACAAAGAAAATTATTAATAAGTGTTAACTGACATAAAAATGGAAGTAATATAATAATGTAATAATGTAAAGTAACAGCCTATAGATATTCACAATATGTGAATGCTCTGAAGCTGTGAAGCTCTGAAGCTGTGAAGGCTCTGTACAGAAGGTATTAGAGCATAGCCCGGGATTCGGTCCAGTTGCGAATTGGCTCACATCGCATACCTTTGATTATTTTAATGTTTTAGACATGATCTCCCCTGTAGTTTTATTTCCCTTGACTTAAGGTAAATCCGTTAATAAAATTTAGAGTTGGATGTTGAATCTCAGAGAATTTGAATTAAGGTCTCCAAGTACAGTGAATTTATACGTGGTCCACCACTAGCGCGAACTAACTTTAAACTAGCGAGTTTTTTTACTATGTTAGTTTAGTTAGTATTTCAGTTAAGCGTTCGGTATGTCAAACGATTTAATTAGATACTTATTTATTATCCGCTTGTTTGAAAATCGCAAAATTCGAAAATCGGGAGTACATGTATGTTGAGTCTGTTTCTTTTTTGACCACTTGCATACGCCTCAAGGAATGCGGGTGATCGTACACGAGTTATGCGACGTTTTATTTTCGCACTCGAAAACGTTATAACGGAAAGAATACACCTCGGACATGCACTCTGGCGGTCACGTAATGACATTCGACCGGCAAAGATTCGAGATGGGCGCGATTTTGTGTACGAATTTTATCTCACACTTTGTCGAAGATTTTTTTTTTTCGAAATATCGTCGTCACCAGATTACGGTTCAGTACATGTTCTACATAGATCTCACCTACATTTTAGAATGGAATCAATTCGTATTACAAAAGTTGTGTGCGGTTCACGGTGAATTGAAATATACATTTTACAATCGCACAATATTTTTTTCGATCATTACCTTCGCCAAACGTTCTACGGACTGAAAGGAAAAACGTCAGTTAATTCATTTACATTATTAAGTCTTTGCAAATAATAGTTATACAGAAGTACCACATTTTACAAAGACTACCTTTATTTTAAGATGTACTTACTTTTTTTAAAAATAAAACTAATAATACGGATTTAATATAAAAAAAAATTTGATCATGACTGTTTCGGGACAAATCGTCGAGAGTTAAAATTCGATATCAAAGTCGAAACATCATAATAAATCGTTTTGTTTAACAATGTGTAGTTGATCGTAAACTCAAGAAATCTTTACTCCAACCCGATCAGCTAACAGTCTTCGTCCCCGCCCACCAGACCGTGCGAGACAATTGGAATTACGAGAGAGACAAGTTCACGTACACCCCCCTCTGCTCTCTTCTTTATGTCCCTTTAGCGAAAATTCTTTTCGCAATGGTTGTCTGGAAGAAATCGCTTTCGGAGCGATAAGACCGCCCATTGTACAAATGAATGTAATTTGTTATTATTCACTTTTATGTATTTGGTGCAGAAAGAAGTAGAATGAATAGATAAATAACAGTCACCTCCGCTTCCAGACTTCGGTGCCGACCAGCTTTTACGCGGTGTACGACGGCCACGCCGGCTCGGCGGCGGCGACCTACTGCGCGGCTCACTTGCACCAGTATCTGGTGGAGAGTCCCCACTTCAAGGTGGACCTGAGGCGCGCGATGAGGGACGCCTTCCTCAGGACCGACGCCGAGTTCGTGCGGAAGAGCGATCAGGAGGTATGGCAACGGCTCGATGACTCAGCGGCGCAGTCGCAAAGGTATCGGCTTCGAGGGTTCGATTCCATGGGCCAACTGTTTGTGTGGCCCACGGATTATTGTTACGTATCTGGGTGTTCATCGACGTGAATTGGGCCACGCAACGGTCGTCCATTCTGTATGTTCACCGACGTGAAAATGTGGTGTAGCCACGCAACAGTCTTTGCTGTTGCACGAATGGGCAGGTCCGTCCGGGGAAGTACCACGATCTCACAGAAAACCGGCGTGGCGTGGAAGTGTTACACTTTATTAACAGTTGCAAACGCATCTGTAGGTAACCCTACGGGTGTTGCACATAGGCGGCGGTGATAACTTAAGATCAGGTGTATGTTGTAACATAAAAAAATATTATATTTGTAAAACATCCTTACAAGGCAGAATAATATCCTACAACTTACGGCTACTCAGTTCCTAGTATGTTAACTTTTACTATGCGAGCACGTATAATATTTCGCGTAGCGATATATCACGCTACGGAAACAGAAGAAGTTAAACACTATTCAAACAAGAATAAATAAAGATTACTCATAAAAAATAATTCTAGCATATATATATTATTTAACTCCTCGAATATAACCCACGAATATTGTATGCGTGTATATGTACACGCATAATCTTGAAAATAACAACATGACTTGCATACAATTATTATAACGGCTACTAGTGGGATATTTATATATTTTTGTATAATTAAATTCTGAACACATTCGCACTGGACTCTGTACTACTACAGTGTTACTTGTACATCACAGACAATATTAGATTTCTAGCAAATAATGAAAGGCAATTTTTGAAAGCCCACCCGCCCTATAGACTCCTCCTTTCTATAGACCTGGAACTTGTGATAATCACAAACATTTTCCGTTAGGGATTGTTTCTGCAACACAGCCAACGTGGGTAATTAGGGCCCTTTATAATAATGACACCTGTAAAGTGAAAAATTATCACGCTTGGAGGTCTGCTGCATATATTATACACCAATTACAAAACAAAGATATTTTTGGGACAGCTGTTTGTTGAATACACCTGTCCCATTATTTGCTTGTACAATAAACGCGACGGTAAATATTGAAAGAGTAAATTATGGTCGATACGTGAATATCGGACGTTATATTTTGTACTTCTATATTTGGATTGCAATAAGCTGCTGTTAATTATTAACAAAACAGTAGAAACACAACATTATATATTTGTTCCGCAAATAAATAGAAAACGACGCGTAAATATGTGTGAATAATCTTATATTTATACATTATATAAAGTTTTACATTCTTAATCCGAATAATATGAAATAATACAAACATTAATTCATATTAGGCGAACTTAATTTTGACGAATAAAAGAAATCTGTACAATAGGCGGCTTATCGCTAAACGGGCGGCTAGGCGGCTTATAGCTGGTACGTTGTCGGTAGCGCCGGTATCCAGTCAGATAACAGCTACCGATCGAGCCGAGGTCCCCTCTCGGGGACCCTTGAGCCTGATCACTCCATGGAGCGCCCGCCAAAGCGCCCTTAGAGCTTGGCGGCCTCCCAAACCGGTGAAAATAATAGCGTGACAGCCCGAGCCGAGGTTCCCTCGGGCGCCCTTGAGCTTAGTCACCATAACGCGTAATAATAATACGCCGAGGTTCAGGCTAGGCGCCTCGAGCGCCCGGCCACCTCATGCCCGTCGGATCTGTAAAGGCCCCTAAGGCCAACAGTGGCTCATCCAGCCAAAAAAAAGCGCCGGTTTGATGGGTTCGGTTCCCTTCTCGAAAGTGGTGTTGAGTGGTACGTTGTCGGCAGCGCGCCTGCGGTGGCAGCACGGCGGTGGCGGTGGCGGTGCGGGGCCGGCGCCTGCTGGCCGCGTGGGCGGGCGACTCGCTGGCGCTGCTCGCCAAGAGGATGCGCCTCATGCAGCTGGTCCACCCGCACAAGCCCGACCGACAGGTAATACTGGAGCTAAGCCCAATCTAACACTGCCCTCCGGGTTATTAATGCTGTTAGGAACCGTAAACGTACAGTCGATAATAATAAAATAAATATTTAGTTTTTGCAAATATAAGAAATCATCAAATGGTAATTATAAATAGACTGAGATAACAAAATAAGAGTTTATTAATCTAATTTTACGAAGCTGGATTGATAATAGAAATCGCTGACGCATGCTGCCGCCAACAACGGCTTCATTAATTAACATCTCACCATGTAGCATTCATCATAAACGGGCGATGGCAATTAACAATACTTCATCATCATCATTATCATTTCAGCCTGTTTGAGTCCACTGCTCGTCCCCCACATCCTAATAACAATACTTATAAAATTGTACATCAATAACATGAAAGAATGAGGATTAAACACCTGTTCATAAATTAGGGTTTCTCAATCGAAATTAAAAAAGCTGGGCTGATTACAACAGTAGGTTGGGGCGAAATTAAATTTTAAACATTGCTGCCAATAACAGTTTGATTAATGAAAAACTTATCGTATAGCATTAAATATTATCAAACAATGGCAATTAATAACTCCAATCATATAAATATTATGTATCGACAGGATGAAAGAGAGAGGATAGAGTCCTCTGGCGGCACTATTATGTACTACGGCACATGGCGAGTGAACGGTCAGCTGGCTGTCTCTCGGGCGATTGGTAAGTTTTCATTCTTAATATATTCGCGTGAATTTGTGATGTTCTTTCTCCTGCACTTATGGCCAACCCACGTAGGTCTGGTAGGCACATTATGTGTATTATGTCGTTAATGGTGTTGGCTAGGTTTTTCACGACCTGCCCGACGCAGTATTACCAGCTGTGAAACAACAATACTCTTAGGAGTAATTAAAAAATCCACTAAAATTCAAACCAAAACCTCCAAAATGAGCCTAAGTCACATTTTTTTACTATCATACAAGGTAAAATAATTATCTCATAAAATTGACTAGTCCCGTGTAGATTTATTTATCAAAAAGTGTTAGTAAAATTTAATTTTTAAAAATATTGTCAAAAAAATGAGTCGTCACGGGACGCCTGGCAGATGTGAAACATCGACATTATTTTGAAAAAGTAATATGCAGAAAAGAACAGATTGTGATAGGAACTAAATATGTCATAATGATAAAATAAAATATTACGATTTTTTTCCAGATAACGATGACTATTTATTTAATAAACATGTATTTTCATTAAATACAAAAATTTACGAATTTATTTCAAACCGTGACTACTTAATTCGTTTAATCAATGACTTCGGTAATAGTACACACAATTATTTATAGTTAATTTAATTATTTATTTTAATTTAAATTAACAATTAAAATTTGAGTAATTAATCGTACACACTACTGCATATAGACTGTATATATATACCATCATATAGCGTGGCGACGCGTCTCCACGGCATGCCACGCCAGAAATCGGTTTTACGTGCGGCTATAGATGTTTTACATCAAAAAGCAACCTCCTAAAAAAATCATTGTATTTTATATATATATTCCTAACTTGGCATCCGTGGTCCGACGTTAACCCTCCTTAGAAACATCACCCAGATCCGGAACAATTATCTGTGGGTCACACAAATAGTTGTCCCGTGTGGGAATCGAACGACCGTGCCCTGGCTCCGAAGCCAATGGCTTAGCAACTGCGCCACCGACTGCATACAAAGAGTAAAACAAATATTAAAATTTGTAGAAAAAGAATCTCAATAGTGTTTCAGTTAAAAAGTGTGAATATAAAAATTGGTTAACTTCAAAATACTTTTTTGTTTCGCGGATTTCTAATACAAAATTTCTGTTCTAGATTTGTCATGATTTGACTTGATGTGACTTGGTGATATTAAAGATCGGATGAAACATAGATAAATATGAGAAAAATATAGTAACAAACAAAAGTTATAATAGCATTTTTACTTGTTAATTAATAAATATAATAATTTTTTACGCAACGTTATCTACGAGTAGTCTCAAACTAAGCAAAGCTTCTATTATAGGTATTAGGTAAATGATAAATCGTTGTAGGCTTGCCTTCAATGCAAGAGACTGCATCAACATCCACTACGACAATCAGGTCGTCTTGTTTTTCTATATAGAGGTTTTTTTTAATTACATGGTTTCCACAAAAATTGTAAGATGACGTGGGAAATAATTAGGAAATAAGTGTCGAATAAAATTGAGGACGATAGAACTCCAGCAAAATTTAGATCGAACTCGAGACCTGTTATGGAAAGTAATGACATCTGCTATTTATTCAGTTGATTTTCTGAATAAGGTGAGTATTAGCCAAGAAAATATTAAACATAACCCACAACAACAACAATAACAGTCTAATAAAAGACGATCAAGCCCCGCAGTATAGATGAATGCAGGTAGATTCAAAAATCATTGAAGACCTTGATAAGTGACACGAGCACTGGAATGGATGGTATGATTATTAAAACAGTTAAGTTTATTAAATGTATAATTATTGTAGTTGTATTAAAGAACGTTTGACACGTCGAACTTGTATTCGCCTTTTGAGGACCAATATTTGATACATATTTTGTTTATTTTGTAATGTTTATTTTTCTTTTTTTTTCGTACAATAAAGCATACTATTATTATTATTGGGGATATTTATTTGTTTTCTCGTCTGGTTGGGTTTATAAATAGAAATAAACACATATTTATTATTATTATTATTATTCTCCGATATTGAAAAGATAGAGCCGTGATAGCTCAGTGTCCGGGCGCTCGCCTTTAATTAAATATACTCGAGCAACCTGAGTTTGATCCCCGGTGTCGGCACCAATGAAATTGTTAATTTTAAGTGCCGAATCATCACGTGCGATGAAGGAAAACTACATTTACTTTTTTTACTTTTACCGAAAATAATCTCTAATTTACAACCCGGGCGCAGAATCCAAGCTAGTAAATAGAGAAGCATATTGTACAAATGGTTAAACATTTATTTAATCCAAATTAATATTGCTATAAGTAAACAATACGAACTTAGACTGCTCGATTACGAAAATCCAGTACTTTTCGGCTCTGTTAGATTTAATTAGCAAATTTATAATTAACATAGCAAAAGCTTATTCAGAAAATGAGCATTATATTTATCACAGGCGCAGACCTAAATATATTAACGTCATATTTATATATTCAAAAAGGACGTATGTTGTTAAAAATGATGAAATAACTCATTGCTCGTTCCTTCAGATCGCAATATTAACAAATTATCTTTATGAAATATAAAAGAAAGTTTATTTTATATATTGTCTCTTTGTGAACCGAATTATGTAGGAATTAGGCAGGAAATCTTTCATCATAATAAGCCATATAAGTTTGTACTTCAATTGCGTCTTAATCTCTGCAATATAATTTCCTGAAGAAACGACATTGTTATCTAAACGTTGTGGTCATAATGCAAAAGCAATTACAATAATAGTTATTACGACTGTTGAGAAAAGAAAGGCGTTTTTATAATTAATGAACTACCGCAAAGTAAAAGTTACTATACTGCCCGAGTTTCGGGCTCTTTCGAGTACTTTCTCCTCATTCCGATTTGATTATAACATTTTTCACTATTCTATTGTGAATAGCTACTTTTTAGTTTAATATTATGTCACATTTGCAATCAGAATCAGTATCTGGTTTTTTCCGTTGTTTTTAGTTCTACTTCATCAGGTAAATGGAAAAATGTTAACATTTTTTATTAATTGTTTGTTGGGAAAGACGCGTATATAGTTTTGAAAAGCAAATACAAAATTTTATCCAAAACGTGTAGATGTTTTCAATACGAAATTACTAACGATATACGCGATTTATTCGTAAATTATTATTTAGGTTTAAGTAAAAATTGAAATTTTATTTTTAATTGATCATAGTTAATTTTTTAATGTATTGTTTTCACATGAAACTAAATTCATTTTGAATTTCTACGTGTAAAAGATTATCGTTAGTATTTAATGCTAGTAGTGTATTAGTCTATGAAAATCGTTCACCAGGTGGTCTAAAAATAAAAAAGCCTTTGGTAGCTGGTCGTATAATTCGTGTGGAAATTCCTACGTAGTTAACAGCTTCTACTGTTACAAGAATAGCTGGCTACAAGGCGGGAACTACCATGGCTTGACAGAAGATCGGATTATAATGGAAAAAGTTATAATGTTGCTCTTAGTCTTGTGAGTGATTGTGCCGATAACCATTCCATCGTTCCTCAAATATTTCATCTTTTAATTTATTTGTAACCATAACCTTAAAAAATTAATGCATTGGAATAGTAATATAATACAACGTACCCAACTGAATTAAGTACGAGGCTTAATGTAGCTATGTATTTCGTGTTGTAATCAATAGCTTCTCCAAAGTTTATACGGAGGCTCTAATGATAATGATAAAAAATGAAAATTTTTCTACTGGTTTAAACTGCGTTTTTCCATGTATCCAATGCACGCAACAGCTCCAATCCACGCAATAGTTTCGGCTGTTGCATGAATGGGCAAGTCCGTCCGGGTACCACAACCTCATAGAAGACCGGCGTGAAGTGAAAGTGTCATACTTCTGCGTTTCGTCTGGTGAGTGAGGTAGTCGGGGCCCACTTTATTCTAAGGTGTCAACTCATCTGCAGCCCTAAGGGTGTTGCAAATGTCCATGGGCGGCGGTTATCACTTAACATCAGGTGAACCGCCAGCTCGCTTGCCACCTGCTCACATAAAAAACATTATAACTACATTTTTCAATATATTTGCACTACTGCGTATAGCATAGAATGTAAAGTGGGCCTCCTTACACGATCTGCGCATTAAACTATAACAATAAATCTCACCGATCGAGTTACCTCAAGGCAAAACGATGTAATGGGGCGGTGTAAATAAATCGGGCGGTCTCAGACGGCGGGCGTAATCGCTCGTTGTATTGTTAGGCGGCTCGGCGGCGCGTAGTCATCCGTCACAATGGCGCGTGTCCGCAGTGGAGCAGTCAGGGGGATGGCGGCGGTGTTGCCACGTCATCCGTTCCACAATGGGCACGCTAATTTCGGCCCTGTTGATACACCTTCGGGGAAGGTAAACAAAATGACGTTTGTCGTGCCTTTGGGCTCGTAACCACATGCGGGCTCACGTGAATGAAATGAGGGTAGTTTACATGTATTAAACCTTTCCCGGAATCTACGAGAAGAATGGGATAACGAAAAGCATAAACTTCTAATTTGGAATCAAAGTTGCTGGCTTCGCTGTAAACAACATAATGGCTCTAAAATCGTCATTCATTCTTTCTTTGTAATTTGAGAAACGTAAATGAGTATTTGTAGTCGCTAGTGAAGTTTATAAATAACTGTTACGTTAGTCCAAACCTTACTTGATGGCTATTTTATGCTTTTTATTACATAGTGCGTTGACGCGTTGGCGAAGTCATTATTGGTTAAAAGTATGCAATTTTGACCACTGTTTTCGACTATTTCTAGTTAAGGCAGCGATGCTATTATTTGATTGATATTGCAACCGCCGTTAGGGCTGCTTTTAAAATCGTGGCACTTTGACCCTCTAAATGTAGATTTGGCGCAGGAATCTACCAAAGAAAACGTGATATAGATATTGCTAATTTCTATATATAAGTAGATAACATCACCTTAGCAGTCACTATTGTTACCACTACGATGAATATTACGCATATAATTATCACGACGGCTTACGGTAACAAGTTTCTTTAAACTGCATTTGACCTTGAACCTAGACAAATTTCTAATTCAGACAACCGACAAACGCAATTACTCATATTCATTGCGTCGGAAGGACATTGCTCCATTATTGGCCGCGCAGGCGTTATATGCGCGCTTCAACACCTCCCCTAAGCGAAATCTCTTTGAGACAATGCGCCTGTTTAATTTACAACTCAATTGGAGTGCGCGCGCCGGGCGCCGGCCGGTCGACCCCTCGCGTGTCCCTTGTCCCTTCGTTTCGGGCCCCCACATTGCGTGGAGCCATATCGATCAGCGGGCCACCATGCACTTTTGTGAAGAAGGTCAAGTCCCTGACGAATGTGTTGCCTCTATGTTCTATACATAGTTGTAGATATATTACTGTTGGAGACTCTATTTTTCATTTAAGTCGTTGTTAAAGAATGCTTGAAGTGATCCATTTTTTGTTGGTATAGCAGTGAAATGGAATGGTCACATACCATTAAACTTTTCTTTCTTTCTTTCAATTACTTATTCATGTAGTATGGTTATAACAATGGGGATAGAACTTCAACCTGCAATTTCCAATGAAAAATATCATAATAATATCAAATTGATACAAAAGGAAACAATTGGAACAAAAGGAAAACACTATATGCGTGTTTGTAAAATTTTTAATAGGTTTTTAACAATATATGTGTTAAATGGATGCTTTTTTTATACCTATTACTGAAAATTTTGAATGATAAGACAAAATTGAATAAAAAGTTAAATTGAAAAAAGGAAGAAAAGTGATAGATGAAAAGTTCGATTTATAAATTATAGAAAAAACGTTATATATAAAGCACAAACAGTTAATATTAATAAAATATTGTTCGTGTGGTATATCAGAATGTAAAACGTTGGGAAGGCGATTGTCAAGTTTTTTATAAAGCTGTTACTTCATAAAAACATAAAAATGAGTTGTTAAAATAGGATTTATTTAACGATAACATAAAAGCGGTTGTTTCGTATACGTACTGTCCGGTTTGTGCAATATTTCATAATGTATCAGTAATATCAGTTACTTTTAAAGTTAGAAATTTTTTATCATAAGTTTTGTTGTCATAATATATACCAAATAAGAAACCTAAAAAATTAAGGTTAAAAAATGACGGAAGAATTTGTCACGATGTTAGTCAGAGAAATAAGCAGTCAATGCTGAAACTTGTGCTCTATATTAAGAAGTTACTCATGATTCAAGGAGTAACAAAAAGTTTTCCTTGTACGCCATATTTCACTGTGTCCGTATGAAGATGTCCGTTATTTATTAACGTTGTATGGGTAATACCAACGAATTCTAGTGACTGAACTTGGACTCACAATTACTGATGAAAAGTACATCATATTAAATTGTATTTATTTACTTTTGCGAAATTAATGATTGTGTGTATATCGGATAAGTTTTTAAAATGTATTATTTAAGGTTGTGGTATATATACAGCGTGTCGTTACCATCACGACAATAAATGAACACACGTCTAACGCTACTTGCGTTAGACGTGTGGTCGCTATATAATCATAAAAAAATATTAACGTTAAACAAAATCCAGAATTAAAAAAAAATATTTTTCAAACAAACTATTTGTAACATCCTATACAACTCGCGCCACAGCGTCGCATTAGAAGCCTCTCCTTTTAACAGCATGTTTTGTCTCTTTTAAATTCATTCAACCCATTCATATGCTTCGTGACCTTTACAAATGAACTTTACGTTACGCTTTTATAGGTAAGGGTGTTCTAAAATTCTTTGTTTTGGAAAATTTAATAACTCTGTAAATATTGATGTTTAAAGAATTTAAATGTTTAATACAACTTTAAACAGTTATCCCCTATATGTGTGTTCATTTATTGTCGCATTGGTAACGACACGCTGTATACATATAGGTATTAGCGGACCGTCGGGTTGTCCTGTACACAAGTCTTAAATCCGACAACAAATTATATAAAAAAGATTTAAAAAAAAAAGATTTTAATGGACAGAATCGTGAACCATTCTCGAATCCACTTGAACACGCAAAAAAATTCACCAAAATCGGTCCAGCTGGTTAGAAAGACTTTAGTTACATACGTAAGCACAGAATAGTTATATTATATACAAAGATACAGGAATTTGGGTAAAAGATCCACTGAGTCATGTTTTAATCGTCTCTATAGACGTAGTGTATACTATTCGGTTTTCCCAACTTTTGGGCTTTCGGTTCAATTGCGACGAAATTTATCGATTTCGTGTTCCAAAGGAGATTAAGCTACGATGCATTTTGGTCCCCTCGTGTACAGTTGTACGATATCCGCCAACTTTCACGCAACATCGACTCTGTATATATTTCGAGCTGTTTAATGCCAATTTAGGAATCGGGTATCGATAACATCAGCGCTTTCGTATTTAGTACCTGGAGGACCGAGCTTTGCTCGTTTTTTTGGTAAATCATGTATTTTGGAAATAAAAAATAAAAAAAGAAAGCAATGACCTGGTATAGAAAAAAGTAAAAAAAAATAAGTGTGTAAAATGATCGTGATACGAACCGCGGCCGTCTGTTTTGGGGCCGCCCGATTACCGACCGAGCTATTATAACATTTTTTTTGGCGAAATTTACCGTCATATTTTATTATAATTGATATTTTTCATTCACTGAAAACAGGGATAAAATATCATTTCCTAAAAATGACACCTAGCTAGATCGATTTTTCGCCCGAGATTCCGATTATATATATACAAGAATTGCTCGTTTAAAGGATAACATTTGGACAAAGCTAAACTACATTGGAAGTGCTGGTCGCTCTTCAACCAGAAGTTTCTTAGTAGATGTATTTTCTCAACATGAAGCTATTTTATACTTTAGTATGGCTATGGTTTAATTGTTTTAACATACCTATCAGCTGTTATACTTGTAGGTACTATTTAATGCAAGTAAGGGCGGTGTAAGTTGAATCCAAACTGATCCGTGGAATGTAGAACAGTGTGGCTGACGCGAAGGGGTCAAGTGTCAAACGGGGGATCACAATAAGCGCCCTTTAATATTAGATAACCCCTAATTCTTTTATTAACGTGGCTTTAAAGCGTTTCCATTTTTAAGCTTTATATTTGATTAAGCTCAAGTAGTTGTAACAACATTGTGGATTTAATAAAGCTTATTATTAATATTATTACTTGTAACAAAAGTCTGTGAATTGAAATAAATGAAGCAAATTGGATATGAAAAGGGTAACATGACTTTTTAATGCCATTGGCAAAAATATCTTGTTTGAGCAGTACCACTGTGTTTTAGTGCACGCAGGCTCATAGCACAACATGTTTTACCATATTAATTATGTGGTTAAATAATTGCAAGCCTGCAATTTTAAATACGTGAGAGGTTCCTGGTCATAAGAAGTGATGAAAAATTGATTGCCAGGTTAGCTCGACGGATATAAGGTCACAACCTTATCGTTAGTAATAGTAAGATAACCAATATAACGTCGTGTGCCGAGCAACGTTCAATAAACAAGATAATAATTAAAATTAAACGTCAAATCTAAAGAATTTTAAAATATGTAGAAAAAGTACGAAAAGATTGTCGCCGCTGTGGGAATCGAACCCACGTCTTCGGCATTCGCGGCCTGACGCTTTAACCACTAAGCTGAACGGCTGATATCCACACCAAGCATGGCTTCAAATGCTAAATAAAACAATGTAGATAAAGGACGTTAAGATTTTCGTCGGTTTGTCTGTCACCAGTTTGTCATTGTTGTTGTTGTGAACCGTGATAGTTAGACAATTGAAATTTTCACAGATGATGTTTTTCTGTTGCCGCTTAACAACAAATTCTATAAAACAGAATAAAAAAAAAATAGTGGGGTTCATATTCCATTTCTCATACACATGAGTTTTTCTTGCTGTTTTTATATATAATGGTACAGAACCCTAGGTGCGCGAGTCCGTCTCGCACTTGGCCTTGGGTTTTACTCATCTGGTGTTGCAAACCTGTCAAGACCGGCTTGTCTTTTCTGTTGCTCAGGCGACGCGAAGTACAAGCCGTACGTGACGGCGATGCCGGAGATCGCCGAGGTAGAGCTGGACGGCGAGGAGGACTACGTGGTGGTCGCCTGCGACGGCCTCTGGGACTTCCTGAGCGAAGACGAGGTGGCCCTCTCGATATACGGGCAGCTCGCCGCGGATCCAGGTCAGTCAAGTGTGCTGTACTCCGCTCAGTGCCGTCGAGATTCACTTGTTGACGTATTTTTTTTTTTTTTATGTGTAAAGTTGCCAAGCGAGCAGACGGTTCAACTGATGTTAAGTGAATACCGCCGCCCATGGACATCTGCTACACCCGAGGGTTCCAGATGCGTTGACAACCTTTTGAAAATTGGGCTCCGGCCACCCCACTCATCAGACGAAACGCGAAAGTATTATACTTCCACTTTACGTCGGTATGTTTTTTAGCTAGACGTAAAATTTTCATTCATGCTTTATTTACAAAATCGCCCGGCACTAGACAACCACAAGGCGACGCGGCGCAACACAATTTCTCGTTTTCGCAACCAGCTCTAATGAGGCGAATTGGATTTCCGAGTACCCGTCCTACACAAATCAATTTCCATCCGACGGACAAAGGCTCGATTGTGCGCGTGAAAATAGCGCGCCGGTACAAATTGGACGAACACGTTGAACTTGACCGTGCGGCGGCTGAGTCACGTAAACAGGATAGGACCGTTTTCACCGGTGGCGATGTCGTACGCGACGATGCATTCAGGCCGCAAACCGCCCATTATCTACATTGTTGATAAAATTGCGCTGGCCCATTGTCGATCAAGTCGATCGTTAACTCATCTCGTTCCATTTGCGAACGGCGGTCGAGCTACGCAGTCGACTCGATTAAGGCGACGGATCCTCGCGATTTTCCAACGCTTCCAGCAGTTATGTTGGATCCTTTTAACAGTTATTCAATCTGGTTATTTTAGTTTTAAATATGTGATTGCGAATTGAAGATTGCCCTCGCCTATTGTTGACCCATTTGATCGTTAACTCATCTCGTTACGTTTGTGAACGGGCGGTCGGGCGATGCAGTCAACTGATGAATGACTCAAGGCGATGAATCCTCGCGATTTTTCAACGCTTCTAGCGGTTCCGTGAGACCGTTTTTATCAATAATCAATATTTATGTAACATTTTTACTAATTTTCATTAACCTCACCAGTCATTTAAAGAGATGTATGACTGTTTTAAGTAAACCTAGTTATATTTCAATTTGTATTATTGTCATCCTTTTACATATGTTGAACTTTTGAACAGAATAGATCTCGATAAATTTTTCATTTAAACCATTTATAATTTGTCATCATAAATGGTTTTATATGCCACTTATTTCTTTTTTATTTTAAAAATGCTGTCGAAGTCAACGTTAGTGCCCAAACCACTTTATGTCATGTGATTGTTACACAAGAAATGTTTGTGAAATTCGAGTGCCGTAATCGTCCAGAATCCGAAGATCCTTCACTCGTAGACGCATATCCTTGCATGTTGTTTAAACCCGGAGAGGTCTTAACATTCTGGTACCTAAACTTGGGTGCCCTTAAGTCTACGTAAAGAGTCTTTAATGGAACACAACTCTCGGGGTTAAAAGAGCTTTCATGTTGCTCAGCGGAATTTCTGCCGTTCTGTAAATATTAGGGCTTTTCATTGAGCCACTCTTGCGGGAACAGGGGTTAATCTCAGACACTTTTCAAGTGATTGTTTCATGTTCGCGCGAGCTTTGATTTCTAAACCAAGAGTTTGAGGCACAGTTAGGGTGAATTGTTGAGCAGAAAACGTTTTTCTACTAAACATGCCGTTCATGTCGTTGAACTTAACATACTGTTTATGAGTACATTTAGAAAATGTATTTTAATATACAGGCAGCACTTTTGAAATAAGGATGAATAACTTTTCAAAGTAAATTTAATGTCTTCACTGTATGTAATAAGCAATGCTTCTAACTGATATCATCTTTTGTGTAATAAATAAAGTACATCCAACAACGTGGGACGGGACGAAAATCAATTTGTTACGACGCTTCCTCCGATCTCTTCTGACTATGTTTGTCACGAATGTGACAGCTCGAGATCTAATAGAGAGAATGATGATTTACGGTGCGCGATCTCGACTCGGGTAAGCGTCGGTTGTTTGATACAAACGCCTTCGTCAAAGCGGCCGGTTGATTATCGTCACAACGCTTCGGCGGGAAACGTTTGTTGGCTGCACGCTGTGGTATTCTTACCCAACCTTTTGCTTTATGTATGAAAAGTTGTCCAGCGAACATGCATGTGCATACCGCCGCACAAGGTCACATCTGGCACACCCGACTTCTTGCAGATGCGTTGGCAGCATAGGGTCTCAGTTACCTAGGTGAACGCGAAAGCACAATATAAACAAAATTAAAGTCAAATTTTTTTCTATTCAATATAGGCTTATTTTAAGCTCTTAATGAATGTCAAAAACTACCACCGCACTAAACTAGTCCTGTCTAGAGAAGGACCGTTAAGAAATTGTGCGGTCTTTTAATTTTTTAAATTACTAAATTATATATCTCTATATATAAAACTGAATCGCTGAATTTGTTGCTAAGCGCAAATCTCGAGAACAGCTGAACCGATTTCGCTAATTCTTTTCTTATAATATAGTTTAAGTGTTAATGGAGGGGTTCCGGGAAGACAAAACAAGTGAGTGGCTGTGGTAAAATGTCACTTGAAACGTCTCTTTGCTGTACAACACTACATAGTATAATACAAAGTCGTCCCGTTGTCTGTCTGTCCCTATGTATGCATGTTATACATATAATATGTAATACATTGCACCCGTGCGAAGCCGGGGTGGGTCGCTAGTTATGTATAAAATCAGCAACAGCCTAGATTGGGACTTACAACTGCAGAGCAAGAGTCATTTCCACACATCCTTGCCCTCGGTGTATTCTTCGACATTATAATACTTTTAATTCACGTTGGTCTACTATGACACCGCGGTCGTGGAAGACCCTACCCCTTCCACAGTTTGTCCTCGCTGTTCTTGCAAAAAAGCTGTAAGGCGTAGGACAAAAGTACTTTGTTATTATGCTATTGCAGAGCCGTGCCCGGTCCGTCCTGGCTGCGGTCAGCGGAGCTACTTTGAACGGCGATCGCGTCGGAAGTGAGGTAGTGGTGAAATTGGATAGTCCGTTTTCGCCCCGCCCCCCGCGTAGCCCGATCCGTCTAGACCCCCTCGTTGATCGCGACGAAGCCCTTCTAATTGCCAGCTTTGTTGTCCGCGTACTCGAACACATAGTCAGTCTGATGAATTGCGAAACAAATGCACTGTCTGGGTTTCCATTACCATTGTGGCCTGTGGGGACAAGTAGCTGAAAAGTTACGCCGCGATATTACGTAAGACAGGAATATACGGCGAGAAATTTTGCTTTTTTATGATGCAGAATAATTTTACCTTTGCATATTATTATGGATCATATTATATAAATCAGCAGGAATAGACAATATATGTGCTGAAGAGCTTAAACATCTAGGTGACACAGGTATTAAAATCTTACTAGACCTGTGCAACCAGCTATGTTAAACCGGTAAGTGGCCTAAGGACTGGAAAGAGTCGCTTCTAATACCTCTGCACAAAAAGGGTTCCACGAAGTCGTGTGGAAATTACCGAATGGTGGCGGTTATATCACATGCTAGCAAGATAATGCTCTACATAATCAATGGGCGGTTGCAATCCTATTTGCAACGGCAAATACCAGATGAACAGGCTGGTTTCGTCAAAGGCCGGGACACTAGAGGTCAAATAGCCAACATGAGGCAGTTGATAGAAAAGAGCCGTGAATTTAATGTGCCAATTTTCATGTGCTTTATTGAGTATTCTAAAGAATTTGATTGCGTGAGATGGGAACCCTTATGGACAATCCTTCAAGAAATGGGAGTACCTTCGCACTTAATTGAGTTGATCGCAAGTTTGTGAGACGACGACGGTGGAGAGTCCATGGTCAGGCTGAATGATGTGGTGTCAGCACCTTTTAAGCCAGAGAAAGGAGTCCGACAGGGATGCATTCTATCTCCCCCTCTTTTCAATATCTATGGCGAGTATATAATGAGGAGAGCCTTAGATGGGTGGGAGGGAGGTATCGCTGTCGGGGGTAACAAGATCAGCAACCTCAGATATGCAGATGACACTACGTTGTTCGCGTCCTCCGAGTGCGAACTAGCAGAATTGTTTTACAGGGGAGAGCGAGAAAGCGAAGCGATAGGACTTTCGGTCAATAAATCTAAGACCAAAGTTATGATCATCGACCGAGCTGGACAATGCCCACGCACGGGAGAACTTGCAGATCTGGAGTGTGTGGACGACTTTGTGTACCTGGGCTCAATGATCAGTAATCAGGGGGGCTGCGAGAGGGAAATTGGAGACGTACGCAGATGGGCAAAGCGGTCATGGGCAAAATGTCAAGGATCTGGTGAGACAGAAATATCTCCAACAAAACCAAAATGAGACTAGTGAAGGCGCTGGTATTCGCGATATTTCTGTACGGCTCCGAATCTTGGTCAATTCGCGCAGCGGACCGGAAAAAAATCGAAGCGTTTGAAATGTGGTGTTGGAGAAGAATGTTGCGCATACCGTGGACAGCGAAACGCACCAACAAGTCCATTCTTGACCAACTAAACATTAAGACTAGGCTCTCCACAATTTGCTATCAACAAATTCTAATTTATTTTGGTCACATCGCCCGCAGGCAGCCGGATAATTTTGAAAAAGTAGTTGTGGTTGGGAAAGTGGATGGCAAAAGACCACCTGGGCGATCACCTACCCGGTGGTCTGATCAAGTAAACCGGCTTATAACCGGGCTTCCTGTTTCCACTGCGTTGAAGAAAACCGAAGATAGAGTGGTGTGGAAGCAGCTCGTCGCCGATTCACTTAAAATTTTTCAGGACGGACACGACCTTCAGTAATGAAGACCACGAATAAGAAGAATTAATGTATTCTAGAATTTCTAGAATTTCATTTCGCTTCTATCCGTTTTTAACGAATTACAACAGTATCGTAATCGAATTTCGTGGACTTCAATATAACACTTAAGTGAGCACGAAAAGGGTTTATTGGATTATGACTCTTGATACTTAAACAGGCGGGGGTCTGTTTTCGGGACGTCCGCCGCTTACCCAAGGGACGGTTGGGTTGTACCCCTCATTACCTGGAATGTAGTGGTCGCCTCATTTTTGACATACGACGTTCCAATTTATTTTAACAGCTGTTTTAACTCAACATGTGTGTTCTTCAAACACTTTTTGTTTTGACATTTTAGTGTGTGGTGTAACATTTATTTTCTGTTTCCTTTTTTATTGCTTTATTATATAATTTTATTTAGTATTATTACATTTATTTAAATGATAACTATATCATCATGGCAAGAGTAGCTCATTGTCCGGGCGCTCGCTTTTAATTTAGTAAACGCGTACCATTTGACTTGCACCAATAAAATTGCTTTTAAATTATTAAAGTGGAAAACCTTTGTGGGTATCCCTGCGTATTTAAATAAAAATTAAAAACAATTTAATTATGTAGTCTGCTATTCACTGCCTCTGTACAGAGGTTTAGCCCGCAGTGGAACATATAAAGCATAATTTACTTAAACTATTTTTTTTCAGTGTCATAATAATTATAGTGAATTCTGAATATGTATTGCTTTCTAATTCTTGATGATTATATTTTTAATCGCTTTATGAGGTATTACAGTCAAGTAATTGAATAGAATTTAACCGAATTGTTGTATTATTCAGATGTTAATTCCGCTCCAAATCTATGGGGCATTCATTTGTCACCTTCCTGTACGGTAAACATAATTTCGTCACCTACAGGACTATTCCGGTCTTATGTGGTAAATATTAAATGTAATAATTATAACTGATTACGAAAAATCACAAATAATTTCAGTTAACATAAACATGTTAGTATAATTAAAAAGTTTGAAGTGTGCAGTACCCTACTGATTAATTCGAAAGAAAAAAATATTTATGATGTTAATTCCGCATGAAATCTAGTACCTGCACAATATTTTTTACAGATTTTGTATCTGACATGGGATTTAGTCCACGCAATAGTTTTTGGGGTTGCTTAATAACTACTTATAGACTTACGAAGAGCAACGCAAATATGTTTTGGAGGCTAATGATAATATTTAACATTCAACGGTCATTAACAGTCAACGTCAGTTACTTGATTGCCACATTTTATATTTAAAGAATATAAAAATAAAAATCCCACAGATCTCAGGATATTGTTTATTTTATATTTTTATTATTCAAGTGCAGATTTTTGTAGCGAAATAATTAAAAAATCCTTATTAGAGTGCGAGGCATGGACTATGATGTGTACCATTTCTGTTCCATACCTCCATTGTCACTTTTGATGCCAAAGTTTCACTGGTGATATTTTGCCCAATGCACATATATTTAAACGTATACCTCTATTGGACATTGTGCTAGAAACAATGGCCTGCATCGATCTTTTTGTCTGTCCGACTGTACGCGTGCGGCGTTTGCCCTGGCTCGGTTTATTCGATTTTTTCGAATGGTGGCGTCAGCAGTGTTATGTACGTCATCAATGCGCCGTAGCATTGTGACGGTTGATAGTGCGTCGGCCGATTGTTTACGTCGCCAGGGTTTTGTACACTGGGCTTCGTGTGCCCCACGGCGTACTGCGAGGCGGCGATTCCCCCCCGTACGGTCACTAAGCTCGTATATTAATTCGACTCAATTAATCGTACGATATTAGACTTTAGTACATTATTTATCCGCTTTATTTAACGTCTATTTTTATTGTTGTCTTATCTTCTTAATTGAAGGGTCTACAATTTATTTCGGCTTGTAAAAATAACTAAATTCTTTTGGCAGCTTGTTCATTGGGTAAAAATTACTATGTAGTTTTTTGTATTCTTGTATTTTGCAATAAGCTATATTTATGTGAGTCAGGTAATGAGAAATACCCAATAAAGATATTTCTTAGAATTCGTTTAATAAAATACATATTCTGCGAAAATTTCAACTGTCTATCACGTTTCATGAGATACAACTTGGTGGCGGACGGATAGACAGACAGATAGCGGAGTTTTAGTAATAAGGTCCCGTTTTACCCTTTGTGTACGGAACCCTAATACAACAAAATAGTGCGTAGACATGCGTATTGCGACCGTTCGTTTTGATGACGTCATTTGGCAACTTTCCGGCACTACGTTTATCCTTGACATTGATTACTGCAATTGCAACCTCATCATCTGTTTTCATTGCCCAAATATAAGCCTCTGTTTTAAAATGTTGTTCTTCTTGATTAAACATAGACCAAGAGGTTTTTTTTATATCGAAATGTTTTATAAATGTCGGTTTCAGCAAACAAGTACGTATTACCTTTGTTTCATGGGTTGGATTGTCAGGTACTACATATTGATTTCATAGTACCCACATGTTTTGCGTAAAGATGTCAAAAATAATATTCAAAACTCATAACGAATAAGTCATCTCAAACAATATGACCTGGGTGGTCCGATATACCAATGCACTGTTGTCAAGGAATGGACACACACACACGGAATGTCAGTAATGATAAAGTTTTTTTATGCATTGCAATAAAGTACGCTAAGAGTGATTCTATCAGAAAAATGTAATATATTTAAACGTGTACATAACTCTTTTATTTTCTTTCAACAGTATTGTGACTATATTAGTATTTTCTATATGGCAAAAACAACACTTGTATGTATTGCCCCATTATATTCCTTTATTGGGTTCTAACCACGGCGTAAAGTGTCTATAAAACCACTTGACGCCTTCTGATATCGGATATTCTCGCAAGAACATGGTGGGATGTGCTACATACATAAAGTTGCCATACTCTGAATTATTCGTTCCTTCGACAACTCTCACATTCTATTGCAGCAAGAAAGAGAAGTTTTTCCTGAAATAAAAAAAAGCAACAGTTACATTAGAATCTTATTCTCTGGATAGGTAAATTACAAATGAATTAAAGGGTAGTAAAAAACACATAGTTCTAAGTATTTGTTATTTAGTTTCGTCAAATTGTTTTTTTGCGTGAGCCTTAATTTTGTTAATCTCTTTTAAGACAGACTATACTCGGAAAAATAAATCAGTTGCTTTGGATAAATAAAAGTGATAAATAAAATGTAATGTAATAAATAAAATGTCACACGAAGATGTTTGCCGCTTCCATCAGACGTTTTAAAACGTCGAATGTACAAATGCATCATCCCAGGCGCTCAAAAAGAGAATGTGTATTGATAAAAGAGAGCACAGTGCTACTTGTTAAACAAGCCGTGCGCCGTATCTCTATAACTGGCTCATTAGCATCCGCTCCGGACAATGTGAGTGGCCCTTACGCTAAGAAAATATCTCACTTTATGCAAAACGTTCGCTTTCCACGCGGTCATAATGTATTACTATCGTAGAGAATTTAACGCGATAAACTTAAAATATGAAATGTGATTTACCAACGAGTCGGTAAAAGTCTAGATCTTTTTAACCAAACAATAGTTATTTTAATATTTTATTACTACGCTACGATAAGAGAGTGCTTTATCATTCTTCTCCTGCTTCTTCGCAATATATAGTTTTCAATTCATATCTATTGTCATGTTGATGTGCGTAATCTAAGTACCATTTGTTTGTTAAACATTTTACATGATAACGATGGATATTTTTAATACATTTTTAAGTTTTTTTTTTTACTTATTTGATTGTGAACGCCAGAAAATATACGCCTTTTTTCATATAAGAATACATACATCAGTATTTTTTTTAAAGCATTACTCGATGTTTGCGATTATTGTGGCAACACTACTATACCGTGTACGCATTGACCAACACAGATTTTACAACACATGTTAAAGCAACGTTAGGCATTTTATTTTATACTAAGTCAGCGACGCCATCGAAAGCGACCAGTTGGTCAGCGGTTTCCTATGGAACCGCGGGGCGAGTTTCGCTCCACATGACATGTCGGCCGCTCGAGGCGTTCGCCGCAGCCGTTCGTACGTTCGCGCGAACGCGGTGTTCGTCTGCTCCTCGGTTGGCTAACGTTGATTGACGTCACGTTTCATCGCCGATGCGTCTGATGCCGATCGATTCGACGTTTCGCCCGACCTCCGAGGAAGACGTCATCGCTTATGGGATGCGACTATTTTTTTTAAAGATGGCAAACGACCAAGCCGATCAGGTGATGGTGAGTGATAACGGCTGTATTCCACGTACATAACACGAGATGATTTTGTAGGTGTGTTGCTATTCTTCAAGAGAAGGCCGTCGGTTACATCGCTCAGCAGAAGAAAAAAGGATTGTTATGCTGCAAGTTACTTTATACCGGTTTTTACGAGACCGTAGTAATTTTTGAGCTAGGGGAAGCCGTACCATTCCTCTACGCCGAAAATGAATATTTCTAATTTACACATTTATTTTCTGTGGCTTTAGCACATCTCTGGTTCAGTTTGTCGACTTGAAGGAGCTGTTGCCCTGTTATATTGGTGAACATCGTTTACAGATGTATATTAGCTAGCGATGGAAACGTCTGCGATTAAATTGATCGTGCGACGTGTTTTCTTCGCAATATTACTAGATGGTTAGACGTGATTATATTACGGCCGAATGGCCCCGCCGCCAGCCGCGAGGGGCGCGCGCCGCAATAAAAATGTACCGCGGCAGTGCACGAGGGCTGCACTCGTTACGTCGCGCGACCCTCCCCCGCTTTGATAACATTACCGTTATTGTGCCACCCCTGTCCGCCGCAAAGTTCTCCATTGTAAATCCACTTGTAGTGCAGCAACCCACAGACAGCGCTTTGAATTTGAAATGGAGACGCTTACGATTTCCGAGTGCATGCCCCAATCGGTCTGCGGCTTTGCGCTTCAAAGTGAATTCTTGTTTTGATGTTCTGAACTTGCGACGTTTCGTATGTATAATTCGTCTCTTAAATTTAATTAATTGGTTCATTAAAAACATCGCCTTTATATGTAAGTTAAGTGATATCTCCGTTTCTGTTCACGACCGGCTGAAAGATTGCACTGAATATTAATGTATCGTTTCATTACAAACAAGTACATGATAAAGACATCTCAGAATTAAAATAAGGATATCTGGCAGGCTGCACGGTTTTCTTAACTAAAGTGGATACTTTCCCGCCGTCGCCTTATTTTTGAAGCGCGCTCGCTTTGCGTTAAGTTTCAAGCATGCATTTTATGCACATAATTATGTTGGTACATACGTTGTTCCTCTACGTTTAATCTAAATCACTGATAAGACTTATTTTGGTTTATCGAATATTATAATCATCTGTTTGATTTTAACATTATCAACTAGAGAATGCATTGCTTTATCAAAGCTTGTAATCGTCGTCGGAGTGGATGTCGCAGACCGGCGGTGTTCCGCGGCCCCTCTTTTTCCCCTTTCCACACACGGAGCTTTATAAAGGCTGACAAAAGACCAAGTAATCATTTCATACGGATAGCGAAAAATTAAGCTGCGCAGAGTTTGACTTACCAATTCTTGTTTCTTCGAAACTAGATGAGAGGTGGAATCTACCTATGTGTGAAACCTGTCTTTTTTAAATACTTAGTTAATCTTAATAAATCACAAGTTTCTTAACTTTTAAATAAAATAATATACACTCTCAACCTTCAGCCATCATTCATACAATACAGTATATAAAAAAAAATAACATCGTGCTCAACGTCGTCATCCGAAATGTCATTAACAGTTTTATATTAACATATTTGTTATTATAAATATTTGAGTCGACTCTAATAATGGCCATGCAAAATCATGAGAGTCACCGATGAAACACCGTTCAGGAATAATGCACATTTTATTTTTATCTCGCCGTAAATCGCCATTTGGATCGCGTCCAAGAAGGAACAGACCATCATCTATCCGGCATCACAGCCACGTGGGTGGGCGACCGCAGCCTCGTTTCAGCAACGGTATCCATTCCGACGATGACTACGATCATTTGAGCGCTTGCATTATTTATGTATAGAAATATGCATTCAACTATCATCTTGATATAAACAACATTGAAACTTTTCGACAACAAATATTTGGTTTACAAAAATGACATGGTTGCAAAACATTCAACTATCTTGATATATTTTCCGGGTATAAACAATAGTTAAACTTTTCGACAATAAAGATTAGCTAATTTTTGCTCAGATGTTTATATATACATTCATAGTTATTTTTTACTTGTTTCTTCCCATGAAGGAGTTTCACGGTTATTCTAACGCTTGTTTATATGCGTCTCGATTAGCTTGTAAAATCTTCACTGGCTAAACGTAACCACTTCGCCGAATCTCGACTTTCATTCGAGCTCGCGTGGCGCGTAACAAAAACGAAAAGGAAACAAAAAACGAAGATAAGTCACCTTTTGGCCCGGCTCATTCGTCGTTGGTAACGCGCCCGGCACTTTAATGCGAATTGTTTTGGTGCACCGGGAAGTGGACGGGTGACCATTCCCGTACGGTTTTTGCATTGCAAAACGCCTCTCTTTATGGTTCGGCGGGATGTGACTCTCGCGTTTTGAAATTCGTGGCGTGCAACCATCGATGCTCTGTTCATGTATTCTTATTTGGAGATACGATTGCCCGGTTGCCTGGGCGTCGACTGGTCCTGAACATTTCCCGGGATGTAATCTAAGTGGTTTATTGAATTTGTTTTTTTTAAATATCTGTGTGTTTAAGTGTTTCGTTTATCCCCCTAGTGTATCTTAGTTGCCAATGCTAGAGCATTACTCTATGCCCTAATGACGTAGCAATTTTCGTAGATATATCCATCTACTCGTTTTAGTTTTGGAGCTGTAGTTTGTTGAATTTATGCTTAATATAATATAGTTTTGTGCTACTGTTTATAAATCTCGTGATTTGCATTGACATTAGAGTGTTCTGTATCACTTAACCTTTGCTGGAAGTCCTGACTAGATATTTGTGCATTCCCGCGTTTCACTTTAAAATTGATTACAGCCTACGACACAGGCGGTTGGTACTGCTGTATGAATTTAATTAAAATTTTGTTCGGACTCTGGGGGCTTTAAATATTTAAAGTACCAATAATTCATTCGTTTCGAGCGTCTTAGTATTGTTTAGAATTTTTTAAAGTTCATCAAGATTCATTAGGCAATTCATTCAGCACTGTCCATTGTTTTGTGCATTTGTTATTGAAATATTTCGCCAATTATACACATCCATACTGAGAGAGTATTGTGATAGTAGTACAGTTCTTATCTTATCTGTAAACATGAAACATTATTAAAAAGTCATAAATTCAAAAGTGAAAAAAAAAAACAACAGTAATTATTTTTTCACACTTTCTAACATGTTTTGTTGTATATGTATTTATTTTTTAATTTTTGATGCAGCCTTATAATTAGTTAGTTAATTGGCTAGTACCCGCTTGTTATTTTGTTAAGGTCTATAATGAATTGCGTAAGCCATAATAATATACACACAGTTACGCATACTCACGTTTCGTCATAACTAATTGTTAAGAATTTAGGTTTACTGGTAATGTCAATCAAGATTACATGTAATTTTTTTTATATTCATTGTGTTTGTTTACGACTGTACATTTTCGGGCCAAAATTGGATGCGTAATTAGGCCAAATTGAAGAGTGGAACTATTTGCAATTAATATAGATTAAAAAAATCTACGGACTCGTAGACTATATAAAGCTTCATCGGCCATAGAGCTCATGGAAAGGCTAGGTTTCCACGAACTCGAAGACCCCACCTATGTAGATTCACGCAAGTGGCCATGCGTGCATTAAAAAACGAGGCGATTCCCGGCTACGGTGACCGGTATGCGGACCGAGAGACATCGAAGAGTGTGAATTGTATCGCGACCACGGTTGAGTCCTTCTGAGGATTTGTTTCTGTCGCAATGAATGAAAAATCAATGATGCTTTTTCATGACGGAAGGCTGAAGACCGGGTGGTTAACTGTGACATTGTAGTTGTTTTTCGACCTTTTAATATTTTTTTTTATTTTAACAAAGTAACTCTACAGACGGTCCGTACTATTTTTTGATTAACATTTTTTTTAATTTTATTCACCGCTGTGTTCGTATTTATTGATTTATTTTTTATAAATATGCGTATAAAATAATTAATTTATATATATTTTTGATCCGCACAGTTTTTGCTGTAGGTAGAATTGACGGAGATCTCGTCGTCGCAGCTTATTAGTTAATAGGTGTTATTTTAATAGTTTTAATACTTAAGGCCCCCCTACCCTACTTAAAAATCAAGAGCTAAAGTAAATATGTAGTTAAAGTGTAAATTCTTCTACTTCACACACATCATTCAGTGAGACATGGCCTTCTCAAAACGCCCCCAGCCCTTCTTGCCACAACAGTATCGCTGCGGCACGGCGGCCCTAAATAAATGGTCATTTACTAACTAATAATGGTGAATTCAACTTAAATTGATTTGTGATTTGTGATGACAAAATTAATATCTAATTTTTATTTGCCTTTATTATAAGATGATGTTTGAATGCTACTGAATCAAGTTGATCGTCAAACTTAAAAAACCGATATAAATTCGTACTTTTATGATCCCTTTCACATTTCACTATAAACACATGTCTGTTGAAAGGCTTGGTTGACACTTTATTTCGAATATGCTGTCGTATCTTAAACAAATAAGATAAGAGTTCAGGCGTCTCAAATGTACTTTTCCAAATTATTTTATTTTTTGGTTTTGAGTTTATTTTTTGAAACATTAAGAGAAATTCTTAAATAACTTGAACTATCTTGGACCATTGCAAATCTTGTCTAGGCGCTAATGACTTTACAGGATTTATCACTGTAATCTAATTCCTTTAACTGCTCCAAAGTATCATCTCCGATCCGCCCAGGGTTGTAAAATTAATTGCGTTTCGTTTTCATCTTATCAAGAGGAAGTCATAATTCACGGAGAACTATCTAATGACCGTTTATACGCAATTGATGGTCCGAGAGTAACCTGTTCCTTTATACTTCAAGCTATTGAGTATAATGAGAGCCTTCGCAAGGATCCCTAGTTAGAACCAGGCGTCTTATTTCATGTTTCAAGTACTTAAAGCTCATACCTTTTGTTATACACAATTTTGTTTTCATGATCATTAACAACTTTTGTTCTGGCTCATTCCGACTAATTTATGCAGTGGATTTGGTAACGAAAAATATTACACATTAAATCAAGCATCTAATTAAGCATTTAATAGTATCCGAGTTGTCGTTGCGACTACTTTACACGTCACGGAATTAGATGTTATATTGTGGAAATGTATTTTAATGTAGACGGGAAAACTGAGCGCCTCATTTTTGATTCATCACACTGAGAGTATTTTCCATTTTCAGCTTTGAATTGTTTTCAATTTTTCACTTCTTCGACACGCCGCTAAGGCTTCTGCATTTATGTATACATCAGCAATGCGCCACCGCATACATATTCCACGTTAAATTATTTTCGTGGGGCTCGGCGTCGACGCGACGCGGCTGGCGAAACCGAGCGAGCTGTTTGCAGAGTGCTGTTTGCACTGCGGGCCCGTGTTTGCACCCAGCCATTGTCCTGCGCCGAACAGGTTCCTGTATCATTCACTCTTAGCCCTCAATGCGAACAATTGTATCGCCGGTGGTGCATTAAGATTTTATCGAACTTGCTATTAGATGCAGCCTTTCAGTTAGACTTGCTTTATATTTTAATTACAAATAGGCTTCTTTCCATCTTTAGTGCCGCCTCAATGTATACTAAAATACATTGATACGCTAGTGACGATTAAATAATTTTTACCGACGATTCCCGAAGCCAGCTTAAGGAGTCGTGGGTGAATAAGTTTTGTTTCTTATTATTATAAAATAATATTATAAATTAATATTATAAAAAGTCCATGCGTTAACGTCGTACAAAGTTCTTCTGATTATAGGATACCTATGTCCTTTCATTCAACAGATTATTGTCTTTAGACAGTTAAAACCATTCATTTCCGACATTTCCGCGCACAAAGAATTATAGTATGTACTCGTTATAATTAACGATTAATTTAACCAAAATGTTTTATTGTAATTAAAATTAAAATTTTATAAGTTAAAGTCATAAATTCAACGGTATTTTGTAACTAACTGTCTTATATTTTAATGTTTTCCTCGTTCATTACCCAGAACGTTTACGCAAATGCTATTACGTGAATAGCATAAAAGTATGATTGTTTTCCATCCGTTTCATTTTGTTACCGTTTTTTATTTAACTTTTACTCAATTTAAATTTCACTGTAAAGAGATATTTCTTTTTACATATCTGATTCCCGTCTATTTTTAATCTGTTCGAGATTACTTTAACTTTTTCAAGTAAGGCGATTTTAAGGGGAACATGGAATTTGTAGATACTTTTTTCTTTGATCCATAAATTGAATGCATAAACATAAACCGTGAATTTCGTAAGCGTGTATTATTATTTATTTAATCAATTACAAGCTATTAATACTATAATAACGTGAACTATAGCGGACGTCCGACTGAATACATCCCACGGCTGGCGTAGTAGAGCAGGCCTTTTCGTCTTCGTCGGTTCGACGACCGCCACGTTTTCGTACTATACCGTACCACGGGCCGTTAAAGAGATCGCGGTCTTTGAGATGTGCCAGTGATGCCCCGCTCAATGTGTTCTTTCTCATGTGAATTTAAATTTTTCATTTCGTAGAGTCGAATAATCTCATTACAACTCGATTATTAGCGCGCCGTGCGATGCACGGGCATCACTACGTTACGCGAAGACTGGTTTATGGGTGGTGACTGGGTTATTAGCATTTTGAAACCAAATATGCAAATAAAATTTTAACACTTTTATTATAAATGTATAACGTATTTTATAATAGTGGACAATTATGAGTCCAGATATTTTTAGTTATAGACTATTGTCTTTTCTAAGTAGTAAGGTAATTCCCGATAATTTTAGGATATAAAGGGATTGATTTGTCGATTAATTTAACAAGAGGTGCAAGCGGTCATCGTAATTGCGTCCGCCTGTGCGCGAGTCCGACTCGCACTTGGCCGGTTTTTGTTGAAATGTACCGTAGATTAGTTTCTGGAGTCTAAAAGCGCTTACCACAAAGTTTTGCTTTAGTGAATAAAATATAAAATGACGAAAGTCTATGAAATTTCATTTAAATGCAACTATTTAAAAGGAAAAGACATAAGACACAGAATTGATCGCCTTTATAATTCTAGTGCGATATTAGGACCTACTACAACACTTTAAGCCAACAATTCTTCGATGTTAGCAATATTGTTTTTCATTCGCTCCCGCATGGAAGTTAGTATTTATGAATGTCGGTGCTACAATATTAACGCTAACTTGGATCAATTATTCCCTATAAATAGTATATCGCGCGAATGACTTGTGTACTAGGTGGCCATAAATGGCGTCTGGCGTCGTTTTAAATAGTCTTCGTGACATCCGTTCGGTAACTGTACCCATCGATGCCATGTACCCATAATAATTTTTCGATTTATTTAGGAGTCCATTTTCTAAATTTGTTGTGTTTGCACTTTCAGTTGGGTACGTGATATTTTTGTAGCGTCTTACTTGCGATTTGAATGAAAAACAGTCTTCGCACTCAACTATTATTGTTCACCGCAGTAAAAAGTCCCAAGTGTGTATTTATTAGGCATAGTTTCATCTGATGTATTTGAAAATTGTTTATTGGGTTCCATATCCAACGTGTAAAATGGGACCCTATTACTAAGAATCCGCTATCTGTCTGTCCGTCTATCCCCAGGCTCTCATTAACCATGATTGTTAGACAATTGATGTATTTCTGTTGCCGCTATAACAACAAATACTAAAAAAGAGAATTAAAAAAATATTCAAGTGGGGCTCCCATAAAACAGACATTTTTTGCCCTTTTTTATAGATAGTGGTACGGAACCTCGTGCCATTTTTTACCTTTATTTATGTATGTTCATATTTCCTTATGTTCCTTCATAATTTCTATACGGCTGAGCCTGATTTTGGTGAATGTGTGCGAATGACACTGGGTGTATTGAAATTATAAAATACGAATTGTCCAATTTTTGCCGTCAAAATGCATGTTTCCAAAAATAATTCATAAAACAGTGTTTTTTTTTTATTTAATGACTTGTTGCTAATTGCCTCTTACAAACTATCTTACATGAATATTTCGTAATAGTTACGCGACGCGAAACAAAACACTATCCGGTCGATGCGTATCTTTGCACCTTTACGGGCAACGGCAGCCGTACCCGAAATGCCTCGCTTATATGGAAGTGACCGCGTTCGTACGCCGATGCGCCCTCCAGATGTTCGTACTTTCACCTGCCGTTGTGCAACTCACCGTTTGATTCGCCAGCGTGATTCATTCCATGGCCGGAGGGACGTCTATGATCGGGCCGCCGATCCACCTTCATTGGGATTCAGCACGTCGTGGCCGAAACTCCGCCGTATTCGGCCGCCTCCTAATGTCTCCATTGTCCACCGGATCGGCTAATCCACGAATACATTATTGCAACTAATCGCGCTGCCGGTGTCGCTTTTATAGCCCATTGGTTGCCTTTAATGCGTCTGACGTATTAAAATGTTGGCGGCTTTTAATTTTGAGCGTTAACAAGCTTACGAATGCCGCCATTTTATTTTTCAGTATTGTGAGTGTTAAAACACATAATTTATACATATTTACTTATTCGTTTTACCATCAGCATGTCCCAAACATTGTTTTCGCAATTTGTGTGCGTATTTCGTATACTTTTCGAACAATTACAGTATAATGAAATCGATGTAAATTATGATACCGGTAAACAGAACGTCATTGTGTTGGAAAATATTGATAATTAATAGACCATTTAATCGCATCATTACAATATTATAAAATTGAACTAAATGACGACGTCTCAAAAGCTACGCAGTTTAGGAGACATTATCTTTTTAGGTCGAAACAAACATTTTCGCGTTGAGGAAGCGTAATGACGAAGTTGCAATCTGCTTTAGTTTCGCAATAATTTCACGGATGACGCGTTCGTATTTCCTAGTGGTGGAAAAGCGGAGTGCAAAAGTTTCGGCGCAGCGGCACTGGACGCGGCAGAGCGTGGCCGTGCGGGGTCGTCGCCTCCGCTCCGGCTAGCAGTACTCGTTCTTCACAGGCGATTCTACCTCGGCGCTCTCACTAGGCTTTCGGTACTATCACAATAAAGTCTTAACCTGCATTTCGATATCATGAATTTGATTTCAGACAGGTTCCTTTTAAGGAGGAGCAGTATGGCCTTTATTTGTAGCTTGTTACTTTATGCGTCAGAATTATCTTGTTTATCATCTATGGGTAACGGCTATTGTTACTATCTAATCATATGGATTCATTACTGAGTACTGAAACGCAATTAACTACCATAAACTTAACAATCTCGCTCGGTGCAACGTCGAATTGCGTACCGGCGCGGTAAGTACGTATGCAAATGCAAATATCGATTCACCTCGTCCCGCCCGGTCCCGGTGAGCGCGGTAAACGGGGATTATTCGAAAATAAAAAAAAAACCAGGGAGGGAAAAAAAACGCAAATCGCCGGCAAGTGTCGTCGCGTGTCGGATTCTGGCGGTTTCTGCGAGAGGGCGCCCGCCGCTCGGCGGCAAGGCAACATCTGGAGGGCGCGCTGCGCTCGCGTCGGAGGGGCGCGCGCGGGGACCCCGTGTTCCGGGCGCAACGCGCGCCAGTCCCCGAGACACCGGCCGCGCGAACGGCCACCGCGACCCGCCAACGCTCCGCGAACATCCGCGACCCGCTCCCGCTCCGCTCGCAACCAGCGGCGTACGCACCCCGCTTTGCACACATGTGAGTCTCCACAACGCCGCTTCCGCCCCCGCGACCACTCCGCCGCGCCCTTACCGCCCGCCGCCGCCGCCGCCGCCGCCGGCCGGCACCGCGACTAACCTCCCGCTTGTGGTGTATTTCTGAATACAGCGACGTTTGTGATTTGTGTACGCTTTGATAGTCCGACGGTTTCCCATCGTGGCCAAGTGGATAGGTAAATGTATAAGAGGACTTTTCAAAAATGCACCACGAGTACAAATGCTTATCACACGCTGTAGCCTTATACCTAAGAGATAAACTAACAAAGTAGCAGTAATGGGCGCCGGCCTGTAACAAACTCTTGAAAGTCAGTCCACAGTCAGCTAATCTTTATCTATCCCGCATCAGTGGGCGGGCAAGACGAAGTTGATCGCTTAATTGCACCGATCCCGCAGACAAGCGATATCGAGTCCATAGCTAAACGGCTGTGAGCCGCGATGGTTCGTATTTCAATTAGACTAATTAAAAGGCCGGGCGATCACGCAAGCTGCGGCGGCATCTCTGCCCGTCTCGGGTCTTCGAACTTGCACCGTGGAAATGGGATTATTGCGCGATTGCCTTAAACGCTGTTTCGCACTCTACGAGCTCTATTCCGACGCTAAATTGCGCCCGCAGTTTGCGGCGCCGTGGCTGATTCGACGCGCCGGATTCCTTGTGATTCTCACTTGGGCATTTTCAGCTCTCGGTCTCGTCTTGTGGCCGAGTTGAACGTACCGTCGCACGTCGACGTAATATATAACAGCCGGCGACTCAAAATCAATGGCTGTTACACATCGCTGAATATTATATTTATGTAGTCGGCCGCTTCGTATTCTTTTTGCATGGGTCTGTGTTCGTGAATTGTAATCTACGTTTTTTAATTGGACTGAAAATAAATACAATTTATTTCGTGTAATTTATATATAACGTAAAAAAATAATATAGAGCAAAAAATCTTGATACCGATTTCAACACTGGTGATAGCAAAAAAAGGCAATGACTACAAACAGTTGTGACCATGAAGAATTTAATAAAGAGATCTTGCGTCGGCCGTGTCACGTGGATCTGATTTATGATTTGTTTTTTTCTTCAATGACCGAACAACTATTGTATCCAGCAGAAATGCCTTGCCAAGAATTCTTATTCTTTTATAACAGGGCAATACAGACATTGGACAATCGGATTATTTAAATTTTCTCTACGCTTTTTACTACAGCTAACTAAACTCATGATTCGTGTTTTATGTGGTTGGTTAAATATTTCTGAAGGTATCGTGTACTGCAATTAAGAGAGTTTCTTAAGCCTTTCGAAAAAAGAAATAATATAAAAATATTACCGTTTACATGATAATTCTCTAAATTTGGATAAACAAGTCGAAAGAACATTGAAATTGGATTATTTTTCGATATATAGACCGATTTATAGACCAGGTTCGAAACCCGCAGCGCCGAAAGTTATCCTTCATTTATCTACAAAAATTTAAAGAAAAAAGATACAATTTACTGTATAAGTATTAAATTTTTATGGTGATATGATTTTAATATAATGTTTTAAAAATTTCTATTCATGTCCTTCATATAAACAAACAATATTAAGTTACCCTCTTTTCGGAAAAATCAGTAAATTTTGATATCAAATATTTGCTACCCATGCAGCTAGGCCGTTGGTTACCTCTGAATTTTTGTAAATCACTGTTTCGCATTGCTCTCCAGTGTACCACGATTGTTTTACCACAAGTTACACTAAAATATGAATAGGAATACCTAACAATGGTTATCTGTTGAAGTTAAAGACACGCGAACGTGGAGCTTTTAATGTTTTTTCCTGTTGCCAATAGTTTCCATTCCCCTTTGAGTCACTCCAACCATTTGAAGCATATTGTGATTTAAGCGATGCGTGCGTGCCATTTTACTGCTTATAATTAGTCGTAGGCGACGCTCGTTGCGGTGGTCCACGTTTCGCTCAGATCCCACTGACTCATTGCCAGACGTGGTGTACGTCTCATTGAACTGTTGTCACACAAATAACTGTGGTAGGGCCACGCAACAGTCTTCGCTTCGTTGCACGAATTGGCAGATCCGTAGTTCCACGACCTCAAGGAAGACCGGCGAAAAGAAGAAGTGTTATACTTCTGGGTTTCGTTTGGTGAGTGAGTTAGCTTTATTGAAAGGTACATCTGCAATTCTACGGGAGTTGCAAATATCGCTGGGCGGTGTATCACTTAACACCGGGTGAAACATCAGCTCGTTTGCCATTTTCTCAGATAAAAACATTCTCACTGACTCATTGTGTCAGACGCCCAATCGTGGTGGTGGTAATGGACGTCCCATTGGACTGTCCTCACATCGATTCCGCAGATTCCGTTGTTGGCTGGCGGAATGCCGACGGTAATGCGTCGGTATTCTTCGACGGCCTGTCGACACCGAGTCTATGGTGGCTATCTTTCACCGCCGTCTTACTAGTATTCCAGGCGTACCTCTGCCTGTCGGCGGCTGGCGGTTGAGACGTATTTATAGTTACGTTTAAATTGTTAAGCAGACAATTTAACGTGACTATAAATACGGTACAGGAATGTAGCTAAGGAAACGGCTATTCGCTCGTTGCTTGTTAAGCGTTGATTAACACATACAGATGAAACGCGCGGATGTGCACTTTCTTGTGCGCTCCAGTTTAATTGTTGCTCCCAGTTTATAACGTTTCGTTTAACTCAAGTGATGACGGAAGCAGTTGAGACAGGAAGAGATAAAAGAAGAGAGCGGGAAGTGAGAAAATTGTTTACTTCAACGTGCGCTTAATTATGAAACATGAAAAAAAAAACATACACAAATCGATAAACCATAAATCTATCATATCCTCGGGCGAAGTCATCGTTTTGAAAAACAGTCCGTTCGGCATTCGATGAAAGGAAAACGTATCCTAATTCTGAAGTCATTAAAATTGACTGCGATTCCCATCGTTCGGATTTCTTCACATGACAAAATCGGCTGCTCCGAACTCGGTTCCGTGATGTGATAAAATCGAAACTGCAGTGGGATGAGAACTTTGCTATCTCGTGCCAATCTTACAATGGAGCCCGTCATTATGGATATTTACATTGTAAAGATTCTTATCTTCACGCCTCCGTGTATCAGAGGCGGACGGTGTATACGGACTGTATATACTCGAGCAACCAGAATTTAAATCTCGGTGCCGGCAACAATTGTTAATAAGAGATTGTTAATTGCAATTTTAAGTGCTATCGTATCACGTGCACTGTGGTGATTTACCTTCACCTTGTTCTTTCCCTTCTGCATATTTTCGAAGTAATGTAAAAAAAAAAATTCGAAGATTTAGTGAAATCCGCCAAGCCGCGTGAGGGTGAAATACTCTAATAGCCTCTGGCATAGCGGCGGCCTTTGCGTAGGAGTGGGGCATATATGAGCTACTACTTTTGCTTTATGATATCAACAAGTACATGTGCAGTTTACTAACGTACGTAATTCTGTTGTTTGTCCAACGCTATACTAATTAAGATGAAAACATAGCTAGCTTAAAAATAAGAGTCAAACTTTTTAAATATATTTTAAACATTTTTTCAATTACCTTCTTTGCATGGTTAAAAGTTAGCGGTAAGTAATTAAAGCACTAAAAACGTTACGAAAAAGAAATAATTTAATTGCGATAAGAACGCAAAGTTTCTATTTTTCAATGAGCGCAGTTTACGGAGATTGCATTAATTATTTTACGACTTAAAATTATATAGGTTTGAAAACATATTACAGCTATACATATAAAAGATATTATTTTACAATAATATCTTTTATATGTATAGCTGTAATATGTTTTATATAAAACTCGAATATCTTTCTTTTCAACAGCTGCATAGTTATATGTGACAATCGTCGGTAGAGTCGGTCTTAGGCGTTTAATCAATCTTCAGGCAAAAATCTTTTTCCTTAATATGTTACAAAAGTAATTGTAGTTTTTTGTTACCGAGAGAACAGACATGCAAAGCGAATGAAAAGATTCGTGTCGGCCTGAGCTCGTTGGTGGCTTATTTTAGAATACGTATAAGGCAACTGAATTGCAAAGAACAGTCGAGAATATTTATGGCGCGCACGGTTTTATCAATTAAAATAAGCGCCAACATAATGCGGCGGTACGGTGTAAGATGGTATTGTTCTGCGTATGGCTGGCGAACTCATTGTGTCGGGTGGCGGGCGCCGTTCGGCAAAAAAAGCTCTTAGTCATCGCTGAATCAATCCGAGGCGTATTTAATTTGTAAACGCTACCGAGAAACTTGTATAAAAAGCCCTTGTGTAACGCGTTCTTAGATTCGGTAACGGCGGTCGAGATTGCTCGAAGAAAACTCTGTATTCATATTAGAGCTGGAGCTCCTCAGTCATTGTTTGGGCTATCGCCTCGCTACGATCTGGAGAGAGCTCGTTAGGCGTTGTTCCCAGACCGTCGGCTGTCTCCGCACTCGTTAAAAACAACTGCACTCCCGTCTCTGTGAAGCTATTCCGGAGCGTATTTCGGCGAGAGACGCCTTGTCGGATCTCGACCGAGCGAAGAATCTCGATGGTCCCGCTACCCGTCGCTACGGTACTTAGCCTTACCCGCGATTGCCGCAACGCTAATGCGTTTTGTCTTAACTCGGTTCGGTCAATAAATCACCGCCGCTCGCCTGCGCGCACCAGTCGCTTAAATGTTCTCGAATGTTCCTTCCTTTCAGTGCCCGCTTTGATCGATGCTCAACGAGCTCCGAGGAGAATGCGTACCGTCATTATCTTCACATCGTCCAGCGCTGGTTGATAGTGTATTAAGAATCATGTTAGTATAACGTATAATCGTGCTTAGCCGTTGCTCGTTTGGCTAATACGCTGTGAGAAAATAGCCCACGTCGCACGTAGAGTAACGAAACACATTAAAGCCGGTATAAAACATTCTTGGTTTTATTAGTTCCCTGTCCATCCAGATTTATGCCCCGGAAGCGGGTGTTACGACAGCTGGCGATTTCGGAATAAAGTTCTCATCGTCCTCTAGTGTACGTACGTTCGCATCAAATAAGAAACCACAGTATCGAATGTGTTAAATATCGAACGCGAGGACATGTGCTAACCGCGTTGACGTCGATGTGAGAATGGATCTTAGTGATTCAATTTAGGGTAGGTTTTGTCTCGATATCGCGCGGCGGTGATGTCATAGCCAGCTGTCGGGCGGGTGACGTCACGCGGGCGTCGACCCGCCGCAACCCTCCGGCGAGCCTGCCCACCTTCGCACCATGAATAACTTAGTGCAACACAGCCTGCACCGTGCGGCCGACCTGGGGCAACCTGCGATAGATACACCCACAAATATTATCCCGTCTGGAATATGAAACATAAATCACGCCGCGAATCCCCTTTGTGCGGAAAGCGGCCAGCGCGCGGATGGGATTTTTTTTAATCTCTTGTTATCCGTTTTTTAAAAATGATTGCAGTCTTTTCATTTACGTAGGTAAGATGTAAGTGTAGGTCTTAATTGCCAGCGTGCAAAAACTAAGGTGCGGTAATGAATATGATATGTTTTTCATTATAAAAAAGTAGACTTTTTAAAAGAACTTGAAAAAGATGCTTACGCACAGACATCCTTAACGCCACTTTGTCTATACAGACAAAAAATAGAATTTACATATAAAGAAAATTGACGACCTCAATGGTGTAGTCGGTAGTGTACCTGCCTTCTGCGTCAAAGGGTGAGATCGATCCCCACTACTGGATAAATATTGTGTGATGAGCATAGTGTTTTTCTAGTGTCTGGGTGTTTATATATGTATAAAGTGTAAGTATGTTTAAGTATGTCTATCAGTTTTCCTAGTACCCACAGTACAAGCGTAGCTTAGTTTGGGACTAGAGAACGTTGTGTAAAGAAATGTGTCCTAAACGTGTCCTAAAAGAAAGCCTCTAAAGGCCGGGGACACTATTGCAGTTCCTTTGGAGTTGTGAATGTCCGTGGTTCGCGGTGATCTCCTTTTATCAGGAGTGCTGATAGTTATAAGTTTCATGGTATAAGAATTGTACTGGCTTTGAACGTTTCTTTCATAAGTATCTACGTCAATATTACTATTGAATTTAAACACTCGAAAAAATAAGTCGACTATTCCAGACTTGCTTACATGTTACTTTCAGTTTCATATATAAGAACTACTAAAAATATATTAAAATTGACAACATAAATAAAACTAAATGTGAATTAATATGACATAGACACAGCATGCCCTATTATATGAGAGCTCAAAATGACTTATAATTACATCGTTGCGCAAAACAGTAAATTTAATAACCATTATGCGGTGCAATCATACACCGTTATCATTCGACAGTGCCCGAGGAGGAAATAGTCAGTGTTCAGGCCGAATAGTGTGAAGGTGTCATTAGCTACAGTTATCGACCGGCTTGTATAAGCCGTGGTTATTACTGGCCCTAATTTTGTTTATTTTGCCGTTTAGAACAACAGAAGAAAGCACACTGACAGATGATTAAGTGAACATTGAAGAATCCTAATATTATTTCTATTCGTGTAACGTGTTTTCAGCTGGAAAAATATCTAAATATATTCGCAGTCGTTATTAGTTTACTTTTCGCATTGGTAGTCGTGCACAAATACGAGCGTACACGTGTAACGAAGATTTATGGAATTGCGGGAAATGTGTACGTACGCGCGCGTTTCTATCACGACCCCAACATTCGCGTCACCCTACCTGAATTAAGAATATCCCGTGGGACTCGTAGGCGCCGTCGATAAGCGCAAAAGCCTCGCACCAAGCATATAGTATTGCGTAAAATACAGTTTTTATTCCGTCTGCGCGGATATACCGCGAACAATCCAGAGGCCCATTCTCATATTGTTTAAGAAGGCTTTTTTTATGGGAAAAGTTGGCAACCGAGCCGCCGATGAACATGAAGCATCTATACGGTTGCAGATGCCTCATTCACCAGACGAAGCACAGAAGTATAAGACTTCCACTTCACGTCGGTCTTCTACGAGGCCGTGGTAGTTCCCCAGATGGACATGCCCATTCAACAGTGAAGATTGTCGCATGGCCCTATCACACTGGGCTTTCGCTTGCGCCATGCGAATTACGGTTATCGCAGTCTTATAAATGCCATTATTTATTTATTTATTTATAGCATCACAAAGCAGAAAGACAATGTATTTAAATAATAATACATATATATAATATAACTAATGTTATATATATTAATGTATAATATTCAGTTGACATTCCAAGTATGTGATGACTTGCTGATATATGAGAAAAACAAGAAAATTGATGGTACATACTATAAAAGTGACAAAAAATAAATATTTGTGAACAAACATGCTAAAAAACTTAAAACTAATAAATATATAGCTAAAATAGAATAATGGAGAACAATATCATGAAGCATTTAAGGCTGCTTTCAATATCCGTTTAAATATGAACCGATCGTCACCTAGAATTATCTATGGATATCGTACAAATTGATTGAAACACTGAGATGGATTTTTAATCGCGCGCATCTCAATTTCACCGTCGGCCGCCGGGATGGTGTCGTGCCGCCGGCTGCTTTCCCGCGTCACGCGAGCCGATCCGCGGCCCACGTCCTCCGACTTACAGATAATCGTATACAAACAATGGCACAGTAATAAGATGCTTTCGTTTCGAACGATCTCGTCGCCTAAGCACACTATCGATGGTCGATTTTAACGTGCGACGACGAAAGTGAATGCTCCCCGATTTTGGGCGTAATTACCATGTGCGTAATGTCTCAACAAAGTCAAGTGAAACAAGATTTTTTTACGGATTTTGCCCAGTTTATGTTATTGAATTCTCCTCGTATTGAACACAACGCCTTTTTTGTGACGGGGATGAATCTTCATTCATCACAAAAAATTACATCTGATTAAAATACTGATATTTTTTTAATGTTTGTTTGATTTATTATTTTGATTATTTATTTATTTTTTCCTTGCCTTGCGACCATGAATATTGGTAAAGGTTTCGAAAGGTGGAATCTATAAATAACTGAAATTCGGATGTGTATAAAACCATGTATGAACATTCATGAAACGGTTGTATTCCACTGTGAAGACCTTTTGCGACTGTGGTGTCTTAAGCAATAAATGTTTAGTGTGTATTACTAATTCCCATAATTAGCATCACTCTCTACGACGCTAACTACGTGTTGTAGTAGTGAATCATTCTCAGGAAAATTCTCACCGAATGGATTGTAATCGCTTTATTACTTGTAATGACCGTTCTCTACTGTACTTACTACTGATCGTGTATACTAGGCTTGTAACCGTGTTCCACTGCTGCCTCGTCATTGTCAGTTGTTTCACTGTTTGTCACATTATTGTCAGGATGTTTAACTATTATTTTATGGTCCTGAAGGTCCCTTAAATTTTTGTTTAATTTGTTTACTTATGTACGCATGTAAGAAGCTGTACTTCTTTGGCTTTAAGCCACTATATAGAACGTTTTTACACATTTGATGTTTAACGTATTACTAAAGGGAGGTTTATCGACTCATTAATTTCATACAGCTGTGCGTTTCATCGTAAAAAGTATTTTATCGAAAAACATAACTATATTCTCGTAAATTCGAAATTAATGTTTTCCGTTTTATGCAGCCGATAGAACTAATAACCGTCAATGACTTGACATTTCATAGATGAAGTGGGCCACTCACTGTCAATACTCTATGTTTAGTCAAGCTGTGAAGTGTTATTTGTCAACAAAACAGAAAGTAATTTTCAAAAATACTTAAGCCCCTAAGTTTACTCTTGCAGTATGTCGACACATCGGAGGATTACCTTATTGAAATGGTTATATAAAATTTTGTTTCACACAATATGGCTGGAACATTCGCCAGGTATTATTTAAGTGGTTTTAAGGTTCTGATGAAACACGTTATATTTCCATCCTATGGCCCGTTTTAAAATTTCAAAAATGTTTTCTTTGTGATGGCGACAGATTTAAACAATCGGTTAGTCTACGGTTTAATCCGCGAGAGCGCCAAGTGGCCCGTCGGCAGCGTCCGCTAATTGGTTTCGTTCTTCGGATGCCGCCAGGGTACTCCCACTCGGCGGCGTCGCCTCATTAGCGGCCTGGAGTGGTCCGCGGGAGAATTTAATTGCAGACTGCGGCCGCAACATCCCCACGGCCGGTAGCCATCGCCGCAATTACGTGTCACGAACACACTTCCGCTTAATCGTCTTTCCTTTTGAATATCGAATCTAAATATTCGTTTTTAAATCGCAAATGTCGTGCTATTTTCTCCGCTTTGACGCGGTCGGATCCCAGCAAAAGATTTGACAGTCAACACCGCAGTTTTCGCATTCCTAAAGGCCACTTTAGCGTTACTACCCTCACTTGCTCTCAACCACTAAAGGTTAACTGGAACTTTTTCAATCAATCAATTCAATCAAAGGCAGCTCGCATGACATGTGTGTATATTACTCGCCAGCGGCACAAATGTGAAACGATGATTAGTTAAATGATAATTTTTTTCTCCGATTCTTGCCGAAAGTCAAAATTTTAGCTGCATCAACGAAGAACTTTCAAATAATCCTCAAAGCTGGAAACGGAACGTTTTCTGATGAAGATAATATACTATATATTATCTGTGATGGTTTCGAGAACGAGTGTGACTAACACAGGGGTCGTGTCGGATAGTGACTGCTCTTAGCGGAGAGCACAATAAAAACGAGTTGCGACGTTAAGAAACAAGCGAGGCTTATGACGTTGCCACTTAACATCGTCCGAAGCACATCCCTCAGCATGCAAGCATAGTTTTATAGCCACTGAAAGTGACTTCACTCCTTACTCGCTGTTTCGAAACTCATTATCTGTAAAGCTAACAACGTGCTCGTGCGATTTATTTACCGTAATAGATTCATCCGAAGACTGCGTAGAGTCTGAGATGCGATTGGGTTTCGAGTGAAAAGTTAACGCTATAGTTGAATGGACTGTGTTGTTATCAAGGTAAAAATAGCTGCACGTGCCCTCACGACATGCTGACGGCCCTTATGCGGCACGGCTCTTCATTTATCCACGGTGCACTCGCTCCGAATCAATCCTGCATCTACTTGTTACTTTTTTACCATTTCTCTATTCTAGTGGTCTACCTCGATAAACAATTTTCTCTTATACTTAAAATCCACTCAATAGAACGGCAAAGATAACAATAACAATTATTAAACGGATTTATATACATTGAAATAACAATAACTGTTAGAGATGTCTGTTTAAAATACGCTTTGTTAAATACCGATAGAGAACAATTAAAAGATAACGGTAAGATTGGGTCGTTTTATTCGTAAATAATGCGTTAAATTATTCTATTCGAAAATCCAATAAAGTTTCGCGCAACTATTATTCTCCGACCGACGCCCTGTTTCCAGATCGACATTGATAATACCATGAATATTAATATACACGCTACGTGTTCATTTTAACGTCGACGAGGTGTCGTTGCATGTCGGGAGCGTTGTTCCTAGCCCACCGTAGTTATTAACATTTCATGTGCACACAGGAGTGGCTGATTTACAGTGCCCCCCTACGTCGGACGGGGGGGCTTGAATTAGTGCTGTGTCGTGTGTCGCACGACATTTTATTTCACTCCGCGCGCCTTGTCCGCCCTCGGGCGCAATACGCCTCAAATCCCCATCCTTAATACGTCACTGGCTATTTATAAACACGCCTTATATAGACACCGGCTCGATGTATCCACGAGGAATACTCGCTCCCTTTGACCGTACAAAAACACGTCGCGTCCAACGGTTTGAATGTTCATAATTCAAGATGTACCTTTTCCCTCTCAAGGAGTCGTAATTTAATTTCGTGTGACACTGCGCCCGTTTGGAAGGAGTGCGGAGCTGACAAGATTAATGACACGATCGCGCGAAGCACTTCAAAGTAAGGCTGTAAACACGTCTCAGTGTCCCGCCTGACAAAGACCAGAATCCAGGCGATCGGCACTGCATTTCATCAGTCTGTGGCGCCAGTCACCGAAATTGATTATGGTGAAGATTTCTAGTACATTCGTAAACAAAGCCGGCGTAGTGTTCTTGGATAAAACACAATTCTTATATAGTCTTGAGTTTGTTTAAGTTAAGAAGATTGCAATATTGTCTTTCTTATCTGACATTATAAAGTTATCAATAGAACTGCGAATGTTTTGAGTCTCAACAATTAAGCTTCTCTAGAACTAGACCACCGTACGATTTTAACACATTCAATGTTAGCTTAAATTAAAATGATATTAAATAGTAATAGAATTGTACGCCAATTTAACAAAGAATTTGTCCCATCTTAGACATAATTATTATTTATAGCAAAATTGTCGTGGGAATGGTCAATGCTATATGCCACATTAAATTAATTACTAAACCAACTGGGCGAAGCCAGAACATGGGTCATTTGCAAATTGTTTTGTGTTGTTTTAATGAAATGGATGGTCACGTACAGTGACATCATACTATCGTATAAATAGGTATGGTTCCTCCCAAAGCTCGTTCGCCACACCCGCCGCCAAATTAATAACTTATTAACACGATCGATTCCCAACTTGCTTTCGCGTTAATTGCATTGTTCATTCACGGGCTGTGGATATTTAGACTTGTGTTTATAATACCGCTTCGATGGAAATGTAGGGGATCGATAAAAGCGAACAATAGCGTTGGTCCTAGCACGTACTGATGATGTAAGCGGCGATTTCCTGCGGGCTCTAGCTGGATGCGTGTGCGCGGCTGCCTGCTAATTACCCGCCCGGTGACGTCACCGCGTCAGGCCGCACCGCGACGCCGCGTCGCGCCACCATTAACAGGCGCCCTCGCGCGGAAAAGACAACGACCGCCGCTTTCACCGCTGCGCACCAACCACCGACCGCCGGCCCGCTTTCAAGGTCACCAACAACAGCACCGCATAAATCACTCAAACAATTGAATGCTGATATAGCCGTTCACGTAATGAGGAGCTGCAATAGATTTCGAAATTCGAATTCGGCTCGATCGAGAGGCGCGATCGCGGTTGATAAAACAGACGGTGAGCGGGCGAGTCGCTAAGCGTGACTCATCTTAATGGCGGCAATTATGGTGGCAGGCTCGAGACGGGCAATCGGCAAGAAACGCGCCGTGCCGCTCTTAGCTTACCCGTGCTGTGGAGAGCGCGGGATTCACAACTATGTGAACGGTCCAGACACCGTATGGTCTGCCGCTTACAATGAATGTTCAAGCGCGCGTTCGATTTAAACAATGCGCCTCAATATTCATACGCATTGTACGGCGCCGAGAACGTTCCAAACGGAAGCGCACAAACGCACAAACGGCGCGGTGTTGACGAATCGTTTTTTTGCCAGAGTTGAAGGTCATTCACAATTAACAGCCAGTGCAACAGTGCTGTTGAATTTTGTCACCGAGGGAAGGAAATCACTATTCAACCTGTTTGATAATGAGGTCGAACAATCTCGTAAGAACTGCCACAAAAAGCCCCCGGTCGGATACTAACACGATTGACTAGTCACTAATTGCATGAAAATGCTAGATTTTACCTTGTTTTCGTAATGAATTTCTAGATATTGCAATAACTGAACTGAACTTTTACTGGCTCTAAATTTCTTTCTGAACAAGAAGAAAACTCATATTTACACAAAGGCAGTATAAGGAATATATATTTTTTTATTTAATACGGATCTGTAACCTGTCAAATCTGTTTCGGTATCGCACGAATCGCTTTTAACGTTTAGTATATTTAGAACGTGTTCAAGGAATTGTTGTATATCAAGATTTGTGTTTTATTTTTCATCCCTCTCTCCTCTTTTATAAACATTCTTTTTACATTGGAAGCGATCTGTTGAAGGGGAAAATCCTATCCTGAATAAGATTATTTCTTCGTATGGCAATGTAAGTAGTAACAATTTTATTAAACGAATAAGTTGAAAATACATTTTAACGTAGACTTTGAAGCTTACTATTGTTATTGTACAAAATTCTATTAAACAATACAAGTCGGCTGAATCACGTACTAAATTTATTGCTTCAATTTGTCAAGAATCTAGACCAGGTTCAGTATCAGATCTTATACCTTTGTAGAAAGTTAGTTATTGTATTGTAATTCGTTATTTCTTATTTCTTTTTCCATTTTAGGTCTTAATATGACTTATTGTTTAAAATTTTGTGTGTTTGGTTAAAATTTAATTTATGCCACACGACTAGTGCCTTATAATGGTGGCATAAAATATTTTCAGAACTTTATCAAATGAATGGAGGTAAAATCTGTTTGTTTTGTAGTCATCGTTGTCTGATATTTAGACGAGTCGTGCTATCACTTATTAAATAGCTTATTGCGGAGTCAGAAATGAAGCGGATCGTATCTGTTCCCAGTCGGCGGAAGGCGGGGAACTTGTCGTGTCGCGGCCGGGTATCTCTCACTGCCTTTAAATGTCACGCGCACCGTGAAAGGACGCGAGACTGCTCGCTTAATGCCATCACGATCCTCATCGGGGGCATCGTAAAAACTGGGTCCTGCAATTGTCTACGCTCTAGTCTATCGGGATTCGTGGACAGTTTAATATAACGAAAAACAAATAATAAACACAATACAAGTGCTAGCCTGCCAAGATGGGACGATGGCACATCTATGAAAGACTCAATGTGAAATTATTACCATGAATATGTTCCTAATGCGATCTGCTCAGGACAGGGATGAATGGCGCAAGAGGGAGGAGGCCTATGCCCAGCAGTGGGCTGATAATGTTGATGATGATGATGATTCCTAAACCAATATTTGTTAAAAGCGGAAGCGTCGTAAATAAAGTGACGTTATTCAATAAAGTTATTTACTAATTCTTCGAGATTTAATATTTTCAGTTTAAATAAGTTTTCATTTAAGACCGTATGGAACTTCCTAGTGTCGAAAATTCTAATAATAAGGTCATTATGAATATTTATACAAAACAAAAATCAAATTTCATTACGCTCTCGACGTAAAAATGTGCTGCTAGATTCGCATGTCTATTTGAATTTAAAAAAAAGTAGTATCTTGAGTCCGTCCAGTGAAATTTCATTTGCATCCAACTTTTATTATTTAAAAATTTTAATGCATTTTAACAGGCACAAGTGCCTCGGCGTCTAGGCAAAAGCTGCCGTCTGCTCCGGCTTTCATCTCGTTTCCAACTTTCTTAACGATCTCGGCCGCCGCACTGTACTGCACATTCGCAGTTATAATTGATGGAGCTATATACCCAAGTCTTGCGCTGTGTCATTCTCATGACTATACATAAAATACTTTTACAACGGACTGCCACTTTCAAGTTACGTAAACAATGTTTTGAACAAATATTTTACAGTTATGTTCGCTTGTGGAATGTATTAATTATTAAATGATTTTATCAATAATAATAAATCTTACAAGTTTATCTATTGCACTAATAAGCACTTGAAATATTGAAAATAAGATAAGATGCATAAATAATTTTAATTCCATATGTAATATCCTTAATGTATTATAAAATATTCATGTTTGTATTCGGTTGTTAATTAAATTTATTAAGTAACAGTAACACGACTTCGTCTAGAACTGACTGCTAAACGCAAATCAGACAATTTTTACTAAAGCTTGGCCTCACCGGCCTACTGGAATGCCAATCCCGTGGGTGCTACTGTAATTGTGTGCATAGCGTACGTCTGTAACATTCTAAAAACGGCCCCCAGTGTGCTCGACTTACACGTATACGTTGAACGAATCCACTCGACTGTCCTCTACATTACAGATACCGAAACAGTTTCTGCGCAGGTGTTGTTAGTTCGAACCTATTGATTTTTTTTTTAACAAAAAAAGTAACATGTTTCCCGTAATCGGAACCACACGCCATATGAAATTTCAAGTGCACCAGATCCGATCACCAAAATAACACGTACAACTTAACGGATGAATAATGTGAGCGTTTCGCAGATTCACACGCTCGCTTCCGCGTTCGGACCGTTTCAAAACAATGGGGCGTCGCATAACGGTGAGCGTTCAGTGTAATAGAACCGTGCCTCAAAATGGTATCAATTTCGTGACTCCTACATGCGTCCCCGTTCTCGGGGTATTTATCGCTCTCTCGGGCGGCTGCCAGTCCACGGAGCGTTTCTCATTAACATCGCCTCGTGGCGGTGCCAGTTAGTCGGCCGCTTCGCTTTTATCTATATCGGCAAGGAGCGGCTCTCACGGCTTTATCACTGCACTCCCAGCCGGAGCTCCCAGCGAATTACACGCTGTGTCTTGTCCTCCTATGCGAGGCTCGCTACAGAATAACTTACTTCGATGCTTCCTGGCTAATAAATCGCTTAGTATATACGTAATTATACCTAATTTGTGTTTCTTTATGGAGCAAGATAAATATTAAAGAATTATTGAAATATACCAATTGATGAATGTGAAAAGTTCATTTTTTTTTCGATGTCGTAATAGTGTACTGTATGTTCTTACGCAACGAGGGACTTTAATAAGCCAATCTATTTCAAAGCCGGCTTTAAGCCTTAAATAAAGGGCTATATTCAGGCTATTGCAGAAATCTCGGATATAAATAGCCTTGCACGAGTTGGCTGACCCAAACAGGTTCCCACTGCAAGTCAGCTGCGCCCACGCGCGCGCCATCCTCATGACCCGAGGCGTTACCCTTGCTGACTCATTTTCAGTAAATAATAAGGCGTACTGCTTTCTAAATTATTTTTATTTTCACCAAGATTTTTGTTGTCGTAGGCTGCTCGAAATGAATTAATGTATGTCCCCGGTTCGTACCTGATCACTGATCACCTGTAGCGTCAGGAAGAACATTGAAACTGGGTTTTAGACCTCTCAATGTCCCACCTCCCGATATCGAACGGCTTATACTCGTTTAATAAACAACTCATTTGTATGTAACAAAGAAATAATTTTCATCAAAATCGGTGCCACGTGCGTAAAATGTTTCCTCGTGAAAAACATTGAAATCTGTTCGCTCTCACGGGCGCCGCCAGGCTCGCTCGGTTACCGACAAACCGGTGCCCGTTGCCGGGCTTCGTATAAATTTTCGCTTGTCGCCAGGCCCTTGCATGTGTGCTGCTGCGATTAAAGTCATGACATCACTTGGTAGGAAATAAGTGCATTAAGCAAAGCCGCGATATCTCTGTGTGCCACTATCTAACCGCGGCAGGCCAACACGCCTAATCTTGTTACGGATACATGTATCGGGTTTCTTAGATTATACTTTTTAATGCTCTGTTTCTGTTGGCTGTCCCTTAACGTGTTACCATACGTGTCCAGCTAAGCTGTTAATAAAAGCTATGCCAATGATACGACGTCGACTCTACGCTTCCCTATCAGGTTTATAATTACGCAAGGAAATGTTAATTAATTTCCTATTATTCTCTTAGAATATATCTAGGTATATTATACATTCGCGGCGTGCATAAATTACTCCGCAAAACTACTATAGGGCTGCCATTGGATCTCGCCTATTATTTTTTTTTAAATCTTAGTTATTTTTAAAGAATGTCAATTTTAAAATAGTTGTAGGTATTTCATTTTCTTTTTAGGTATATGAGAGTTATAAGAGCAAAACATAAATGACTAGATATTATAAAACGAAGTCACTCCACCGCGTCTGTCAAAATACAACATTGTGCTTAAAAACTGGTACACGATTTTTTAACGATTTTTCCATAACGGCCGCAGTGATTCATGGGGAAAGTTATGATGTATAACTTATTAAGATTTTGTATGGCTGAAATACGGACAAAGGTTTTTGAAAACGTCGGAAAAACTCATGATCTGCGGGTGAAACTCGCCGGGCAAGCGAAAAGAAATGCAAGCATACACGTCTACCTACGCTTTGCTACACGTGCGAAGCCGGGTCGCTACTGGTTTATATGTGACAGTCGCATTGTATATAATATACTAGTACCCGGAGGACCGAGCTTTGCTCGGTTTGTTTTTTTTTGGTAAATCGTGTATTTTTATATGCATAATATTTTTCGATCTTACCGACGTAATAATAAGAAAATATGAACTGATGTTTTTCACAAAAGAAAAAACTTTAAAAAGAAAAGGGAAAAAAATAACAAAATAACAAATCGACAAAAAATTAAAAATAAAGAAAGCAATGATCTGGAATCGAAAAAAAAGTAAAAAAATAAATGTGTAAATGATCGTGACGCGAACCACGGCCGTCTGTTTTGGGGCCGCCCGATTACCGACTGAGCTATTATGACATTTTCTCTTGCGGCGAAATTTACCGTCATATTCGAATTATATTTATCATTCCCTGAAAACAGGGATAAAAGGCCATTTTCTAAAAATGAAACCTAGCTAGATCAATTTTTCGCCCCCGAATCTATGCACATACTAAATTTCATGAAAATCGCTGGAGCCGTTTCCGAGATTCCGATTATATATATATATACAAGAATTGCTCGTTTAAAGGATAAGAGATAACTAAATCACGTAAGAATGAAAATAATAAAAAACAATGTTCAATAAATACAATTAATTTAATTACTAGAGTATTTAATACGTGAACATGAACTGAATGTACGAATATTGAGAGAGTGGCAACCTTAGGCTCAGTCGGATGCGCTGTACCGTGATTTTTGCGTTGCGGTCTTTTTGTATTCAGCACGTTTATACGCGGCTGGGGGCAAGAAACGAGGCACGGTTCTCTTGTATACCCCTGCCTCCCCTCTTCCGCCCACCCTTGGAAATGAATTCTATTTGCAATCGTACTTACGGGGAACATACATTCATAGGCATTGCGCGTAGGTAGGTACACGTAATAAATTGTTGGAGAAATTTCGCCGTCGCACCATCTCACGCTGCAACTGGTATTCGACAAGAGCTCTTTCACGAGTCCCAACAAGGCGCCGTTTTCTCGGATTCAGCGCAACCTGTTGGGCAGCTTTGGGCAGAAAGTTTTTGTTTATCGACATCGGGCGAGTGGATTTCGTAACTATGCGGACATTGCATAAAGATGTATACTGATTGGTACGTGATATATAAACGATTGTAAGCCTCCATTAAATGCCATCGCAGAAACATTCCTTTCTATCCAGTTCCATCACGCCACGTTACCTTACATCATTTTGTTTGAATGTATGTAAACGTAAACGCTTACTGTTAACCAACTATTAAAGGCTTTGGTTTTGGGGACAGTAATAAGCGTCCAATTATAATATAATTTATAAGGCCCGAATCAATATGCCTTCGTCACCATATGTTATGTATTATAAGCGACGTCTCCCATTATTATAAACTTTACCATTTTGCGAAACTCCCTGTCGTTTTGTTACTAAGCAGCGGACATTTAGTCATCAAACTTTAACGACGTCTATTTCAAAAGGCTCAAAGGAAGACATAAAAGAACAATGTGTTGTGTTCTGCTTCACGGCCCCTAATTGACATTTTGTATTTTAAGCCATTTAGGACTTTTATAAATGTACATACAGCTTCTAGGGTGGGTAAAAAAAAGAAATTATATAAACAACGTATTATTATTTATCCGTCTGCTAGTATTAGTATTTTAGTGTCATATTACTCACATTCATCTAATACCGTAAAATATTATCAGCCTACAGACAGTGAGCATTTTTAGAAGAATTATTGTAAATAACTTTCTGATTTAAAGCTGTAAACAATATTCATTTTTGTGTCGAAAAAATATTTCTTCCTTTCCTTTCTAGCTGCTTCACAATTTGTAAGTATCATAACGAAGGATGTTCACTAGAGTTCTCGCGAAACATCCAGAAATAAACGCCCCACGCCGTCGCCCGCGGCGGGCCGATAATTCCGTCGTTGCAGTTACCAATGCACTTCGCAGCTGGAGATTTCGACGCTATTTTATATAGCCATCCGAGACCATCCCGACACAGCGCCCCACGAATTTACCGGCGTTATTTCTGTATGCGCGAACGGACGCGGAGAGTTTCGTTTGAAACCCAATCGTCACGGACGGCGCCGGCCTACGCGGCACCGTTCTTATTCAACTTTCAATAGAATTCTATTAAGCCGCAATCGACATGCAACCTATCGATGCTTGCGTTACTGTTGTAACGATCGCGACCCAACACAGCTCTGTTCGTGTTTGAGTATTTCATTTTATGGACACACATTGCGGTCGCGAATCAATTGCCCCGTTCGCTCTCGCCCCGTCCATTCGTTCGTCTGGACCGTTGCCAAACGTAATACATGGAAAGTAACGAGTTTCACGTCTATAGATAAAATAAATTTCGCCACGCGCGCACCGTGAAGGTAATATCGATGTTTGCGAGCCGAGTTTCGCTGCGCACCTGTTTGCGCCGATATCCTTTCGAGTGCCGAGATAATAGACTGCGTTATGTATGACTCAGCGGGCAATATGTATGCAGATACTGCGAATTTTAATATACGCTATCGCTTTATCGATTAAATTATATTGATACAGCCATTAGCCCCTATTTCACCTGATTGCAATAAACTGAAATGTTATTTGGAAGCAGAAATACGTTTGTTGATATGAATTAACTACATGATTAAGTGCGCAATTTGTGTTGAAAATATTTATGATTTTTTTATTAAAATGATAGCAAGCGAGCAGAATGGACTTATACTATACTTGACGGGATCCATGTGTTGTGTTGCCAACCATTAAAATGTGGGCCGCGGTTACCTCACTCCCAAGACGAATCACAAAAATATATCCTTCCACTTCACGCATGTCCTATGTGAGGCCGTGGTATTTCCACAGATGACCATTTCCATTCCTGCATGAATTTCCATTAGTGCAGAAGATGCAACGTGGCTCTACCACAGTTAAAAAAAAATCTCTGAATGTTTTTTTTTAATAATAAATATCGTGTTTCAGTCAAGCAAATGAATAAATTATATATGAATTTGGACGTAAATTTGCTTTTACTTATGTACTTTTAAAAGGTCGAGAATTTCCTGGAAATTGTAAAAAATTTCGGTCAATACTTGTCTTCGCTTTCAATTAGCTCTTGAATTAAACATGAACTTTGAGAATTGCTCGCGTTACATAATTAAAACGGATACATAACACCATATATTGTTTTACGAAAAATAAATATAGCTTTGTGTATAACACAAGATTTAAAAAAGGCAAATATCTATATGATTATATTTAAATAAATTATATTTGAATAAGTTATATTCATATAACCTATGATTTATATTTATATAAATCAAATGTGCCTTTGGCATGCAGTAATAAAATTCAAAAATCGAATTTATAGATAGCCAGTCTATTGCTAAACCTATTTAGAGAAGTAATGTCGTAGGGTGTTGCATTGAGATAGTGACTTCATATCAAATTAAAAACACTATTACGTACTATCAAAGATAACGCCTTGACGCAGGTCGGCAGGGGAGTTTCAGTTAATCTCAGTAGCAGTATCCATGAGGGCTCCGAAATGACAAAATTCGTCGTCTAACTAATACTATCTGATTTTATTGCGTTTACCTAAAACATAATATACTTTCAATTTGTGTGCATTATAAAATACTTCGTTTAAAAAGGCTTGAATAGAATTTAGTTATAAGTAAATTTACTTAACAAATTTACATTCTATTCTTTCCACCCATTGCTTGATAATTGGATTAAATTATCATTATCATTGTTATCATCATCAGCATCATCAATAATGGGATTTCCGAATGAGAAGTGAGAGGTGGCTATGGTTTAATTAACACACTGTCAACGGACAAGTCGATGGCGTGACTATTTATATATATACATCACAGACTATATATATTGTTATGAAGCGTATTAATTTATTCAAGCATTGTTCACGTTATACCGATTTCTCTCGGCCTCGGCCCCCAACACGCGAGCCTAGTGCGTAATCGCGTTGCAAACTCCCGAGTTAGTGAATATAGCGCGCCTTCGCTCGGATGCGGTCGCTCGGGACGCTCTTATCACAACATTCCGCGAATTCTCACGGGCTATTTGCACGCCTGACGTCGGCGGGAACATTGTTCTTCACTATATTTCCTCGTGTAATCGAACTATCGTAAATAGCTCTGTCATAAGGACGACGCCATTGAAACAGTCATAACAAACATGATATCTTTATGTACGGCCCTTTTCCACATGCTCGTGTGCTTTAGGATTTTATTCAAATGATTGCGTCTATGGAGGGTAGAGGTCAGCACTGTTTCATATGGGGGTATACTGGGGCTACAAAAGGCCAGCTGTAAGCAGTAAATAACATTTCCAAATCCCTCCAAAAAGGCGCTATAGCAGCAAAAGAGTATGATTGTTTACCTTGTTGAGTTGGATTTTAGTAACTAGTAACAATGGTAAATATTAATTCACGATCACTCTTATGGACGTATGCTACCGTAGCGCCACTAATGTAACGCATTTCAACGGACACTTTTTATACACAGATATCCTTCTTGAGTGTTACAGATGGCAGATGCTATATGCTGTACGACGACGAGCTCGCTGCGGGTCACGTTTTAGGGCCAAATAAGTTCGGTGGAAGGTTGATTGCAGCAATTGTCTCTGTCTGTCCCGATGAGGTTAAATAGCGGCATTGAACTTTTACATCTAGCTCTAACATCTTCAGAATTTCTTAAGAAACGTGAAAAATTGCGCATTACATCAGGTGGGAATTCTGGGCAGCGATCCTTTCACGGAAGAAATATTAAAGGCGTTCTCTTTACTGCATATCACTTGAAATCGCATTATCTATAACATAATACAGACGAGGTCCAATAAACCAGCCAGACTCAAATACTATAGCAGTTTTAAAAGTTACTTTCTCTTTTAAATGCTAACGAATCAACCGTATCTTGGCAATTATTTAAGGTTACAAGGTTATCGGTCATAACTTTATTTTACACAAATTCGAAATTATCGTGACCTATAGAATGGAAAATGCTTGCGACGTAATAGTTATTTCTGTTCTGTTGTTGATAACTCTAATGAGAGTATTAACTTATATGATACTCCTTTTTTTTGCAATTTGTAACAAAATCCGTTACGTCTCCATTTAAATTTACATTACGTAGTATATTATCACATTTGTTGATGCAAACATTTTATTTTCCACGTTATCTGCTGAACAAATCCAAAAATATCGACACTATCTACATAAAAAATGAGATAAGCCATACAATCGATCATGAGGAAAGAAAAGAACAAGGCTCGTTCGATGCATTTAAGTAAGCGTGCGTGTTTTTCAACCTTGAGCCGGTGACTAACGCTATTGTGTCCGTTAAACGTCGTGGTCTGACGAAACTGTAGATTAGCCTGTCCCAGACGACAGTACGACATTAGTTTAAGCTTTTTCGGTACAGACAGCTTATCGGTACCGAAAATAACGACAGTTCGGTACGGGCAACACGGTATACGCAAAATTGACATGTACATTCGATTAACTTTTGCATTTGTCGTGTTTTATTTTTAGCAGCGCGCGCCGGCGCTATTCGTTTGTGGTAAAATTTTGAAACGAGCAAAAATCCAGCAGATGTTTACCAACTGTGTTTGATTTAAACGCCTAAATGGGGTACTTTGATAAGTTAAAGCCATATTTTTTTCATTCCAATTGCCTCAGTGTATTAATACACGCGTTCTTTATTAACACAAAATTAATTCATCATTATTTGGCTAGGCTTGGCATCTTCATAGTTCATAATATTTTATATTATTTTAACCGACTTCAAAAAAGGAGGAGGTTTCTCAATTCGACCGTATATATTTTTAATTTTTTTTATGTGTGTTCGCGGATAACTTCATCGTTTATGAGCCGATTTTGATGATACTTTTTTTGCCGGAAAGGTGATATCCCAAGGTTAGTACCATGATAAGGAAACCCGGATCTGACGATGGCATCCAAGAGAAATCGAGGGCAATCATTGAATGTTATATTTATTAATAACGTTTTTAAGTTTTTGATAAAGTCAGTTTTTTTTTGTTAAAAATTATACTTGTTTTAATTTATATTTTATATTTGAAATTGTTAACATGATTTTTGTTTTATTTGGAAGTAATAATTGAATCATCCTTTAATATCTCTTGCGACCCGGAGTCAATGAACTCACTCACGCTATGCCTCTGGTTGTGTAAACGCAAGTTTCTCTATTGTTTATGATGTTAGAATTGGCCCCTTATGACGTCACCTGTAACTTAATGTAGCAATTACTGACGACTGGTTTAAATATTCTATCTATCTGTATATTTGGTTACTAGCGATAGGTATTTTGACATTAGGTCCATAATAATTACGATTTCCAGTAACCGAACCTTCAGATAGATCGAATATTAAAATCGGCTTTAAGATAATAGCTGCTTACGCCGCTCAATGATCGATACTTGATGATTCGTTTCTTTAATACCAGGAGAGATTAAATTAAAGTCGAAATACGATCGTTTGTATTGATCACGAGTGAATTTGAAGCGGGGTCCGAACCACGCAAAGTATCCAGCCAACAATCTTTATGGCATTCCCCGCCGGTACTTGGTAACAATTTACGATTTCCGAGAGATATGCCTCGCATGCCCAGCCGTTCTTAATAAATTTCAATCAAACTAGTAACCCGTCTAACGAAGTGTTATCCTATGTTGGGATTAGAATTCGCCCGATGTTCTACGTGCTTTTGTCCTGTTCTTGATAAAGTAAGAGCGTCTATTGTACAAACGATCTCTCTCATAAGCTCACCTCACTTTGCATTAATGTGTTTTTAATGTTTTTACTCTTAGATGGAGAGGTTATTTTTCTAAAAAAGTAAAGTCTACAGCTGGGGCAGGGCTTCAGCTTTACAGAGAACTTTATGTGCAGGAAACAATCCTCACGGCGTTTTAGAAATATTTTCACATAGATGAACACATAATAAAAAAGCATAGAAATCATTAGCATTTATAATGCTGCTTTATTGACCACATGATCGGACACTGCACCGAGATTTGAACTCGGCTTGCTTGAAAATTGTGTTTTCTGGACGACACTGAGCCAGCACAGTTATTTTTATTAAATAAAACAAAAGAAGCGTTTTTATTATTAATTTGTATTGTTCGCGTAAATATTAGAAACAATTTTTTGTTGACCCGTGCGAATGATAATATAATAGATAGCACTTAAGTAAGTATTTATCAATGAAAAGAATCTCATAGAATAACGTTTTTTAGTCTACTTCGCTATAATGTGTTTTTTATTATTGTTATTAAATTTCTAACAATAAATGTATGACGATATCACAAGTATCATAAATTCATTCGTTATTAGAAATTTCGAAACGCAAGTTTTAACTTTATTTCAATTGTATATAGCGGCAAACATAAGCTTTGAAATGTTATGTGAATAATTAAGTTTGATGAAGAATTATGGAAATTACGCCGTTAAAAACACCTATAAGGAATAATATTATGTAATTTCTAATTAATGATTGTTTACACTTCGATGTATTCGAAAGTATGAATATATTTTGTATTAATGACAAAAAGTTTCGGAAAGTTGGCACAGAACGAGCGATTGTCTCGTTCTCGACGCCGCGCGAGTGTAATTTGCGAGATAGCGATCGGTTATTAAGAAACAATGAGGTGGTTGAGTAAAAGTGGCAACTAAGCAGTTGCAAAATATGATTGTGGCAGTCTGTTGCCATCTTAGCGCTTCTTTTCGCGTGGCAGGTGCCGTCAAGTCCGAGAGCGTGGTGCGCCGTTTACTCTGCATGCCCGCTCCACTGGGCCGAAAAGATGCGATATCGGCGCGAGATTTCAATAGAGACATCGAATCTAAACGAGATTGCTTAGACGTTTTTATTGCTTTCGAATTTTACGAGACTTTTTAAGCGGAGACGCTTAGGAGTTTGTCAGGTGTAGAATTGTTTATGCATTGGAGTTTCGTTAATAATATGAAATTGTTTCTGTTTTTGGATTGAAATTTGTACATTAATTTATCACAAACCAGCGCATAAGTCTCCTGATGAGAGAATGTTTTTAGGGCGTTTTGATATTTTAATAAAATATTAGCCTGCCGACATACTTCAGTGGACATATTTTCAGATATGTGAAAAGATGATTATTCTGCTTACAACATACAAATGGAAATAATACACAGGTCAACAGTAAAATCGGCACAGAAAAAATAATATTCAATTGGATTGAAATAAACTAAGAATTATTCTTGAGATTTTTACGAACAGGATTTTTACGACAGATAACAACAATTGATTGCACAAACACTGTCATGATTTGTTAACAAAATAGAAAAACGTTTTATTAAAAGATAAGACAAGCTATACTCGTGTTAATCTGCGCTTTCTTTTACTTTGGGTCATACTCAATCTTGGTCATAGCCGCGTCAGCATGCTCGGACACAAAGCCGCATTAAGTCATCGATTATCCAATTTCAAAAGAGGTCTTTCGCGAAATCAATTATGGTGGAAAAAAATGTGCATCCGCGATAGTTCGGCATCTCTGCACCGCCGGTGACTCAGAATGTGCTGACGGCGACGTGGGACGCCGAGCATTCTCCGCGCGATTGTATGCAAAGGAGGCGCAGGCGGAGCCGCCGACGCAACACAGGCCTGAAGCCCCCGAGAAAGCGGGCCGGCAGCGCCGCCTCGCAACACTGTGCGGGCCGCCGCGGCGCCTTCCCTGACTCAGCCGCCAACGATCCCCCTTTCTCTTGCATCGCCGATACAGCGCGAGATACGCCACCAATTACCGTGAGATTAACGGTCGAACGGGCGAGCGCCCGCCGATGCCCTTAATGAATTATCTAACAACGGATTGTTGTAGTTCTCCGGGCCCGCACAATAAACTGAGCCCTCGTCGGTTGTTTTATCGCGGCCGCTTCACGATTGCCCGATAGAGTCACGAAATGATAGGTCGGTTGCATTGAAAGTTTCTACATTAACTCGTATAACGAAATGTTTATAGTTCGAAGATATTTCAGATTTGTGAATGAAATTTGTCGCCACGTTCACGCGTAGTGGCTCAGCATATCGGCTACTGCGCAACGTGTCGCGGGCTCGATTCCCGCACAGAACAAGTATTTGTATGATCTACAGATAATTGTTTTGGGACTGGGTGTTTGTGTATGCGAAAATTATGTCTGTTAACGCACCCACGATACAGGAGAAATCCTAGTGTGGGCCAGCATTAAAAAAAAAACGATCAAACGAACGCATATCGATTTTGCTGTTTTAATATTATTATTATTCATTTAAAGTATTAAATTCGATCCATTTTGTAACAATACATATATGCTAATAAAAACCATGGATACATCATACATGAAGGCGTAATTTATGCGATGTTGTAAATATCGCACGGTAATCGCTCCCCATTTATGTATTAGTTCCAATCCAACTCTAGACGTAAACTAAATCGACGCTTGATCGCTTTTGATTTCGGCTCGTAAATCATTTGTTACACGTCTCGCCTTCCATGGGTCGTGCTAGACGCGGGTCTGCGGTCCATCCGTCTATTGCGGTGTCCCTAATGAACGCGCCGCACCACGAAGGTACCCTTGACCCGGCGTGGGAGGAAGCCGCGAACGTATTTTTAAACGCGCACGGGTTCGATGACCGCGCGAAAAGGTCTTGCAAGTGCGCGCGGTAGTTCGGCTAACTACGTCTCGTTTCGATGCAACACGCGACTTGATAAGGGTTCGTTGTCCTCGGAACATATGCTGTGTGTTATATTGCTTGTTGCCGATTACGTTACAAAGGTGCTTAAATACACATTTTGGCCGGAGATGTAAGAAAGCGTTTCGGTTGTTGTAAACAAACTTTGAGGAAAAACTTTATTGTTTTATAAATTGTTTTAATTTCCTTTTAATTACTGATGCTCTAAATTTTTTATTTGGGTTTTAGAATGATTTATCAATTTTAGGCTCGGCTTATATTTTGTGTTAAAGAAACAAATAATATAGAATAAAATAGTTATTTTTATATTTTGTCGTATAGTGTAGTCAATTTTTGTATAAATAATGTGTAAAAAAAGTCATTCATTATTTAAAATTGAAACATATTCATAACGAAAATCTGTTTAAAACTGACCTGAAATACTTTCGAAGATATTTTCCCTAAAATCGTTTTTGCACAATTTTATGCCTTTCCCTGTAAAAGCATATGTATAACATTTATTTAATATACACATGTCCATTTTGTTCCTAGCTAAAAATCGAAGTAAATAGGGTAAAGTCGAAAATCATGTTCTACAACAGATCGCTGAATATAACATATGTTCATTTCTAAGTGTAAAGCAAAAAAAGAACGAAAAATTTTGAACTTTTGTAGCTGAAATTCGTGGGTGGCGTTGAAAGATATTTCGGGCGACGTCCGTGTCGCGGCCTGAAACGAATAAAGTCGTTCACGACGGTTTATTCCTTGCGCCTTGCATGCTTCCTTCCATCCTCGTTTACTTTATGATATTCCTGTCCACGATTGGCTCTTTTTCGACTTTGAAGCGATTCACCGTGTAAGAATGTGTAACAATTTATTTATTCAGTATGATTTGATTTCTACCCCACGCCCAACCACTGCAGAAGCTGGACTTAGTTTGCCTTGATACAATTGGATTACCTTTATTTTATGGGAGAAAGTGGCAAACAAGCTGGCGGTTCACCTGATGTTTAGTGATAACCGCCGCCCATGGACATATGCAACACCCGAAGGCTTCAAATACGTTGCCACCTTTAAATAAAGTGGGCCCCGGCTACCTCACTCATTATGGTGTCGTTAGTCCTCGCTAATTGGTTCCCATCGCCATTTTATTAATACACGCATGTCCACGTCGTGACCGCTTAGGTAGGATGTATGAAGCTGATGGAAACTATTTCTACTGGCTTTGTGCGAAAGCTTTACGGACTGAATTCACAGACTACAATCCAAATGCCTCGTCGTTCATAGCGCGTAAACGAAAACATTTCGGTTGCTGCTCTTTTAGTCTTCTTTCAATGTGGGTGCCGTCGGTGTCTCCAAATCAAAGAATAAGCTTCTACTGAGTTAGCCTGTGCACCACCACCGACTGCATGACCACTTACCCACAAGTGAGATGATAGGCCCGCACCATCCGGTCCGTGATTTAAAAAAAACTGATCTCATAAAACGTGCAGTGCACAAACATCAATCAATTGTACAGGATATATTAATTATTCAACTCGCAATCAATGCGTTGTTTGCCTATGGCCCCGTCGAATGGTGCTTTCGTACAGCTCGTTCGGAAATTGATCGGCGACGCATTTACGTAAGCGCGCCACGGCGCGTTCGGAAATTGCAAATTGCTGCTGATTGCGTCGACCGGGCAGGTGGGCAGTGATACGGGCAGGCAATCACCTGACTCACGCGTCGGGGACGCCTTGCTAAGTAGACCTGATTGCGAGGAGTAAAAAAAACTTTTTTTTATAAAAAAAAACATTGTCGTTACTGTAGGATAACCCTAGCCTGTGCTGTTAGGACGTATTACATACATGCATTTCACGTGGACAAACAACCAGTTCCGATACAATTATCTGTCGGTCTTACAAATAGTTGTCCCGTGCGGGAATCGAACCCACGACCCTCGGTGCTGGCCGACACTTTGCAACTGCGCCACGAGATGGAACGATTTATTTCTTTTACTATTACCTTTTCGGAAAACCACATGACGAAACCAATTTAATGCTTGCTGCAGATAATTAGTCTCTGAGTTCAATCGTAAGAGGCAACTTGGCCTTTCAAATAAAATTTTCTTCACTGTCTTGATCTCTGGCTGCAGCACACAATACGGAAATAGACTGATCTAAATTTATAAATAATCAAGTCGATGTAAAGTTGAAATGACGCTTTGAGGCCCTTCGGGAAAGTAACTTCTCGTTCCCGATGAGAAGTTTGGCACTTTTATTTTAAGCGGTTGTAATGATTCCTTCTGCTTACATAGAGTTTAAGGTTTTGTTTAAAAATAGTAATTGAAATAACATGAAATAAGCATGAACTGCAAATTATATACTGCGAATTATAAATGTAAAACAATACACTTATCGTGTATTGTTTTATATTTTATTTTTAGTCACATTTTTTTATACTAAAACCAATAAGTTTGGAATGGCAGCTAAGCCGAAAAAACAATATTAAACAAGTATTAGCTTTGTTTTTCGAGCGAGTGTTCCAAGGACATCCGGGCCAGCGTCTTTAATCCACGTGCCTAGACAAATATGCTTCCATTATGTCTAGGAGCGAGGTCGCTGGCCGCGTCATTCACGTTCCGGATTGCGGCGCGGTTTTCGGACGCCTCCTCGACGTTTCTCTACGGATGATGTGACAATGCTATAGGAAATCAAAACATAGGTGTATCACCATTATTTCGGTCACACAAATCGAATGAAATATTCAGCGCGCGTCACCCGTGAGATCATCGGCGGGCAGCGAATGGCGTCGAAGCGTCCTGTCCGCGCGCGCGATGGGCGTCACGTACGCAGCCGATAATCCTTCTTGTAATAAACACCTAATGACACCCACCTTCTTCGCACTTCAGCTCGAAGATACCGTGTATTGCGATTATCAGATACGACCGCATGCGCGTCTGCCGCGGCCCGTAATAACTTTACGGTGTAAAGTCGAGTGGGTGATGTTTATAGCGACTGTCGGCGTATAACACGTTCCCCGTGCGAAATGAAGCCGGCCGTTTGTTAACGTGGGTTTGGCGCACGGTCGACGCAGATAACGGACGATAATACGCAAATCCTGAACAAGCCCATAACATGTCGCCTCGAGTGATGCCTCCTCACCGATAACATTATGCCCAACGTGAAATTCTAATTTGGGGTGTGTCGAATGCGCTGAATAGTGCAATGGACAATGCACTCGTCGGCACTTGTTGCGTGGGACCGTACCTTTTGCATACGGATGCAACGGACGCAATTTGTCCCCGGCGAAGAGCCGCCGATAAATACAACGGGGATTAATAACGCTCAGGGCACGGCGCATGAGCGGCCGTAAGCGACGGCGATCGATGGCACGCCGCATGCCGACCGATCTGTGTGAGCGGTGCGGAGGGTATCTCTAATAATTCGACTATAAGTATTCCGCGTGTGCATCCACTTTGCTGGTAGGCGATGATGTTTTTTTTTTATGTAAGAAGATGGCTCGGTGGCGCCGTTGCTAAGCTATTGGCTTCGGCGTCGGGGGTCGTGGGTTCGATTCCCACACGGAACAAGTATTTGTGTGAACCACAGATAATTGTATCTGGGTGTTTTTTTTTCCAAGGAGACTTGACGTCAGGCAGGCGGCCAGTCGTAAAAACATATACAAAATCGCTTACAACATGATTAACATGTTATGCCGACGCCACCTAGGTGGGATAAGGGCAGAAGGATGATGTAAGAAAATCGATGTGAACTCAAGTGAGCTGGATATTCAGTGAACACTGCAGCCAATGGACATTTGCAAAACACCGCTAGGGTTGCAGAGGCGTTGTCCGCTTTTAATAAAGTGGGCCCCCGCCACCTCACTCACCAGATGAAACGCAGTTCTTTCTTTTTTTTTTTCTTTCTTAAGTATAACACTTCCACTTTACGCCGCTCTGTATTATTTCCCCGGACTGATCTGCCCATTTGTGCAACAGCGAAATTTGTTCCGTGAAGCAAAAATGTGATGTGTCGCCGTAAACGACACCACTCCCGTTTACAAATTGATGCAGCAATTGCGCCGCGTGGATTATGAAGCGGCATCCCAATTCCGCCGTGTTAATGTTGCCGCTTATGATATAACGCTTCCCGGAAATTTGCGTTGAGCAATTGTCCCGTTTCTCGTCTTTCATGCGCGCTTTACATTCGGTTTGTCGCAATTTGGGCCGCTTTATGCGACCAGTTGCGGCCCGTTGCGCTAGATTCCATAGTTATGATTGTCCCACGGCGCCGTGTCTGCACGAAATCATTCCACATTAGCAGATAACTGTTAGTGCCGTCTGTCGTCGAGATTTACCAATTCCTTTGTCCGTTTTACGATGTGAACATTCGTAATGCCCGAGGTTTTAGTAATTTAGCTTTTGATTGTGTCTACAGTTTGGGAAACCCGCTCCCTCCTGATTCGGAGTACAACGGAAACGAACCATAAACAGAGTTAAAAACTAGCAGGGACGTCGCCGTCGGTTGTTAGCGGTTACAAAAAAAGCTCTCAGCTCGCAATCAGCGCTGGCAGCGAATGTGCCCGAACGAGAGACGGCGTGCCGGCCGCGGGGCCAATTACAAGCCCAATCGGACAGCGCGCTATGGTTAATTGGAGAGATTCCCGACGCCTGGCTCCCGGCGTGTTCGCGTCAACCCTCCCGTGCATCAATTACCGGTCGCCCGATGAACGTGCACACCGCACAAAAGTCACCACTCGATTCCAACACGCTCCGTTGTGCGCAATAACAAACGGATAGACTTCCGCCCGCCTCGTTCCTTCTTCCTCCTAACGAGTGCACTGTTTCGCCGCTTTCCATTACTTTACTTATCTTATAACTTATACCATTATTACATTATTATTCAGGAATATGCCTGGCTGAACATTGAACATTGAAAAGTCCAGTTTATTATGAAACACGTTTATGTCAATAAAGAGCTATCTAGATGACATAACTGACTGTTTGTGTCCATTGTCCCGTACAAACACGGAATTCGATATCGCACAGGGAAGTGGCTGACACGGGATTAGGTTATTACACACAATCTTTCCTCTCATGCCATTAAGGATATCCAATACGCTGCAAAGGGCTCTCGGGGTGGGAGTTGTTTGTCATCCGTCGCGTCGTGACGGTGCCCGGAGTCTCGCTCCCAGACGTCGATCGGAGGGCGCTAAGTGCCACTGTCAACTTTGTTTTCCTACGATAATGCGTCCGTAAATACGCGCCTCCCCTCGCCTTCACGCCCCACGAGCTTATTTGCGTATGCGTCTAATTAACACACCGCGCTCCGGAGACTACGACGTTCCAATCATGAACGTAACGGGCACCTCTGTTTGATGAGTACGTTGTGGTTCTATGTATATGCTCACTAACCGAACCTAACAGCTGTTTGGTGCACTCTTGTCTTATTTACCTCCACTCATACAACATCGATATTTACATCGAACTATTTACATCGATATACGACGGGAACGAACAATGCTTTATCACCCTCCAGTGGGAGACACGTAACGTCTCCCGGGTTCCACTAATTAATTAGGGTCACGAAACATAAAAGAGCGTCCGTTGTTTTCTTTCAACACTTCAACTAAAGCACTTCTATTCTATAGGTTATCTCCATGTATTGAAGACAGTATGTGTATATAGTATCATGCATAATATGCGGTTTTGTATCACCGACAATTTCCTAATGTGGCCAAAGCTATCACGTTCCCTTCATGAATATCTTTGGATTTTAACGCATGCGGTATTAGATGACGGTCGGTTTCGGCTCGATCGAGGCTATTGTTATTCACCTATTGCGCAAAGAGGCATCGCCGGTCGACCCGGTGAGACCACAAAAACGGTGTCGGGTTCGAACCCCCACCTGCAACGTACGTCGTGCTCGCCAGTGTAACATTTCCCAATTGTCGATCGGCTCTCAATTCCATGAGTCGATTCGATCGATTCCAATCTGTTGTCTCTTCTGTGATCAGACTGTTACGCGTGTGTAACATTTGCTTTTGTTTTTTGCATCGGAATTTACAAATAATAACGGGAAGAGGTATGTAAACTCCTCATATAACTTTACTCCGATATATCTTTACACGTAACATAGGTAAGTGATGTATGAAAGTATTGGAGCCTACCAACAACAGGACAACACTACGTTCGATACTAAAGAAATATCCACTAATACTATTTGGGTTGTGTGTGGGAGATTGCCAAATTTCATTATTTCCATCCATTGTGAGCAAGTAAATTAAAGTGTTTGCGATCGCATTATTAAATGACCGAATATAATACTATACTTCAAAGTAATACAGTTTCTAAACTCGAATTATGTGGGACCACATAACCAAAAACACAAAAGCAATCTGAAATACAACAATAGTTACGTTTACAGCGTCAGTAACATTATAAATTTCTTTGGACGCTGTGACGTAATTATTGATATATTAATGGTTTTCTTCAGATAACCACACCATGAATAATCACTTATAAATGAAACTTTGTGTAACTTTAATATTCGTCGCCAGCTGTTTGAATAGCCTTAAAAGTAAGATTATTCAACTAACTGAAAGAGTCGTTCGGTAAAAAAAGGCAATCTATATCCGTAATTGAATTGGTCCGGAACTCTCTCGTCTGCCGGCTTTCAATTTAGTGCTTCCGTAGGCTTATATGTTTCAGTTATAGCACAGTAGGTAGTTTGAGCTCTAAGTGGAGACTGCAATGGCGGACGGGGAGGTCCCACCCCCATGTCTATATACTCTAAATGCGGCGGTGTGCAGCGCTTTTGTAATATTGCCGTATTATAGGTAGTAGTTATAGTAGTAGAGATAGCAATATTAGTAGTAGAGTTAGCTGGACCTCATATCTTATGCTGTAATTTCGACGAGTCTAACTTTCCCACACAGATGCCTCAATTAACGGTTAGGTAGCTAGTTACGTTGTTTTCTTTATCAAGTTTTATCTTATTAATGAGCTATAAAGACTGATCTTCTCCAATTAAGGCATATAGTGCTAATTGAAAAGGGCCGTCAGTTGAGCGTTTAATTTTATCTAAGCTCATATTGTACATCTACAATTGATAGTTACTGTATTATAATTTATCAGCGAGAAGGGAATTCTGAAAATAAAAATAAATAAACAAATAATCTGAATAAAAATATATTACTCGCTTCAGACATGAATGTCATTAAATTATAATATATATTTACATTATAATATATGACAATTTATTATAATAAATATATAAGTTACTTTATATTTTACTTCAATGTTATACATCAGTAGTATATAAATTTAGGCGCAAGTGCATACAGACGGAGCGATGAATGCCTCCGTCTGCAGAGCGGCGACGGGATGAACTTGGTGGAAAATTGCACTTGATACCGCCGCAGCCGTCTGCCTCTTTCGATTTAATCTTTCGCCTATAGCTCGTTCGCTTATTCATCTTATGTATCGGCATATATATTTGCGAGACCTATTAAGCCACGTCCTTGTTTGCCTGTGTCGACGCCCGTTGCTGGAAAGCCGGATGGAATTTAATTAAATATCTAATAGCTGGCCCGTCGATGGAGTTTGAATCAAGCGGAAATCATATTAGCAGCGTGCTGGGTTGCATTAGCTCAGCGCGCGAGAGCGCCTTTAATCAACTTGACCTACCCAGGTTCAGGTATAGGCACCAATTTGCAATTTAGAGCGACTCACCAAGCAGCATGTCTGATATAAATTATAGTTAATAAATAAAAACATCGTGTATCAGCATCAGGAAAAGGAAACTTGTCCCGCAAGACAATGTACCGATTTTCGTATGTCGTTTCGATTTATACGTTTAATAAACTGCCCGCCGAACCAGCTTTCACTGCTTCCCTTCACCGGCTACATGCGACAAATGGAGACATTAAATTGCAGTTAACAATTTTATTGGCGCCGAGTATCGCAAATCGTACTCGAGTTGCTTACGTACGCACACCAATTGTGAACCTACCAAACGGCGATTACGGACAAGAAATGCTACGTGTCTGAATGATATAAAATTTTCGGTGAATTCCATTGTAACTTTCTCCTTACAAAACAACAAACTTTTACCCGTATGTTGACACATTTGAATGTTTCGTAAAATAAAATGCCGTATAAAGTAAAAAAATATCTCTGTTCCAAATATCACACGAAGAAAGAGCAGACACACAAACTGCGAATTGCTGATCTCTACTTATTCATAAGTTAGTAAGTTGCTGCTGTTGTGGATTTCTTCGTGACCTCTCTAACGTTATTAGAAGGTGCCGCTGTTTTCTACCTTAGTATGCGCTCTACGGACTATGCTCCGTTTTTGTCCCGGTGAGGAACAATGGCCGACGCATTCCATCGCATCACCGTTATCTGCTGACGGTAATCGTCGATACGCTGTCTCCCCTCGCCCCCTCTCCTCCCTACTGGCTGCCCCCCCGATGGCGCGATAAATCAAACTAATAAACATTCAAGACTTCCGCGCTGTCTAGCGAAGATTGCTCTTCGACTTCCCCGTGTATTAAATATCCGATCGCTTTTCCTTATTATATACGTACTTTTTGCAGGATGCACCATAGCAGTTTGTTTTTTAGCATTGCTCATTATAGGAACACTGGATAGGTGGAAAATTCTAAACTACTAAAATTAGTCGTCAGATAATTTTCAGACCGAACTGAATGACGTTACGATTTAATAATGCAGTCGATCGCTCCGTCATAACGGCGCAGTGCGAGTGTGAGTCGGATACATAAAAATTTCATCGCGAAACAACTTGGCCAAGCGAAAGGAGAGATGACGGGGCGCGGCTGGCACCGATCCAGAGCAAACAGGGTAAAAAGCAAGGGCGGCGGCGTGGGCCGCGCCTCGAAATAGCGGGCAAAGTCAAGGCGCGCGGCGCGTTAACGCCCTCACCGAACTAAGTACGGCAGCGCCTGCCGCACCCTGCTCTAGGCATGTTCGTCCGTCGGCTTTTAATGGAGTCGTTATGAGCGCATCGACCAATTCTATTCCGGCGTCGCGAGTTACGACTCGCCGTAACGCGAAAAGTTCACGCGACCGACGTTAAACACGTCGCAAATAGCCCCGCGGAATGTGTCGTCCGCGATACCGCCTCGGCGGGCCGCGAGCCCCCGCCGCTATAGCGACTTTTTGCCCTTGTAAATCTATTAACGCGTAGCAAAAACTTGCTGCTGCGTAAGGCATGATATCCATTAACGCCAGCATTCCGTTCTGTTTTCCCTCCTATCGTATTCTAATGTGGGGTTCAAGTCGAGCCCATTTCAAGGACAGTTCTCAACTTTATACCGATGTAATTTCTATTTCAAAGCGTATTGTTTACTTTCAAAATTTTGGATAGTTTAACCGGCCGTAATTTTGTTCAAGTGCTAATTTGTAACGAATAGGAAAAAGTGGGTCAAAATTAGCACTCGTTGTGTTGCGCCGAATCGTGCGAGCGCTATTCGGCTTATAACAACGAATAACGCGGGTCAACGGTTCGCGTGATTGCCTAATAAAATGTAAAGGAGGCGTGATGTGCTCGCACGCGGGGCACATAGCGCGGCGCTGACTCACGCGTAAGCCTCGAGACTGAACAAGGACATCCTCGGCGCGGCGCGAACCGCGTCAAATGGGAACACAAACATTATTACTCCATATCCGCCGGCTCTATTCACCATTGTGCCGAAACAATTCGCGGATACCGCACACTTCGCAACACCCCTGCCACGCGACCACCTGCGGAACTGTAACGTCGAAATAATTGCCATAACTATCACACCACTGTCTCAAATCTAACATAATTATAATACCTCGTGATATCTGAGCAGCATTTGAGTAAGATAAGCGACGCGATATTATGTAAGGTTTTATTTGTTACTTCAAAATCAAATACTATTTAAATTTTACCGTTTAAGTGCACGTAATGATATTTACCTCTAACCATTGTTTCACCCTGAGTGTGATGACGCACCAAGTAAATGAACGCGCGCGAAACATAAACCGATCATAGACATTATTTGGAATTAGCGAGACTGGAGTGCATTTACGCGGCCATGTCGTCGCTAGTCGCCTGAACACGATTATTATATAATTTTATTATGAGTAATAACTGCCTAGATGTTAGGCCGTTACTGAAGTCTTGGAAACCATTGTATTGTTATCTGTTGCCACCTTGCTGATGCAATAATTTTCCTTATGCAGATGACTTGAAGACAGTGACGAAGCGGCTCATCGCGCAGGCTAAGCGGAAGGGCTCCCCAGACAATATCTCAATAATCGTGGTCTTCCTGAAGGACCCGCGTGACATCGTAGCCGACACCTGCCCGCCCATGGATCTTGGGTAAGTTATGTACCGGTTGTACTGTTGTTTTCCAAACTGGCTTATTATCCACCAATGGCAAAATGATAGTGGGAAGATCGTAGAAAGGGTGACAGGTTTGTATGTATAATTTTTAAATTTTTAAATTTTGGTATAAAATTATATATTTTCATCGATCAAACTTACAACTTCATTATCTTCCAAATAAACTCTGGTGGATTGGTAATTGCCGTTTCGTTGTTGGATAATCTCGGCCCCCCAGAGTTTAAAACCGGTACCGGCACTAATGAAATTCATAATTGCCATTTAAGTGCTGATATACAATGTCACAATACCGTGAGTTCGGTGATAAACGATCACTACGTGATTAATAATTATGAATAAAAGATGTACAAAAATATTTCATTATTCAATATTTAAGTAGCTTGTGAAGAAAGAAAAGGAACATTAAATCTTATTTGATTACTCTTTTTGTACGTTACAGCAATTACACGTTTATATGTATGTATATATTATACTACTATAAATGATTCAATCACTATTAAATTTGGATATATTTTTTGGTGTAAGATAATTTTGGCGAATATGACTAAAACACACCCAAAATTTATTAATTTCTGACAGTGCAGTTTATTTTAATGTATGAGAGCATTGCGCATATGTTAATATAATCTATTTTATTCGCGGTAGATTGCGTCACTTTTGTTCGCGAAAATGTGATAAAAATGTTATCTTTTCGCCTGCACTAATCTTCGTCATACTAAACAGGTTTGGTCTTTATAATGAAGTTAAAACTTGTAATCGTTTAAAACCATTCGAACTTAGAACTTTGTAGTCTGTCACATAAATTTATGCTAAAATGAAAGTTTAATTGTTAGTACCGTGATTAACGATTATGGTCTTGTACTGGACATTGCTTCGTATTCATATCGAAATTTCTGGATATATCAATTTCAATATATTTCTAAATCCTCGTTCAATATTGGTTACTAAGCTATTGGCTGCCAATTTGTGGATCGGTTCCCGCAAGGGACAAACAACTGTTTGTGTGACACGTAACATTTTTTGCGGATCTTGGTTTTGCCACACTTAAATCAACTCAACAAATGTACTGTAAATGGATAATAGTTAAAGTATGATTGTTATATTACAGACTTAATTAACAGAAATCGTATTCAATGTGAAAAAGTATCATTAATATCATTTTGCACATTCAATAAAACATAAACAACCACGTTAGTTTACTATTGTTTGTATAAATATTTAAAAAAAAAACACGGAAGAAGTGTAAAAAGAGCTTAGGCTGGTGAAAATGAACCGCGTAATGTAACACTTGACACATTTTGGTTCGCGTCAACAACAGCTGTTATGTCGGACGCGCCCGTCTATGGTTTGAGGAAATACGCTTCCTCTTCCGACGCCCGAAAGTTTTATGGTTGCAACACCTGGGCTGAATTATGACCATTAGGCCTTGGCATGTATTTCATTCGCTTCAGACTACTCTTAAAATACATATTTAGAATAATTAACTGTGTAATGAAATATTCCGAACTACTTTTGTTCAGATAATACAGCTGCGGTTCTTTCCTTGCGTTATGCTATTGTTTCTTTAATAACATATCTTAGGAGACAATGGAAATACGCATAAGAAATAAAAATAATGTACAAAATTCCGCATTGCAAAATGTTATTTAAATATTTTTTTCTAAAATTTTCAGATAAAAGTAGAAACTCTGTGACAGATGGAAACAGAAAAGTTGAGATGCATGAAATTAAATTATAATAGGTGAATGAATTCCACGTATAAACGCATACAAACTCAGGCCTCGGTCTAATTATAATAATCTCACTCTGAGATCATAATTGTATAGTTTTCTCGCGATTCATGAAATTTTTAATTACAACGTTTATGAATGAAAAAATATCGCTATGCAATATAGCGAAATTATTTAAAAGTCTTCAAATGTGATCAAAGTCGATGCTCTTGAACAATTGGAGTTATTACTAATGTAAGATTAATACTGATAATAGTTTTTGGTACCAGGTAGCGAACAAATTTATTGACTTTTTTTTTGCAATGTACTACTAAATATCGCTTTCGGATTAATTACCATCATGAACAAAGACAGGAGAGGGTGGGCAATCATCGAGGCATTCGTCCAACCGTGTAACGTTTATTTCGTTTTTAACCAAAAAAAAAAGGCTGGAGAGCGCGCTGTCGAACGCGTCGCCGTACGCCGCCGAGGCGGACGTCCGTAAGCCGGACGCCGTGGCGGTGGGGTTGGGCGCGGAGGGCGGCGTCGACCCCGACGCGGAGGGCGACGCCGACAACGGCGTGTCCGACAGCGACAGCGAGGACCTCGGCCCCGAGACCGCGGTGGACGTCGACGACGCGGACGCCGCCGACGCAGAGGTGCGACGCCACGAGCCCGCGCCGCCGACGCCCCCCGCGCACGCCGGTACGTCCCACCCCTATCGATCTACCAGACTTTCTTCTTTTTAAAGTAACTCCAAACCCGTCTTCCATTTCATACGCCGAGGTTCAGGCTAGGCGCCCCGTGCGCCAGGCCACCTCAAGCCCGTCGGAACTGTGAAGGCCCCTAAGGCAAACAGTCGCTCATCCAGCCCAAAAAATATACCTTCTTCCACTAGGGATGTAATGTACCATCGCACAGCGGCGTACACTCAAAAGGGTTCATCTTGGGTAGGTTTATTTTGGATTTAGTCGGCTATAACTGTGAGCTGTGCGTGGGGTGGGGTATGAGAGGGTGGGTGTATTGTATAAAATATGCAAAAGGATGAACCTATAAAATAAACATCGCGATTCTTTGAAAGATATTGAAGTTTTTGAAATAAGATTTTAAACGTACCTGGAAAAGATTCCTATGATAAACTTGGTGAGGAATACTGAGAATTATCAGCAAGGTATATAATAAATCACAATAGACAGCGATAGCAATTCCTATTTATTTATTACACTAACAAAACGAAAATTTTTTAAAAATAAATATGAACCGTAATTCAAATTCAAAATATCTTTTTCAAACAGACGCTTGCGCGTTTTTATGAAACGTCGAATTTTACATAAAAATTAATATACCGTAAGGTTCGTAAGGTCGTACGATAGGTATTACATTTATGTCCGTCATAATTATGCTTTTATGGACTAGCCATGTATCCAAAACTCGGACTCGTTACTTATAGTGTATAATAATGCTCTACCTAATTCATAATTATGGTAATTCTTCACGAGTAGTTTTGTGGTAAAAGTTGCCTTGCGCTGTTTTTGTTTCTCGTATTATTTTTATACCTGCAATACGACCGCACCCAGATTCGGGACCAGCATCAAGATCGTTGTTTTTTTATTCGCATTTCCTAACTCTTTAGGAGTTAGGAAATGAAAATTAACGCTTTCTATTTCATGTCACTGCTTATCGATACCGCCGGATGCTACTGTTAAATCACAGTCCGCGTGTTTAGGACAGAAAAAGTGCTTTCGATAGATAGCATTTGGGTATCGCAAACTCTGCTCTATATTTTTAGACTCTTAAGAAAACTTACAACTGTGGTATTACGAATTACTGTACTTGTTGTATTAGAGCCGACTACGCCGATAATGCTCATATTTACTTCGGCATTATAGCATTGGCGTTGTATCGTATTATGCATGTTTAGTGAGCTTGTTGATCTTCCGAAAATCATACGCTTTTTGGTTATTTTACTACGGACGATTTTTAGACATATTACATAACATATTCACAAATTAAGGCGACGTCATAATTACCCGATCTCGATCTTAGAAACGGTGAAACCACTAAGGTTGTGGTATAATCTAGGTTTATTTAATAGCCGAATAACTTATCTGGTTACACAACGAACTACGGCGAATATTGCCAGGAGGACTGGAATAAAGTCATCGATCAAAGTCAAAATTTATTTTAATTACCACCTGAAATTGAGTATAAATTGTTTTTTTGTCACTTTACTAATTACTACTTTACAACTGGAATGAAATGTAATGTGAAATTGCTGTAGTTAAATCCTTACAACTACCGTACATATAAATACACTAACTGTAAATTATATCAAAACTGAATTTCGACATATACTATAAAAATTTGAAAATATATTCATTCTTAATTTTCTTCCAGGTATTATAACTATCACTAGGTTATAGCATGAAAAGAAATACGATGCCGATGCTGTTAACGATATGCGTGCGTATCTCATTAGATATATAAAGAACCCCCCCTTCCAAGCATGCAAAGAATTATTTCCGTACAAGAATTATTTCATACATGCTTGAAAGTTTTATCGTTAACAGCTTGTGTCGAAGAACCGCTGTGTTAATCTTTATCATTATTTATTACATAACTCGTTTTATTTTTCCATACGATTTTCAATTGTTTTTTTTTTTTCCGTTCCAAATTCCATTTCATCGTAAATGTGAAATTTTAGATGTTCTATATCTTTCTATTTAGAATTTACTATATATGTGCAATGATCATTTGAGTTATTATAAAAAAAGAATTGCAATCTTTATTGTATAGGACATTAAATATATAAATAAATAAGAATATTAGTCATTCTAGTTGTAGGTTTATAGATTCTTGGTGTAATATTATCCAGTATAATTTTAATGTATTGACATCCCCGAGGTGAGTGCATGCCCATTGCCCACACTCCCCTCGCCTCGCCGCGTCGAACGGCCCGGCCCGGCCCGACGAGCATCGCGGGCTGCCCTCCCTCACCTCCCGTCCCGCTCACGCCCGTCTCGCTCGCAGTCGCTCATTGAACGCTCGTCTGATCTGTAACTCTGTGTCGCTGTGCTATTGTGACGGATTCTTTTGTCTACATTTAACGCTTCATATATAATTCCACCAGTAGCGAGTATAACAAACTGTGCAGTGATATATAGTTTACGGTATGTGAAAAAGCAAATATTGTTTATTGTTTGACATACCAAAAGTTTGTGAAAGATTATTTCTGTGTTGATTCATGCGGAGCGGCGTTCTGGAAATAGAACGTTCGCCCGAAGGCGCATCCCTCCTTGGACGGCCGGCAAAGGATTCCCGAAGGGGCCGCATGTTTAATTACGTATTTTTATTACTATACATAGTTATTCGAGATCTCGGGCGTGTCTCCCACAGCCGGCCTCGAAATGGCGTCCGTGAAGTATTTGCCAGTTTGAATTCGCGACCGGTAAATATTGTTGTTACACGCGGGTCCTCGTGTACATTTTTTCGTGTGCTAGTAACGTGCCTTATATGGGTGTGATATTCTTTTTAAGTATTTGGTGTTGTGAATAATCTTCCGAGCAAGGGTGTGTCACCTGTTGATATCCGTAGGCAAGGTGTGTGCGAATGTTGCATGGTTACCAGATGCACATTGAATAGCTAGGAATAATTTTCATATTCAGTGGAGGCGGGCCACGTCGACGGCGTTCTGGTGGATAATGTAGCTGAGAGTGGCGAGGACTCCGAGGACGAGTGGAATTATTACAAAGGCGAAGGTGAACCTGAACGCGACGAGCACAACCCTAGCGAGGAGGCCGACGAGCCACCGCGCTCTGATACACCCTGTCAAGATAATGTAAGTGCTTTAAACTTTTAATATCTTTGTACAAAGCGAAATCTAAACTGTGTAAGGTTAAACGTATGTATACCGTGTCACAAAAAATACAGGCTATTACAATTTATTTGTTTAAATTTCGAACATTTAAGTATAAAGTACCCGGAGGACCGAGCTTTGCTCGGTTTGTTTTTTTTTTTTTTTGGTAAATCGTGTATTTTGGAAATTACATTTAGATACAAATAACTGAGTAATGAAATATGCATAATATTTTTCGATCTTACCGACGTAATAATAAGAAAATACGAACTGATGTTTTTCACAAAAGAAAGAACTTAAAAAAAAAAGGAAAAAAATTACAAAATAACAAATCGACAAAAAATTAAAAATAAAGAAAGCAATGATCTGGAATCGAAAAAAAAGTTAAAAAATAAATGTGTAAATGATCGTGACGCGAACCACGGCCGTCTGTTTTGGGGCCGCCAAATTACCGACCGAGCTATTATGACATTTTCTCTTGCGGCGAAATTTACCGTCATATTCGAATTATATTTTTCATTCCCTGAAAACAGGGATAAAAGGACATTTTCTAAAAATGAAACCTAGCTAGATCGATTTTTCGCCCCCGAATATAGATTCGGGGGCGAAACATACTAAATTTCATGAAAATCGCTGGAGCCGTTTCCGAGATCCCGATTATATTATATATATATATATACAAGAATTGCTCGTTTGAAGGATAAGATATAGCTGTTATATAGATATTTATAACTTCATAAGGTTGATTAAAGCTTACATTTAAATTGTGTTGTTGGGGGTAGTTACAATACAAGGGGTGGGATGATATTGATGTGTTTCTAGTACTAAAAATAACTATCAATAAATAAATAATAATTATAATAGCTTAATGTACAACCTCTTAAGATAGGATATAAACATTATATACATACTGAATATTTATTTTCAGAATGCCAATATAGGAGAGTCAAAAAAAAAATTATCTAGTCCATGAGGTTTTTTGTTTTAGGGTGTGAATGCATGTCTATTCAATGAATTAGTGAAAATATAATACAGTCATCAGAGCTTTCATTTAAAAAATAGTAATATTTTAATGACCTACATAAGACTAAAATTTCAATGGAATTTAACTCTACTTTTTTGTCTTTCTTATTTCAGTCGGCTTGGGAAAGTAGCTCAGTAGACATGAACAGTTCACCGCTTAATCCGGATGCCCCAGTCTTTGTGCCAGGAGGGGTGGCAGGTTCTGATGTGTTACTAGCTGAATCACCACGCAAACCACTGCCTATGGATGACATTGAGCTACCTGATGTAGCTCAGTTCCAGACTGAAGCAGTCATCAGGCCGGCTGAATTATTGGACATGGATAATTCTGATCAACTCAATGGTCATCATGTAAGTGTTTTGGCCTTAATTTTTTTGTAAGTAAATAATACTTAATATTAAGGATAAATTATTAAAAGTGAATATTTTACAAGATGGAAAAATAACCAAATAAATTCTATAATTAGTTTTATGTAAGATTAATACCCAGTTTCTGAAACACTGATCATCATAGATGTCAAGTGTCAACTGATCAGCTGTCAGTTTAGCTGTTAAAAGGATGGTTAAACTCTCGTGAAGTGGCCAAATGATCAACAATGATCAGGGTGACATCTATGACAATCAGTGTTTCAGAAACCGGGCATAAATGTAACCTGTATACATAGTTAAAATAAAAAAAATGTATATAGGACAGGACATTACATCAAGTGACTAATAATAAATCTATATCTGTGTCTAATCATAGTACTTAAGAGAATTTAGTTTCTGCTGCTCTTCTTTGTAATATTTTTATTGTATTTGTCAACTAACATAAATTACCTTCACTATTTATTTATTTCAAACAGATAGGTTATTCATATTTTTACATTCATATAAGCCCCATGAAGTTGGAAGATGTTCCCAAGACCAAGTAAGAAAAAGATTTAAAATACACCCTGTTTCTTATATTTAGCATGTTGGCAGAACTATATTTTGAAGTTAGTAAAATGGTGGACTTTCTTAGTCAAAATAACTGGTTTTTATTATTTTTTTATATTAAAAGTAAATGTTTCCATTGATATTAACTAATGAATTATTTCATTATATTAGTTACAATTTTGTATAGATAAAAACTTTTTGTAAGCTAAAAACATTGGATAAGATTGTAAACAATTACTATATGTAAATTTTTTTACTGACAATCCTGACCATTCATGCAACGGCGGAGACCGGTGCGTGGCCACAATATGTTTTTATTAAAAAAAAACTTGGTTAAATTTAATTGGTTAATTTTAAATATTCATAAAGAATGTGCCACAATGTCATCTATAGACAATTTGTTTAAATGACAGATAGTGAAGTACCTATATCAAAAAATATTTTTTTAAATAACGTATATTTCATTGATTAATACATTTTTGCTTATTATTATATTCCTATTCAGTGACTGATCACGGTACTGCGCGAAAATTTCGCACGGATCAGCTAGTATTTAAATAATTAGTGAATATTCCAAAATAATTTTCATAATCGAACAATAACATTTAACTTTCCTTTTTTTGAAAATAATCTGCAACCAAGGTTTATGACAGATAAAATTAAGTTGTAAATAATCAATTACTTTTGTGCTGCAAAAATCTATATTTATTATTAATCTCCCACAAAATGTATGTGTTATATTTATTGTTTATAATAAATATTAAGTTTTACTTTTACATGCAAAAACAAGGTTATACAACAATTCACAATTTTGTTATTAGATTGTCTCTATTCTTTTATTAACATTTCAGTAAAAACCCACACAGTTTCCAGATAGTCTCTTCATATATTTTATAAAAATAAAATTTCTGTTTCAGAATGTTTCATTAGATGGTGCAACCGAGCAGATAAATGGAAATGGTAAATGTAATATGGACAGTTTAGGATTTGGTTTCAATGTTGATGTTGAATCTGATAAGATGAAAGATACTAGCTTGATACAAGAATTTGAAAGAATACAGAAAGACACAACAGATTATTGTGATATACAGGTAAACTTAAGATGTTTTTTTGTAGTACTCTATTATAAGACATTTTACAGTTATAAATTATTTTAATGAATTCATTTTGATTATAGGTATTCCAAGCACATACTGAAACAAATCCCTTTGATGATCGAGACGATGAACTATTTGAAAGACTGAAGAATAAAGAAAGAGATCCAATGAGCATGAGCTTTTATCAGGAAAAAGATGATGATACCTGTGAAAGATTTGGTAGAAGTGAGGATCACATTGATCTTAATGCTGTTCAACCTTTACCAGATAGTGACGATGAAGACATACAACCAAACGGAGCCTGTGGTGATTTAATTGAGAATGATAAGGAAAATATCTCTCCAGAGAAAAATCCTGATGAATTAGAAATTGAAGGCATTCAGGTCCCAAATAATGATATATTGAAATTTGATGATCGGATGGACAATTTGGCATGTAATCTGAACAGTGTCGACAATTTCATGGATTATGAAATGAATAATACCAATATGCAATCTTATTCCAATGTTGAATTTGAGTGTAGTAACATTCCACAAGATGTAATGCAGACTGATACACCTGAATCTCACAAGTTACTCTTTGAACAAATTCCTGAAATTCCCGATGGGAAAAGTTCGGAGCTAGGTTTCGTCAATGACGATTTACAAGACCGATCAGAAAGCGAGAAAGATATAAGAGTTATCACACCACAAGATGATATATCACAAGATATTGAAATGGAAGAGAAAATTGAGGAGTCACCTGTTACCCCAGAACTTCTTACAGATATTAAAGATGATTTGCAAAGGGAAAAGGATGTGAAATCTATGAGTGATGTTCCTAATGAAAATACAAAAGAAATTGAGCGTGAATCTGAATTTATCAGAAAATTGGATAGATCTGATTCTAGTGAGCCACATGAATCTTCAGAAGTAAATAATCAAACTGAGGTGATTATGCATGAAGTACCTCATGATATAAAACAAACCATCAGAGCTGAAGAAGAATTGGAACAAGCAAAAGAAAACGATGCTCTTGAAAATGAAGTTATTCCTGCTTCTAATTTGATCGAAAGTGATAATACGAAAGAAACACCAGAAATTCGGCTTGACACTGAATTTATATCCACAGAAGACCAGGAAAATATTATTTCAAATTCTACATCACTACCCGATTCCCCAGTGGCATCGCCACTTCCTGCAGAATCCCAGATGCTAGGCGACCATGAAGTTTTATCGTCGTCAGCTTTGGAAACCAAATCTCCTATTCCAGCAGATCTGTTAGAAGATTCAAGATCGCCAGTCTCAATGCAGTCTCCAACACCCTTAGATTCCATAAATGAAAGGGTGTCACCAGTACCACAAGAAGACAGCACTATACCTCCACGACCCGCTGAAGTTCCACTTCCAAGAGAGTCCCCGTTACCATCTGAGTCACCCTTACCGCAAGAAAACCGTGATGTAGCCGATATACATATTGATTCTCCCGTACCACCAAATATTTCATCTATACCATTAAGTGAGATAGACACCAAACTGGTTCTAGAGTCTCCTTTGCCTGCAGAGTCTCCCCTGCCTTCAAAGTCTCCTCTGCCTACAGAGTCTTCTCTGCCTGCAGAGTCTCCTCTGCCTGCGAAGTCTCCTCTACCTGGAGAGTCTCCTTTGCCTGCAGAGTCTCCCCTGCCTGCAGAGTCTCCCCTGCCTTCAAAGTCTCCTCTGCCTACAGAGTCTTCTCTGCCTGCAGAGTCTAGTCTACCCGCAGAGTCTCCTCTGCCTGCGAAGTCTTCTTTGCCTGCAGAGTCTCCTCTGCCTGCTGAGTCTCCTCTGCCTGCTGAGTCTCCTCTGCCTGTTGAGTCTCCTCTGCCTGCTGAGTCTCCTGCACAAGGTGATTTATTAAATAACGAGTTGTCGGTAAAACCGCCTTCTTCTGCAACTTCTCCTTTACCCACAGAGGATGTATTGCTAACAAAATCGCCTTTACCCGTTGAGCAGTCTACTGATGAAGAATCTTTATCAGTTGAAAAGGAATCAATTGCAACATCAATGCCTACAGATAATTTCACTACAGAGGACTTCTGTACTACTGAGCAATTAGTTCCAGTACAATCATTGGAAGATAGTGAACAATTGGTACACAGGGAATCTCCTACTGAATTTTTACAGCATAGCGAATCCCCTTTGCCGGCAGATCATCCTATTCCTAAATCTCCGTTGCTTGTTGAGCAATGTTCACCTAGAGCTTCGCCATTACCAACAGATTCTATCGTCAGTGAGTCGACGTTACCAATTGAGGATGCGCAGACAGAGTCTCCATTGCCTCAAGAATTAGAACAAAAATCGTCCGTTCCCGATGAAATATCGCAACCAACGGAAATAATAGAAATTATTGAAAGTTCTGTTACAGAAGAAACAAAGTTAGGGTCTGAATCAGTTCCGCAAATTGTAACAGTTCCTACAATTGAGTCTGTAAATCGACTGGAAAGTACGCCTGTCTCGGCCGAATTACCATCGGACAATTTAATACCGACGGAAGCCATGACTAGCGCAATATCTCCTGAGCCTGCTATGTCACTAGCCCCTGCCGTCTCACCTATGCCATCGTCTGTGGACACTGAAGAAATTAGGCAACCCGCAGATGCGACATGTGAATCTAGACTCACGCCGGAGATTCCACAGGACATTCCCGTAGAGGTAGTGGAGTCTGAGGTTATGCCCCAGCTAGAGACTGTGGTTGCCGATACCACATCGGGACCTACGCCGGACATTGTACCTGACGAGCGCGTAGATTTACAACAAACGCGAACTGAACTTGTGACTGATATCGATATCGGCATCCCTGAGTCTAGGGCGCAGGAGATTTGCGTACCAGTCACCAGCGAAATTCAAGAAGACGATGCTGTAGAACCGAGCGCCGCAACTCCCCCTCCCACTCCGGCAGTGGAGCCCTCGCCTCCGGCACCGGCCTCGCTCGATATCGCGCCTCTCAGCGAGACTCCCATCGCCGCCGACACGGGCGTATTGGCGGCCGCTGCAGCGCTTACTGCCGGCGCCGCCACCGCCGCCACTGCCGCCGCCGTCGCCTCGGCAAAGACAAAGACTCCGGCCGCGAAGAAATCTCCGACAACGCCGACGGCGAAAACGCCGAAATCCGCCGCCAAACCGACCGCAACAACTAGAGCGCCCACGTCTGCCACAAAGAAACCCGCATCCGCAGCGGCGTCGCCAGCGACCCGGACCCCGACCGCCCCCAAACCGGCCGTTGCCAGGACGTCTTTGAGCGCGAAGCCTTCGACGCCCTCCACGAAATCCGCCGCCGCCAAACCGAGCACGCCGTCCGCTAAGCCGACGACCTCCGCTTCGAAGCCGGCGGCGCGGCCTTCGCCGGTGCCCGCAAAGGAGGCGCCCGCAGTGGCCAAGGCCGCTCCGGCTGCTCGCACGGCGACCCGCGCCCCCGCCGCCAAGCCGCCGAGCGCAAAGCCCTCGTCCGCCGCGGCGAAGGCGACCGCGGCTGCAAGGAACGCCGCCGCCGCGGCGCCGCGCCCCATCACTCGACCGGCCTCCAGCCGCCCAGCAGCGCCGGTGGCCGCGCCCGCCCCTGCCGCCCCCGCCGCCCCCCCGCCCCCGCCGCCTCTGCCGCCGCCCCCGCTGCCGCTAAGCCAAAGGAGGCGAAGCCCAAGGCCGCTGCGCCGAAACCGCTGACCAACGGTGACGTGAAGCCTGCCGCGAAGCCCGCTCCCAAACCGGCGCCCACGGCGCGGCCCGCTCCTCGCGCCGCCGCCCCGCGCCCTGCGCCGCGCTCCACCGCCGCCGCCCCCAATGCAGCGCCGGCAAAGTAAGTTAGCTGTATAATATAAAATTATATTCGCTTCTCGGTATGCTAATTTGTTATATGTTACTAAAGACTGTGTTTTTTTTTATCACAGAGCACCTGCGACGCGACCAGCTGCCCGCGCCCCCTTAGATAAACAGAGCAAGGACCTCGCCAATAAGCGCATCACTGCCAAAGCTGCGCCCCCGAGGACTGTCCCCACTAAGGTACAAAGTCCGGTTTATAAAATTATGTCGTCAAATGCCACCCGTCCATTACATTAACAGCATTATTCGGCGCTTATGCGTCAGTGTGATATTGCCGTAGATGTTAAAACTTATGTTCAGTTAAATTTCCTCATCTTATGTGAAAGATAAATCACATTACTGAGACACTGGCAAATTGTTTCACGATTTTATTTTATTTTACAAACTACGAAAACTGCTGATATTAAACTTCTGTATCAGAGATTAATTTCTAGTGTAAAGGTATAATATAAATCTATTTACTTCTGTTCATTCCCGTTTATTCTGATAATAATGAATCCCTATAGAATATAGGCTTTTAATAAATTGTTCGCAGGAAAACTGATTTTTTGAGCGCAAACCAGGGACATATTATGGTTCATAGTTAAATATCGATTGAATCCGACGATTTCCTTCCGCAGGCCCCGACAGGCTTGAAGAGCGCCAAGGCCGGCGTGAAGAAGGCCGATTCCCCGAAGAAGGAGGCGCGGCCCAACGGGCTGGCGAACGGCGACGCGCTTGCCAAGCCTCCCCCCAGCCCGCCGCCCGCCGACAACGCTCTGCTCCCCGACGTGATCGCGTAGACCCCCCGATTCCTATATCGTTTCCGCTTCGATTTTGTGATTTCCCTATAAGTGTACGATAGTTTTTAATGTGACGGTTAGGTGCGGGAGCCGCCTCCCAGTTTTTTTTTATATTATAGAGTCGCTTTTTATTATAGACTTAATGTTGCCCGCTCGCTGAGCGTCCACGCGGTTATTATCCACTGATACGAGACTCGTTTAGAATTTTTTTTTATATATATTACCAACGAATGATTGATTTTAAATCTGGCTTTTAATTTATTCTCTTTGTATAACCGTATTATTTAAATAAAATTATGAAGAAGGACTGAGACATTGTTTTATTTATGGTAAAGTAACGATTGTACGTTTATACGAGTAATAAATAATGAAAAATAACGAAAAAAATATAAATGTTTACTGTAATGCTACTCTCACTTATGTCAATGTAAACTATGCTATCATGGTGTTGCAAACAACTTAAATATAACAATTTATTCAAATAAATAGTTATATCACCTTTTCGTCTTTTATTTAAATTACATTTTACCCTTTCTACAAAATAAGAACATGATACTGTTTTCTCGGTAGTTATCTACACAAGCTAAAATTAAAAATACTATGGTAGCCGAAAATTTTATGACATCATTTAGTTACATTTTAGATATCATTAGACATTTTTTAGTTTTGTGGTCCGATGTATATCGATTCAATACATTTGGTGCTCCATATAATCTCACAAAGCATTGCTATAAGACATGCTAAAGACGGAACATGTAAAAAGCCTTATTTAATGCCACGGAGATAATTGATTTTATTTTTATAATGACTTTTTACCTCGGACATACTGCCAAAGGAAAGTAGTGTTTATTGAAGGTATGCTGACACACATAATGTCAATTCTTCGCCACGCTATTTAATATGCAAAACCTTTTAACCGATTTCAAAGGTTTTGAAATTGAATTGAAGGTTATTAAATCAGGTAAAATAGATTCGTCTCAGATATTACTTCAAAATCCCCGAAAAAACAAAGTAATAGTTATTACTATTAATTCAATCGTGTTTTGAGTTTAAAAATGAATTAAACAATCGATAGATTACATTATTAATACTGAGATAAAAGATCAGTGTCCTCAAGAGGCATCGCCATCTTTTGATATTTTACCGAACTACTTTACTAACCATAACTAACCATTTTGTACAGCTTCAATAAAACTAGCTATAGAAAATGATTAAAAGTATAGTTGACACAATTTTACAGTTACAGCTGCATTCAACTACAATTCGCTATATTAGTCTATATGAAATTTATGTAATTGATATTTTGATAACATTGTATACAAAACTGTTATTGAATACAAGCAACATTACATCCAGCAAGGATGTTATTATTGGACAAAGTAAATAAAATACACAAATTAGTTTAGCAACTTTTATTACTGTCTTTCCTCTGAATGGTTTCCATTCTAGTACCGTTTAGTTAATTATTAAGCAAAAAGTTATAATCAATGATAAAGTAAATTATTGTTTTTCATGTAATATTTTGTGGTAATTTGATAAAATCGTTTTGCATTTAAAAAAGGTCTCTTTTGTTAATTGGTGGAACTATACCGAATGTAGTATGCAGGCACTATACTACTGTACATTACAAATGTATGGAATGCAAAGACCGTGCAAATGACTCTCAATTAGGTATTTCATATAACCTAAGTTGTCCCAAGGTTTATGCTTTATAAGGTTTGAGTATCGGAAAACTCACGTCTAGCATTTTATTGTATTGTATTTTGTATGTAGATCTATTTATTGTATTGTGTCTTCCCTTCAAAAACGTTGCCCTCTTAGTGTAGGATAACATAATCCTGTGTTGGAAGGACGTTTTACATACATAAATATTACGTTTACATTATTATAGTTTAGGGTTCAAAAAAAATGACCGGCCGGAAAAATGCACGGTGTCTATGGGATAGCATACAGAGACCGTATTTTTAAAGGGTTTTGTTAAAGTTCGTGAACTAGATTTTTAACGTTAAAAACTCTCAAAAAGTTTAAACTATAAAAATTAAAATCCCCTGACTTTAAATTAGACATTCTATTACAGGATACCGATAAGAAAAAAAGAAAAGAAAAAGAAATTTTGTTTAACATCATCGAAAGTACAAAATAAGACATCCAGGAAAAAATTAAGTACATTGAAATTAAATTAATAACATTAATAAATAATGAAATGTAAAAACAAAATTTTATGATACAAATATTTAACACAACATGGCACAAGGAAATGGCTGCGTTATACATAATTTATTTTTGGTCTAAAAGAAGATAGATTTTGTATTTATTTTTAAATATTTATCTTGATTTTAAGCACCTCAAAGGAGTTGGGATGTTATTCCAACACTTAGCAGCGCTGTAATAAAAACTGCCTCGGAATGCTGTCGAGTGGTGTTTAGGACAAAGTAGTCTTTCACAGACAGTTCTATTATGGCGGGTTGAAAATTGAAGTTGGCTTTCGCGATTTAATAATCCCGAAGAGTAATGTGGCAAAGTGAAGTTGGCGACTTGCCTTCATTTTCAGCCAGTTTGTTTTATTTATGTAAGGTGTTACGTGTGCTCTAGGAGGAATTGTATAGCAAAAACAAGCGCAAGCATTCTGGACGCGTTGAATGAGTTTTTGAGTCCGAATTAATAGGCATTCTCCATAGACTGTAGCCCCGTAATTTCGTTTAGACAAGACTAACAGAGGCGAATACGTAGCTACACGCTCAAAAAGTTGCGAATATTATACAATATCTTTAGCCTGTAAAAACAATTACGAACTGTATTCGCGATGTGATCCTGAAAACGAAGGTCTCCATCGATTATTAAACTAAGGTTACGTGCCTGTGAAACACGTTCGATGTTTTTACCACGTTCAGATATCGAGGGAATACTAATTACAATTTTGTTAACTTGTGATTTCGACCCTAATACTAAAAATTTAGACTTTTCAGGGTTTTAAACTAAATAGTTGGCTTCAGACCATTGAATAATAGGGTTAAGATCATCATTAAGTTGGGCTGTAGCTAACCGGCTGTCATTTGGTTTAAATGAGATGTATAATTGTAGATCATCAGCGTACAAATTATACTTACAATATTTAATATTAGTTATGAGATCGGCAGTGTAAATTATAAACAGAATCGGTCCAAGGATAGAACCTTGGGGAACTCCCCGATTAACAGGTTTTAACGTAGATTCCATACAAGTACCGTCTGTCAAAGTTTTCTTAACTAACTGTGATCGCATAGTTAGGTAACTTGCAAACCATTTGATGGTTGCTGCATCAAACCCGTAGAAAGTAAGCTTAGATTAGAGTAAAGTAAGATAACGTTTGTTTCTTCTGGATATACAGTAAGAATTTGGTTCTAACGCTCTGCCACTAGATGGCGCGTTAGAGCGAGCAATAAGTTTTCTGAATCACGCTATTAAGATTTCCTTGCAAGGATTGTGATTATAAATAAATTAAATACCGACTTGATAGACTTGATTTTGAATTATTGGTATGCTGTTTTGTTTTTAACCGCCGACTTTACGAAAGGAGGTTATTAATCAGGTACCTACGTAAAAAAGTAACAAAATCATACCTGTTTACACCTGGCTGCGAAGAGGTGCGGCCAAGTGCGCAACGGCAACCGTGATTTTTCAGTCTTTATGTATATTGCCGTGAAGTGAACGTTATTTTATTTAAAAAACAAGTGAGTGATTTCTATTCGGAAAAATCAATCATTTAATTAAAAATAAGCGGCCACATTTTCATAGCCAACCCGGTAAATATAAATATTATCCTAATTATAAATAAGCGTTAAAAGTTGGATTTTAGCATAAACTCGATGAGTGCACTAATTCTGCAGCCGGATCTCGTACTAATATTGATGAAAAGCGGAATATTTATAAGTCGCGTCGTATGGACATGCGTCAACTGTGTGAAAACATTAATGAAATAAACTACTTTAAATTAAAGTGATATTTATTTCTTTATAAAATCTTACCCTATTAACGGTATTTTTGAACACTTTTTCATAAATACATAAAATTTACAATTACATTATAAAGTTGGTTTTGTCACGGTAACTTTTGTTTATATTCGCAATTATTAATGATATATTTAAATAAGTATATACAGAATTCGTTTGTAATCTACGTTTCAGTCATATGGGGAAAGCGGAGGTCGGTGTCAGAGAGATTTTCGGCAATCCACCTATCCGCCTGTTGTGTCATTTCTTCATCAAAATAATCGCGCCAGCCACCGGTTTTTCCTAGAAATATAAGAAAATTTCTTTACATTATATTTCTTACAGCTTATACTGATAGTTGGGATTGACATTTGTAGAAAATCAGGAAATGCAGACTTTTTAAAAAAGCTTTTATTTACAACCCCTTAGTATGGATTATTTTAAAAATGAAACTGATATGTAATAATGAATAGGTATTTTTCATACTGATCATCATTAGTAATAAGTTATAGCAATTAGCAACCCAATCCACAGCTGAGCAAAGGGTATTAGGGTGCAGTCCACCATGCGGCCCCACTGCGGATAGGCTTCACCTATCTTCTAAATACCGGGATTTGTATTCAACCTGCTGTTAAAATCGAGCGCCCGGACAATGAACGATAACGGCTCTTCTGCATCATTGTATAACTTAGCTCAATTACAAAATTTTCTAACTTCAAATAATTTTTGTTTAACTTAAAATTTATATTGCGAGATCTTTTCCTACTTTTTCTAAAAATTTTGTTAAAGTTAACTGTAAAATAATTATTAAATCAAAAAAGTAAAAGTAAAGTAACAGCATATACATGCCCCACTGCTGGGCAAAGGCCTCCTGTATACAGAGAGTATCAGGTCATAGTCCACCACGTGACCCAACTGCGCATTGGTGGACTTCACATATCTTCGAAATACTATGTTTTCCTTCACCGCTGAGCACGTGATAAGTCAGCACTTAAAATTAACAATTTTATTGGTGCCGGCACCGGGGATCGAACTCAAGTTGATCGAGCATATTGTTCAAAATTTAATATAAATGCTACACGATTAGCTGATGCGAGCCGTGGGCGCCGCCATTTTGGACTTGGCAGCTCTGCCCTCCAAATTAGCCCAACTCTGCGACCGGCTGTAATGCGACATGCGATGGATGGGCGAAAAAATTGGAGGCGGTTGGAAAAAAGTTTAACTTTAATAATCATGATATAAAGCCGTACCCTTCCTAATAAAAGACTGTCCGTCTGATATTAAAATTCCCAGCTCTTTCATCACGTCATAGTTAACAGACTTATTATTTTTAAAGTTCTCTATGCTGAGATGCTCGCATAACTTTTCTATTTGTTCTGTTGTGAAAGACTTGTCAAGGAAGTTTGCGACTCGACGTATTGCTGCCGGTAGGTCCTGTAATAAAATAAAATTGGTGCATGTACTTATGTACACGCGTCAGAAGTTATACTTCTTTGGCATCATTAAATAATAGTTTTTAATTGCATGCACACCACACCACAATAAATTAATAAAAAGACTGGAAAAGGATATAAATAATGAAAATAATAAAATTATGAAAACGCTATCTAAATTCTTTATTGAGAACTGTACGGGCGAATGTGATTGAGAATATGCTGCCATCTATAAAAAAAATAAGCGGTTTAGCGGTCAGCTTCAAAGGTGTGACTTTTGTGTTACAGTGATGCGCGCGCATCTTAAAATTTCACTCTCATCATTTTTCATAACGCGCCTAAAGAAGTATAACTTCAAAAAACTGATTTGCTATCAATAAAAAGTCTTGAGTATTGTAAGCTCCCTAAAATATGAATATAGCCATTATCTACAAGGATTTTATATACAACTACGAAGTAGATATGACACTACCACACCGAAATAAAGGCACTCAAATTACGCCAATTGGTGTAATTAGATTACAATTATTTATACTGCGATCTTATTCCGTGTCATAAGTTTGATATCATCTGTCACATACACTTATATGTTGCATAATGTAAAGCGGAACAATTTTTAAACACCGCGCAGTATGGACATGCGTCATTAATATTAATAAACATCATTGATTATATCTATGTCAATGTGACATTCGGACTTCGGATAGTAAATGCCGTTATTTTGATAATGTCTAATTTCTATCAGAGTGTTACTGCCATGCAGGATAAAATTCTAGACCAATTCGTATGAAATATCTTGAATATTATTTCGGAAATGTAATGATTTAATAAAAGTAGGTATACTGTTTAAATGTAATATTTCAAAAATAATAGAATCAGTCTTTAATTGAAAACAATAAGTATACCGCAACCGTTATTTATCATGAAATAATGGCTAAACATATTATTTAAAATAATTATGTACTCCTTGAACTGCCTCAGAGGATATTCGATCGTGTTATAAGGCAATAAACGAAACAAAGAAACGGTTGTATGGCATTCACCTGAATTGAACGCTCAGTCTATTATTATATGATTACAATAGAAAATATGTAATATTATAGCAAGCCATTTACTGAAATGATAGTTTTGATTTTATACTAGATTTAGTATACACCATATAACTGCATATAATCGAAACTTCATCTTTTTATAACTAGATCTCTATGATAATTGTTTTTTTTTAAATAAAAACATCTTTAAGCATAAATATTACAAAAGTAGAAACCTTGGAAAGTTCTTCGTAAAATAGGAACAACATATTGGGGTGATGTCTCTGCTCCCATGACTCTTTCAGATGTTCAAAATAAGGTGTCCAATGATCTGAAATTATGTGAGAATTGTGAAAAAAGGGAGTTTTCCGTCTTCTTTATATTTTTAGCACGTATTTTATAGGTTAAGTGAGAAATCTGTTCTGAATATCTAAGTAGGGTTACTTTCACGCCAAATCGACGTACATGCGTCTTTAGGAAGCTACCAGTATAAAACAATTATGACAAATGTTACGTTGATTAGGCCTCATTAAATACAAACGATTAGCTCGTAGACTAAACTAATGATAATATTGTTTGATCACCCAAGTATGATGTAAGAAATGAATAGGTACTGTTATCTTAAAGTTTCCACGCCTGGTGTGTGTCATTAATAATTTCTAATTATAATCGCTGTATCGCTTGTTTTTTCATTGAAGTTCTGGTACGTATAGAATGAAGTTATTGCTCTCTCATAATACAACTCACGTAAATTATTTACGAAGAATTTCCAGTAAGTTTTGAAATCGTGAATATAGCCCTGCGTCCTCATAGCTCTGTTAAGATGATAGAAGGAGACTGCAACGTCTCTGGGGTCCCTGGCCACGTAGACGACTTTGGCTGTATCCAACAGTCTGGGCGGCAGAAGCGAGAGGGGCAGGTGCGTTTTGATGAACGCGGCGAAGGTATCAGTGCTAGTTGATCTGTAGCCGGCTGCGTCACCCACTCTAGCAATTTTATTTTCCTTTCACTGTCACGATTCTCCATATAGAAACGTTTCTTCATAACGGGGTGCACAAACACTGAAAATCTGCGAGGAAAATGTTTTGTAATAGTATCAATCAATAATGACTTAAGACTAGTCAAAGATTTTGCTAATACGGCTGTGTGTGCTGTCTTGCAGTTTAAGGTTCGACGTGTCTAAGCAAGTCGAACATTTATGGGATTTCTTGCGTGCGAAAATCAATGTTTCACGTCTTTGACGAGATCGCCATCTGTTATATTCTGCATCATATATATATTTGGATTAAAAGTAGACAGCTAACTATAGTATTCATAGTAACAGTGAACTCTAAGTGGTTAACGGTATATTCCTTTAAAGTGTAAACATGACAGCTTATTTAATTCGTTTAAATGATTATGAATGTTTTTATACTGATATAATTGATATAAAAGGGTGCAATCAAAGGTTTTTAAAATATTTAACAAGGAAACCCAAACCCATATTTTGGCTAAATTTGTTAAAAATTGATATTCATTTTATTCATACTTTGTTGATTCTTTGTTTCATTATTTACATAGACATAAAATATAATTTGAATTTTTCTTAATGCCTTTTATTCAAGTTTTAAGACTTACTCCAGGAATGGATATCGTTCGGTGAGAGGTATAGAGTTAGACGTCGCATAGTCCAAGTCGTTGGCCACCATCCAAACCAGTTCTTGAGTCCAAGTGGTGCCTGTGCGAATAGTTGTTTCAATTTTCGATTTCCAAAGTGTTTTTAGTGTGACCGTTAAAGGGGGCCGAGGTGAATTCACGTATTTCATTTGTGATAGCGTTCTAAAGTTTCTTTGGAGTGTAATTTCTCGGATTGGTAACATAATGTATGTCAATGAAATGTATTTTATACTTTTATTTAAAATTAAAACATAAACTTTAAACTTATTGTCTATTTTTCATTAATAACAGAAAAATACTTTAAAATAGTTATGGGATCATGAATAATTAAGAAGTAACAATTCTATTATATTATGTCTACTTTGTTAAATAAAATAAATATTTAAAAATTGATGAGTCCGAAATTTAGTTATACTACTTTCTAATGTTCCGAATTCCAGATGAGGAATAACTATTACGAATAAGAAAAATCTAGAATGGAAACTTATTCAAGACAGTTTTTTCATCTGTATAAGTTAAAAATAAAACTTGCAATGACATTGCAATTTTTATATCTTCTTTTCACTTTACATAAAGGTACCTAGTTGTGGAAAATGTAGGCTAATACCTACACACCGTTTATTTTGTAAGGTCGTCTATTCAATGTTCTCCGACACCTTGAAGGGCCTCAGAACTAACAGTTAATGCTAATTTGTACTGTATAAAAAATACCTGATCGGGGATAGCTGGCGACGAAAATATCACTCGATCTCACTTCCATGTTGTAGATGTTTGAGGCCTCTTGCTTGTATTTATGCGGAAGGAAGTATCCCTTGGGTCCCACGCGCACAAAGCCGGTGTGTTCACCTGCGTAGCATTATTCAAAATATTCATTATTTCCTTATAACCGCAAATTCGTCTGCGTAACTATATTAAGTAAAAATACATAGCAATAAAATACGCAATTCTCATAAAAATCTTTGTTCCTTATAACTTTACAGTACCTGGAGGACCTGGTAAATCATGTATTTTGGAAATTACATTTAGATACAAATTACTGAGTAATGAAATATGCATAATACTTTTCGATCTTACCGACGTAATAATAAGAAAATATGAACTGGTGTTTTTCACAAAAGAAAGAACTTTAAAAAAATGGGAAAAAAGTAACAAATCGACAAAAAATAAAGAAAGCAATGATCTGGAATCGAAAAAAATGTAAAAAAATAAGTGTGTAAATGATCGTGATACGAACCACGGCCGTCTGTTTTGGGGCCGCCGATTACCGACCGAGCTATTATAACATTTTTTTTGCGGCGAAATTAACCGTCATATTCGAATGATATTTTTCATTCCCTGAAAACAGGGATAAAAGGACATTTTCTAAAAATGAAACCGATTTATGATAAATGAGATCGATTTTTCGCCCCCGATCCTACGCACATATCTACTAAATTTCATGAAAATCGCTGGAGCTGTTTCCGATTGTATAAAGTAAAAAAAGTAAAGTAAGAGCCTATACATGTCCCACTGCTGGGCAAAGGCCTCCTCTATACAGAGGGTATCAGGGCATAGCGCGGCCCCACTGCGGATTGGCGGACTTCACATATATTCGAAATATATATATATATTTTTTGTTCTTATTTCGAAAATATGCAGGTTTCCTCACGATGTTTTCCTTCACCGCGGAGCACGTGATAAGTCAGCACTTAAAGTTCAAAACTTCATTGGTGCCGGCACCGGGGATCGATCTATATATATATATATATATGTATATATGGCAAGTAAGTAGTAAAAAAAAGTAAAGTATCAGCCTATACATTTCCCAATGCTGGGTATAGGCCTCTATACTGAGGGTATCAGAGCTTAGTCCACCACGCGGCCCCACTGCGAATTGGCGGACTTCACATATCTTTGAAATAATTTTTTTGTTATTATTTCCTTGTTGCACGATGTTTTCTTTTACCGCTGAGCACGTGATAATTCGGCACTTAAAATTGAGAATTTCATTGGTGTCAGCACCACCACCCGGACACTGAGCTATCACGGCTAAGTAGGTAATTGCGGATTTGTTAAAAAAAATAAAATATTTCTTTTTCTTGGAATGATGTTTAATCTATAACGACATTTTGCCATCTCTCGGACAACTTGAAAATTCCACGCTCGTATGATCCTTTTCAGCCAAAAACTGAGTTAAGTGAGATTTTACAGTGACATCATCATTGAAAGTTTTACCACGAAGGGAGTTGCCCAGAGTTCGAAATAAGTGGTAATCCGATGTTGCGAGATCAATTCCCAACATTGAACAATTCGATTCGGAAATAATGAAGCAAAATATATAGATATAATAATGTTTCAAAATTAGTTCTTAGTTATTAAGTATAGACTCAATACGGCTAAGTCTAAAGAGCGATAAAATGTCGTAATTTCAGAGAAAAAAATAATAATAAAGAGAAAAATTTCACAGGTGCAATGCATAATTATTGCACATATGAAAATAAATATAGTAGGTACCTAATTGGGTGAAGTGGAGCGGAACAATTTGCATTTTTTATTGCAGATACAAAGTAGGCTAGTTATTATATAGGCTAGTTATTATATCTTATTGTCTAATTCCTACGTTGAATGAGGTGTTCAAAAGATACCAAAACTGCATTCCATTCAGTGATACATTAAATTAAAAAATAATTTTACGCGACCTTCGTACAAATTGCTTCCGTATATTTGATTGAAATATTTGAAGACTATTGCGTAAATTTTTTAATCGGCGTTCCATAAATATTTCATTCGATTTATTTGTCCGAAGCGGCCGTGGCGCACGAAACGTGGAGGCCTTGTATCAGCTTTCCATTGCATACAAAGGCCATAAGGAAGTGGCTCTATTAGAATTTAACAATAACTGTGTGAAGGTTCGTTCAAATACAAATCAGTAATAGAATAAAAAAAATAGTAATAATATTAATTCTGTTCATAATACAAGCACAAATTATCTAATTATCTTGTTTTATACTTCGTACAGTATGATTAAGGACTCGTGTAAAGTTGAATAACAAATAGGCCAAAATACTTGTAGTGCGATGCGATTAGCGTGTGATATTGAATATTAAATTATTGAAATATTAAATTTAAGTTTTGGCTTTTGAGCCGTGATAGCTCAGTGTCCGGGCGCTCGCCTTTAATTCAATATACTCGAGCAACCTGAGTTCGATCCCCGGTGCCGGCACCAATGAAGTTTTTAACTTTAAGTGCTGACTTATCACGTGCTCCGCGGTGAAGGAAAACATCGTGAGGAAACCTGCATATTTTCGAAATAATAACAAAAAAGAACATATTTCGAAAATATGTGAAGTCCGCCAATCCGCAGTGGGGCCGCGTGGTAGACTATGCCCTCTGTATAGAGGAGGCCTTTGCCCAGCAGTGGGACATGTATAGGCTGTTACTTTACTTTTTTTGAGATCGGTGATTTAATTTAGAATGATGGCTGAACATTACTTTATTATTTAAATATATTTTGCCTCCTCTATTGAGGTTAGCAACTTTTATTAAATACAACAACCGCAGTTCAGATATTATGTTTTGTTATCATTGCTAGTGTTAGTTCATTGACAGATAAATTCTCTAAACGCAAGTCGTGACACATATTTCACTTTATCTTTCAGTAAATAATTCTGTGCAATTTAAAGTTTCATGACATAAGTTTAAGTGTCTTCATACTTACAAAGTGTTGAATGGTATTATTTTATGCTTAATTATGTGGTCTTTATAAATAGATGATACAAGTATCAACTCAATTATTAATGGCGATCGCCTGTTTAATGTTTATTTTTGTTCTATGCACCATTTTAAATATAGCGTGTTATGATTAAAAACTAAAATTCATGCTTTATTTTTTAAAACTTGATTTAATCAATATGCAGAAATAAATAGTCTTGTACGTAAGATTAAGTCAAACATTTCTACACTCTATTATTTCACGAGATTCAACTTCGTTAGATTTTGGATGGATTTTAAATGTTATACAAACAGGTACGAGTATGTTGTACTTTTATATTTGTACAAGGCTTGTAAGAAAATTAATATGTTACTGTTTTTGTATACGTTAAACGTACGTAACAAGCGGAAGTAACCGGATTAAACAAGCGCGGGGCCCGTAGCAAATTCTTTCAAACAGCCTTTGATCTGCAATGAGTTCTAAGTATAAAGTGGTAAAAAAACAATTCAATACTCTTACTCAATAAGTTTCAGTCAAAAAATTACGCTCCGACAGAGATGAGTGGTTTTAAATTGCGGGGCCCCGTTTCGCACGGGCCCGTAGCAATCGATACTCTTGCTACATGGTTAATCCGGCACTGCATACGTAAGTCTGACAAGAACGAACACCCAGATCAGGAATAATTCATCATATCATCACTTTAGTTAAGTTTTATATGAATAGCGAACTACGTATACATTACATGTTGTGAGTCGGATTATGTCTATTTAATAATAAATCTAATTACTACAATGTTTAAAGGTATTTATATATATATATATTATTTACATATTATCAAATACCTTTAAACATTGTAGTAATTAGATTTATTATTAAATAGACATATAGATTATATTATATAATTTAATAATATAATATAATCAAATATAATATTGTCCTTACATTGTGTGGCATTTTTCAAAAATGCTTAATAACGTGATTCGCTATAATGGCATAATGTCTAGGGATACAAACGATAATACTTAGTTAAAATTTCGATAACAATTGTATTGGCTTTTCCATTACTTAATTGGTATGCAAACCATCGTGACTCTAATAAACAATACAAATAGGTAATTCTTAAAACTTGATAAGGTGTTTGTTCGACGATATTTATTCGAGCCCTTCACATACATTCGAAATAAATATTTTAGAATCCTCTCTGAGCCTGAGCCCCGACAGAGACGAATTACATAATTTATCAATGTATTTTAATTCTACAAGTGTTTGGAATTATTCATAACCGTTAGATATTTAAACCCTTTTAAACATTTTATGAACAAATAGAATGAACGCATCGGTTTATTACATTAGACATACTTAGTGCGTTTTACGTTCTTAACAAAAAAATACGACAAATTAGTTTTCGACAAAATCCATTCTCATACTTTTGTAACAGACGTATAATCAAGTGTTTAAAACTTATAAAAACGTATTTTTATACGTTTTATATATTTACATACACCGTGAACTACAAACTAAAGAGAACCATATGACAGTCGGCGCGCGTTCCACAACACGATGGGTGCTACTTTCTTTTAGTTTCTAATCAGTCTGGTATATTCCGTAAACTTGTTTATAAATTGGAATTTTTCATTTTGAATTTGTAGTTATACACTTATACACCTATGAGAATCGTAAATTAATATACACGATAGCATAATTTTAAAACAACAATTTTAAAAATATGCTTTGGTGTCGTTCTTCACTAAATCAAACTTTACAAATTATATATAAAACAGAATAACGTGTACTCTAATTAATATTTCTCTTTGCCCCAGACATATAAAAATTATTATTATTTGGTACATACATGTCATCATTTTAAATTGAATGATAAAGCAGTAGAAAAATATATTTTAAAATTCAGTTAAATATATTTTAAAGTATACTTGAAACTGATTCATATATGAACGCAACCTTGTACGCAAAAAGGAAACTTGTAACGGAATATGATTTTTGGGAAAAAAAAATATTATATTTGTAGCGATGTACAACTATGACAAGAAAAGCACTATGAGGAATACATTTTGGCCATTATGCTTTACGTGGTTACAAATACAGAGTCGAGTACAAGAGTAACATAGTTTTTTTAGTTATCTTTAATCAGTTTCTATTCCTCATGTTTGAATAAATCCATGACGACGTTAGCTAGGTACATATTAAATGCACATAAGAGAACTTGCTTTATGATCTCGCTGAGCTTTGATTAACTATACTTAGATATTTATCTTTGTCAGTTACTTTGTTGTTAATATTACCACGTGTTAAATGTTTGCTAGAACGAGATGGAAAAAATATTTTCTAAAAACAAATAATTCACTATCGCTTATTAATACTCTAATAATTTAATAACTTAATAAAAAATATAACTTACCAGTGAAATATTTCATTAAAATTTCAGCTGTATGCTGTTCAACATCTTTCAATTCCAGCGGGAAATTGTTGTTGTTATATGTCTTCGATATCTCCATGTTTGAAATTAAATCGTTCGAAAATATTTCCGTTTCCGAATAACAGTTACGGTTTAAAGCGCGCTGTTGTTAACAGATGAATCGAGGCGATTGTGAAAGCGCGTGCGCCTCGAGCTGTTCTGCGTTGTACTGCCACCACCACTCTGGTTGAAGTGTGTCACCTTCATCTTGGATAATTATCATGGCTTTGAGTATATAAACCATATGGTTATATATTAAATTCATTAAATGGAAACGTTTTCCACCATATTAGAATAAATTATGTAAGTTAAACGCAATTCGCAGACAATGTGTATAGTTTGTTTATATCTGTGTTAAACACAAAATGTAATGTGGCCATGTCGTTCTAGTGCGCGAAAAAGGGCCTCATTATTAAATGTTTAAAACTTGATCGATTTTACGTCTGTAATATGTGGGACTGAAAATGGAATTTTTGTTTTCGATGTGAAGAAATTTATTGCACTCGTTTTTATTATCCTTTGAATTATCACTATATAAAACATTATTGACGAAGGGTTAACAAGCTAGTTAAAAAGACAGAATTTTAAAAATTTTATCGTTTTACGTTGTATTAAAAACGAATAACTAGGATTGACAACTTTCCTTTATTTATAAAAAGCAATGGCGACATCTCTCGTTCGGAATTATCGTTGTAAAACGATATTCGAAATTGTTTGTATGCTGGAAAGGATACAGCAATAGATGCGCCTGGCCTTGCTTCAAATGCTAAATAACAATGTAGAAGGAAGGCGTTAAGATTTTCGTCGCTGTGGCTGTCAGGCGTTTAGCTCAGTGGCTAGAGTGTCAGGCCGCGAAGACGTGGGTGCGATTCCCACAGCGGCGACAATCTTTTCGTAATTTTTCTACATGTTTTGACTTTCCTTCACGTCATGTAAAAACTATATGTAACTAAATGTAAGGTCGGTTTCAAATTATTTCTTAAGGTTTTTAAGTGCAGTTCGACGATTTTACATTTTGTAAATATTATCTAAATTAAGTGGAATTCTTGTAACGAATACTTGGCTCCATGTCAATTATTCCGTCTGAATTATTAAGTATAATTCAAGGTACTGAGATCTTGTATAATATTTCTTAATTAAATTGAAGGGAAAGAAAACACCTAAATTGTCTAATTAAGTAAAATTCGTGGCTATAACCAACAAAAATTTGAATAGTGGTTAGGTATCATAAAAATAATTTAATTTGTGGAAATGTAGGGTTTTCGGTAATTTTACAAAACAATAATTATCTGACTCAATAACATAATTAATTACAATGAAATTCCTTTTATATCAGAATTTATCTAAATATTTTTACTTATATTATTAATTTATTAAAAACCGGCCAATTGCGAGTAGGACTCGCGCACGAAGGGTTCCGCACCAATATCTATCTATAAAGACGTCAAAAAATTGTGTGGAAACCCTACTTAAATATTTTTTATTCTGTTTTTTAGTATTTGTTGTTATTGCAGCAACAAATACATCGTTCGTGAAAATTTCAACTGTCTAACTAATACGATTCATGAGTTACAGTCTGGTGACAGGCGGACAGAAGAACAGACAAATAGACAGGCAGACAGACAGCGGAGTCTTAGTAATAGGGTCCCATTTTACCCGTTGGGTATGGAATCCTAATTATATTACGCTATTAGTATACGGCCATAGATATAGCTACTCGGTCATTGAACCGTATTCAACTTTTACCATGTCAAGGGCTCTGGAAGAGTGATCTAGTATAGATCTTAAATACTCAAAAACTGGTAATGTTATACGGTAATCAGGTATTGACTGGTTAACTAACGTTTTAAGTACAATACGGTATTATGCGCGTATTAAATTGTACAATGGCCAGTTCGAGGCTGCCACTCGAGAACCTCTCTTCCCCAGTGGTTATCGTAGTGTGGGACGACCCCCCACTAGATGGAGTGACGACCTGTGCAAATGTGCGGGAAGTCGATGGGTGCAGGTGGCTCGGTTCGTGCTTCGTGGCGGTCTGTGGGAGAGGCCTATGTTCAGATGATGATGATGATTAAGTTGTACGAAATTGATCAGACTATCGCTGCAGTTATTCAAATGTGCCCTTAAAACTCTTGATTTAAATTTAAGCTTTCTAAGTACTAATTAACTCTCTGAACTGAATTATTATTGCCTGTGATGGACTTGTGTAACGATTTATTTATTAACTTACATTTTGCTCCTGCGATTAAATTACGAGCAACAAAAAATAATTATTACACAAATACTTGCATGTTACTTTTACAAAAATAAATATTTTATCTTTGTAGTTCTGTTACATTAGGGCACGTTCGTTTTTAAAGTCAGATATTTGAATCGATAGAGAAACATAACCATTGAAATAATTAAAAATTAATGAGCGAAAATCGATGGAACGGGCAATACTTTGAGAAAACAATTAACACTATTTTTGTTATATTTTCACCGTCACCAATGTTTGCCAAACTTATTTCAACCTCGATAAAATTTTTATAGAGTTCTCATCATACGAACATATTGTGATATTGAATATAAAGCATTTAAGAAAAAGAAGAAAGCATGTTATTCAATTTCTCGGATTAAATAATCGTTTGTATCAAAGTAGCCGCTTTTCGTAAGTTGTTCTAGATCAGGGATTCCCAACCTTTTCTTGATCAGGGACCACTTTTATGTTATTCTTGTTAGCAAGGACCTCTGTAAAGGGATAGTTAAAATAAAGTGAAATAATCAAACCGAAACTTTAATTAAAAATTCAAAAGCTAGTTACATAAAAACAAATATTAATATTTTTAGATAAACTTCGGTTTTGTTGTTGTGTGACATAAACTTGTTTTAATGTGTTGTTGTTCATCTATAGTTATGCCAAGGAATACAGTCGTATCAACAGGGTCAAGTGCTTCCCCATGTCCCATGTAGATCAGTTTTTACATGTTTCACATTTGGATTTGAAAATTTTATACATTTCATCGTGCGATATCGATCGCCATTGACAGGAAGCTCGGCTCGTAGTACATGATCAAAGAAATAAGGGCCGATGATACCGTCGGACCTAAACCCAGAAAACATTTTCGAATTGTAGTGGCACCTGATGAAGCCGCTCCAAATTCGCCAACTTTTTTTTAAAAGAAAGCCGCTCAACCGGAATGGATTATTCACACTGAGGATGATTCCGTAAGCAGGGTCAACCGCCATTTAATAAAAAAAAATGCTCAAGACCTACTCGGCACTGTCTGAGATTGTTTGGTTTTAGTTTTTGGGTTAATTTAAGTTTATATCTATGAAAACCGAAGACTTCACTACCTGGTGTTTTCTCTCACACTGGCCCTGAAGGCCATGAAAATTCTTTACGATCCTACATTTCTTTGACGAACAGAGAACTGATTTTAATATCATATTTTATAAATTGACCGTGAAGCGGTCCATGGTAAAATGTCAAGTCTATATAAGAATATTACAATTTTTACACAACGTTCTTGTCTAGTCCCAAACTAAACAACGCTTGTACTGTGGGTACTAGAGAACTGATAAACTTACTTAAACATATTTTTCTTTTGTTAACTAAATACATATTATACATATATAAACACCCAGACACTGGAAAAATACGATGTTCATCACACAATATTTATCCAGTAGTGGGGATCGAACCCACACCCTCAGGCGCAAGAGGCAGGGTCAGTACTCCCCGCGCCAATTGGATCGTCACTTATCAAATTTGACAGCTGTGTAGCTTTACTCGGATGGCCGCTAACATAATTACGTCGTTCAACTTTGTGTGTACCTATTGAATAGAAAATGAAAATTCATAATAGATCTTTCCAAGTATTTACTTCAAAATATCTTTTTTACTTTTACTTTCCATAAGATGTTTTAATTTTACATTCCGTGAACTACTAGTTTGAACTAAAGGTACAACCGTCCGAACACTAGCCCGACATTCAAGTGCTGGCCTAACTGGTGAAAAGTTTACATTGTAATTTGGGGATTAAGTTTTGTGCTCTCCAGTGTTATTCGATCGCAGAAACAAAATCCAGCAGGTAGAAATAAAACTGTTTATACCGTATAATGGATTACCGTATAATAACAAAAAAGAAACAAACCGTTCTGTTCTCATTTTAAAAATTAATATATAGGAATATGATGCATATTACAAATAATATGTGTTAGGATAAAAATTAAGTTAAAAAATCTGTTTGGGGGAAACGAAAGTCGGTTCCCTGTAAGTTCTCTTTTATCCAGCGTTCGGCTTCTATGGTCATCTCTTCATCGAAGTAGTCCCTCCATCCACCGACCTTTCCTGTTAAAATCAGAATACACTAAAGTTACAAAAGTATGCATTTATTTGGTTATATATATATATATATATATATATATATATATATATATATATATATATATATATATATATATATATATATATATATATATATATAACCTCATAAATGCTTTTACAACCTAGAAAGTCTTCGTGATGCTTACAGTTATAGTACCACATTGAATAAAAGAATAGATAAAGTCAATGAAACAATTACGTACCTTTCCTAATGAAACTTTCCTTTTTGTTCAAAAATCCGAGCTCCTTCATATCCTCTAAGTTTACCGATTTATTCTTTTTAAAGTTCTTGATATTAAGATGATCACACAGCTTGTTTATCTCTTCATCCGTGACGCGTTTGCCAAGGAACTTTGCTACACGACGCGCGCAAGCCGCCAAATCCTACAAAATATGTCTATTGAAATTTCTATATCTCTCTTATCAATAAAGTCAAGAAATAAGTTATTTAGTTGTATGTTTCACAATCAATGTGTCCGGGCGCTCTCCTTTACTTCAATCAATATACTCGAGAAACCTGAGTTCGATCCCCAGCGCCCGTGATAATTCATCACTTAAAATTGGTAGTGCTGTAGGTAAGTGCTGAATTATCACGTGCTCCGCGGTGAAGGAAAAACAGTGTGAGGAAACCTGCATAATTATGTTCGAAATAATAAAAAAAAAAATTCGAAGATATGTAATCCGCAGCGGGGCCGCGTGTTGGACTATGCCATGATACCCTCTGTAATGAGGAGGCCTTTGCCTAGCAGCGGGACATGTATAAGCTGAAACTTTACTTAAATTTTATTGTTTCACAATTAAGCTTTCTTCACTTATTTTAAATAATATTTAATTAAGTTCAATACCCCTCCTTCTAAACCAACGTACCTTAGAAAGCTCTTCATAGAACAAGAAAAGCATATTAGGATGATCACGAACATCCCATGCCTTTTTGATATGCGAAAAGTGGGGTGTGTAAATGACTAAAAATATAAATATTTTTTTAATTACAACATTAGACATGCACAATAAAAATTCAGAGAAACAGTTATCTGTATAAATATTTTATTGCTGAACTACAAAAATGAAATAATTTGATAATTGATAATGCACTCACAAAAGATTAGCACATTTTATGTTGACCAAAGTATCATCGTTGATTGTAATGAATAGAAATGTTGATTGATTGAATAGAATAACTGGATAAATACTGAATAAAGTTGGGTATGAACCTGCCTAAACTAAAAGATTCTCGATTTTAATAAATTAAAATAAAATTATTTTTAGTAAGTTATGGCTGGTTTTACAAATGGATCTACTTACGTAAGTTCCTCGTGAAAAAGTTCCAATAAGTTTTAAAATCGCTGTTATCTTTGTTGCTTTTGAGCAATTTGTCGTGATGGTAGAACGACACCGCGACGTCTCTCGGGTCGCGGGCCACGTAAACCACCTTGCAAGTCTCCAGAAGCTTCGGCGGCAGAAGCGACATAGGTATGTGTGATTTCATGAAACGCGGGGAGGGCATAAGCGTGATATCCTCCACGGTTGGTATTATCATGGCCGCTTCTTGCAGCTTGCTGTCCTGTGACAGGAGCGCCATGACATCCGAGTTTAGAAACATCGCCGATCTATGAACGGTAAAAGTAAATCGTACATTTTTTTAAACTCTTTTGGCGTATAGTGTAATGTAAATTATCTATGAGTAACTTATGGCTTTATTTTTAAATGTTCTAACCTTTTTGATTTGCTACTAAAATTCATGGGTACGATTCTCATACGAGACAAGGATATGAGACAATAATGTCTCATATTTTTTTTTATGGTTATGATAGTCCTACTACCATATATTATTGATTGGATATAAGCATCTCGATATTAATTAGCCTCAAAATAGTAATTTGAAAGACTCAGTACTTATGAGTCAATGTAAAATGACCAAAATAAAACTTACTCTAAAAAGGGGAATCTTACAACGAGTGGAATTTCAAGTGCCTTTTGATAGTCAAAATCGTTTGCAATTAACCATACTAGTTCTTGCGTCCAGGTTGTGCCTATGAAAAGATAAAAATTATTAAACGGTTTTTGATAGTGTTTCATGTAAATTAGGTAAAATCCTATATTTATTTATCAACATACTCATTTCAATAAGAAATCAAAACAGTTTTAACTAAACCTAAAAGTAAAAAAACTTTGAAAGCTTTCACTTTTATAATCAATGGTTGCTATATACTAGATATGAAACTAGCGCACCGAAACTTAGGCACTTAAGTTACATCAAGTGGTGTAATTAGAACTCGGGGTGCTCTGTGTCGGATCTGTGACTCATTATTATTTTTTTTAATTTATCGATTTACAATGGATACGAGTATGACGTCACTCGCTACCTATATTTATCATGTTGGCTGTACGTACAAAATTTTTTAAATTTCTATGAATAAATTGTTTTATAATCGATACGAGTATGACATCGCCAGCTTCCTATATTTATCATATTTGCAGTACTGTATATTGACTTTTTGAAGTCCACCTAGTAAAATGGCAGACTTTCGTAGTGAAAATAACAAGTTTTAAATAATTTTTATGTCGAAAACTGTGAGTGAGCAGATAATTCTGCGTGTTGATTATTTCATTAGTAATTTTTCTCTATCGAAAAATGTTTTTTGTTAGCTCGAAACTCAAACTGTGGTAATGGAAATTAATACCTCGAATAAACCACAGTGTTTATTCGATTCTAAGAATAGGGTACTACTAAAATAATTATTGTTAATGATTGTTAATAAAATAAACGGCAAATGTAAATAAATTTAACTCTTGCGTAATTCAATTAAAATAAATTTTAAACGATAGAGAAAAATCTCTAATGTATTAATCAACAAGCAGAATTTGGCGGTCCCTTATAGTTTTCGAGAAAAAATATTTAAAACTTGTTATTTTTTACTAAGAAATCCATCATTTTATTTATTTGACTTCAAAAACTCAATACACAGTTCTGCCAACATGATAAATATAGGAAGCGGTCGACATCATACTCGTACCGATAGTCCGATTTTTTTTTAATTTAATGTGTCACAGAACCGACACAGAGCGAATTCAAAGTTAGGTTATTTTTTTATGACCACCAAGACATACGAGCAGAATTGAAATACTGACAACAAAATAATGGCGGATTTCTATAGTAAAAATCACACTATTTCATTATTTATTTTTTCGAAAACTATAAGCGACCGCCGAATTCTTGTTGATAAATTCATTAGTGATTTTTCTCTATCGTTTAAAATTTATTTTAATTGAATTACGCTGGAGTTAAAGTTATTTACATTTACCAAATAAACAAGTAAGTATTATAAAAGTATCAAATAATTTTAATTCACTACCTGATTTAGGAAAGGTGAGTACAAAGGTATCCTCTGGTCTCACCTCCATATGGTATATATCCGTTGCGATTTTCTCATATTCGCGAATGAAGGAGTAGCCATCGTGTCCGCATCGCACTTCACATGTACCAAAAGGACCTGTTTATAAAAGTATAATTATTATGTATAGTCATCAAATACCTACAAAATTTTTATTATCATCATCTTTTTCATTAATTTTTTTTTCCTGGAGCTCCCCTCACTGAATAATATATATTTGAAATTCGTCTTGAAAAGGAGTCATTTCCTCAAGTTCATGTAGTTGTAGCTGTAGCTGAGCACATACTTCAAAATCTGTTTCTCTGGCTCTGCAGGTATGCCTTAAAACTCTGATCCTTGAATACAGTTTTCTACAAATATCGTAGTAGAAATTAATTTTCGATTAAAGAGAGTACTGTATGGGCAGGAAACCCAACTTACCCTCAAAATAGTCTTTCAATTCAACAACGTGTGCAGAGTCAATTTCGCGGACCTCAAAAGGAAAATTTTTATACGCAGCAGCCATTTTTTTGTCTTAATCTTTAAAAATATTTTGTCTTTATTTCTAACAAGTAGCTCTAAACGCGGCCTATGTGATTGATATCCTAATTATAACTAACGACTAACTTGCTGTAGGTATTACGATAAGGAAGTGCAGTAATTCGTTTAATCACATTTGATAAAGATATTAGTAAACTATTTAATCATTAAAATAAACAAGCAATAAAAGTTTGAAATATCATTTATTTTGTTAATTCTTTCATAAGGGTTTCGTCAATTTTTTAATTTGTTGTGAATTGATTGCTCAAAAAATTATTAGATTTCTATTTTAATAATTATTTTCCTTTATATAAAATACGTAAATTTATGAAATCCTTTGGGAATCGTGTGTTGTTCAAATAATTTACTATATTAATTACATTAATTATATATTAAATACATTATGTAATATCATACATATCACATTAACCGAAGTATTTCGTTTGATATAAATTTACTTTATGTGAAAATTTTATTTTAACGAGCTTTCTACATATGCGAAGCTGTGGCAATGAGTGGAAAGCGTAAGAATATAATAAAGTTATGAAGTTTATATAAGTAGATAAAAATGCCATTAATTCTGGGCAATAAATGTTTTTATACAATATTAGTATATACGTAAGGTAACATCGTTCCAGATATACAGTACCTATGCAGTGCTATGTAAAATGTAAAAGCTTGCGCAGCTAAAATATTAATGAAATTATACGTTAAATTTAAAACTTGAACGGAAAATGAGAATTTAAAAATAATACTATTTAGTAAGTTTGTTTAGCCCAAAATATTATTTATTTAACCCGAACAAATGTAGAGATAACGCAATTAAATCAATATTTGACGGTCAATTCAAACATTTCTAATCATCTATGTACAATCCTCTTTTTATATGTTCCATGCACAAATCATTCTGTAAGCGTTATTTTCTAAATTCTATTTTATTATATTGATATTATTTCGTTTCTTATTATTTTTAAAATATACAAGTTTCCTCACGACGTTTTCCTTCATCGTAGAACAGGTGATTAGTTAGAACTTATATAAATATAAATATATATACATACATACATACCAATATGTATATCATTGTTAAGAAATAAATTACAGCGATAAGTAGTAACTCAGATGGTGTAGAAAATTGTTGCCATGTAACTTTTGTATATCATTATACTTTCAGCAAGTTAGCGGGGGCCGAACGTTGAAGTAGTTGAAGTAGTACGCGCTGAAATCAACCTATAGCCGAGTAGGTTGAAAGTGGATCCATTTTCATTTAAAATTGCAGGAAAATTTGATACATTTCCTACCTAGGAATTTATATTAATTTTTTAGGCAATTTTTTGACAATTTTAAAACAATCTGGAGTAAAAAATGCGAACTGGTTTATTTATATTAACACGAGACGGAAAAAAGGAGAACATGGAAAGCTAAGAAATTGATCTTAGAACTACAAAATTTAGAACTACAAAGTTTACAAAGCTTAGAACTACTTTGGGAAACCTCTATAAAACTTTACAAGGAGTGTCGAGAAAATTATTAATTACTTTTAAGTAAACCTTTAGGTTTATGTAGAAAATAAAATAATATATTTAAGAATAAAATTTTATTACAACGCGGCGTCATATTGAAGGAAAACGTAAGTCGGTATCGCGCAAGTTCTCGGAAATCCAGCGCTCGGCCTTCTTAGTCATATCTTCGTCAAAGTATTCCGGCCAGCCTCCTGATTTTCCTGAAAAAAGTTTAAAAATGAAAGCTAGAGTGAGACATCCGGTCGGAGGATCCTTTCACTGAAAATTATGTACTTAAATACACGCATAATGAAATAAATTAATAGCGTTAAGTAATGAAATAAATAGAAGAAAATTAAAAAAAATTGCAGTTAATTAATATTTGAAAGTCGCTACCCAGATTTTCCCCACTGCATAGTGTTAAGTCAGCTAGAGCGTGTAAGAAAGAGATGGAGAAGGCGAGTCTAAGAGTCGAATGGACGGCGCGCGATTTCTACCATCTAACACTGTTTACTTCGTTCCTAATATGATACATTGCTAGAAACTATTCAGTTTAATTCAGTTAAATAAAATTTGGGCGTAATTGATTTACTCACTCAAATAAGTACATTTACGTGATTAATATACACGCGACGTTATTTTTTTTTTTATTTTCTTTTTAAATAAAACTGTCCTTACTTTAGAATAACATTAGCCTTTGTTGTAAGGACGTTTTACAAATATAAATTTCACGTTCAAACACCCAGAGGCGGAACAACTATCTGTGGGTCACAAAAATAGGTGTCCCGTGTTGGGATCGAACCCACGACCCCCGACGCCGAAGCCAATACCTTGGCAACTGCGCTACGGAGTCATCATGTGTGAGTGTGACCAAACTTAACAGTAAACTTTCCATTTGTTTACCTTTCCGAATGAATACATTGTCGTTCGCCATCATCCCAACGTCCCTTAGCTCATCCATATTCACCGAGGGATTTTTCTTGAAATTATCGAATTTCAGATGTGTACATAGACCCTCAATTTGTTTATCATCATATTGCTTTCCAAAAAAATCTGCAACTCTTCGCAAGGCAGCAGGTAAATCCTGAAAATTTTTTTGAGAAATTTTACTAATATTAAATCGTTGAAACAGCATGTTGTCAAAATGTATATTTTATTGAAGTTATAATTTTTACGATGCGCGCGCACCCCGTCACGAAATCCGCCATCCTAAAGTTGGCTAGAAAACTACGTATGTTTACGTGAGAACTGACAACTGTATTCACGATATTTATTTTGTGATATTTAAATAAACTTTATTTAATTAGATAATGCGTTATAATAAAACTTTCAATGTATTAAATACCTTTTTTCTATTGTTAGTGTAGTTTTTTCTACAAACGTAGAATAAGGCGAAAGATTAAATTTTTGAAAAGATTTTTACCTTGTTACGCCAAAGAAGTATAACTTCTAACGCGTGTACATAAGTGCACACGCACTTTTTATTGTTTGTTATACTGCACGTGGTCCCGATCCATAGTATTGAGAGAACAAGGAAGAAGAAGAATGATTTATGTGATATGAGACAGTGTATTATGATATTTTGTTTTAATTTGTCATAACAAATTAAAAAAGGCCAAATATGGATTATATTAAAGAGCAAAAAAGAGTAATATAAGCACACTGCATCAAACCTTGGACAGTTCCTCGTAGAATAAAAATAACATGTTGGGGTGATTACGCATCTGCCATGCCTCCTTTACGTGTTCAAAAAAGGGTGACCAGGGTACTGAGAAGTAATAAAAATTACAATTATAATCATCATATTTTGTAAGTTATTAGCTAACGAATATCTCAATACTTGGCGACGATCTCCTCTTTACGTAACACTTCGTAGCCGGATCAAATGCTAAATACCCTTTGAATTAGAAAAAGTTTGATAATCCGCGTACTATGTATGAACTATGACAAAAATTTTATATTATAGTATACTGTGGGACACGCGGGGTCCATCCGGAGACACGACCTCACAGAAGACCCGCGTGAAGTGGAAGTATTAAACTTCTGCTTTTTGTCTGTAAGGTAAGTAAGGTAACCGGGGCCCAGTTTATTAAAAGATGGCAACGCATCTGCAGCCCCACGGGTGTTGCAAATGGGCGGTGGTCATGACGAAACGTTTTTTTTTTTGTTTTTTTGAAAAGTTGCCAAGCGAGCAGACAGTTCACCTGATGTTAAGTGAACCGCCGCCCATGGACATCTGCTACACCCGAGGGTACCAGATGCGTTGACAACCTTTTGAACATTGGGCTCCGGCCACCTCACTCACCAGACGAAACGCGAAAGTATACTTCCACTTTACGCCGGTCTGCTGTGAGGTCGTGGTACTTACCCGGACGAGCCTACCCATTCGTGCAACAGCCGAGGCTGCTGCGTGGCCCTACCATCGTAAAAAAAAGAGGTAAAAAAGTACATATTTACCAGCGAGTGTTAAAAGAACTCGGCATTAGTCTCAACAACAATAAAACTAGTTCGTTAAGTACCCCTGGTTTAACTCAAAAAAAAAAAGTACATTTATCTGTTGCACATAAAAAATTTGTGTCATAATTATAATCAACTACGCCGATAATACTAACGCATATCTCTCATGAAATAACTCCAGAAGGTCTTGAAGTCACCGCTGAATGGAGTCATCTTAAACAGCTTCGTGTGATGGAAATACGAAACGGCTACGTCGCGTGGGTCGCGTGCCACGTACACGACTTTTGTGGAGTCTAGCAATGTGGGGGGCAGTAGGGACATCGGCAAGTGGGTCTTAATAAAACGAGGTGATGGTTTTCGGGCGACCATTTTTGTACCAGGCGTGCTTAATAAGTCTACAAGCTTAAGCATCTCCTCATTCCCGGAATTCTGCTTTCGCAATTGGTCTAGTAGGCTCTTGTTAAAAAACATCGAGAATCTGAAAACAAATGTAAGGACTACTTAACTGTTTTAGTGCGGCACAGCATACACCTACCTCAAAGAAGACCGGCGTAAAGAAAAATTATTTACTTGTACATTTTCATTCGATTCACATAAATGAGTGGAAGGCTTGCAACATCTCTAAAGTAGTGAGTTATTTTTATTTATTTATTTATTTATTCTTTATTGAAAACACCCCAAAAGGGTTACAAAGGGCGGACTTAATGCCTATTGGCATTCAACCCGGGGCGTGAGGAGAAATCATTATGTGCAGCTATCTTCACTTATAAGGGTTTCATCGCTAGTCTCTTTAAAAAAATATTTGGCTCCTCTTTGACATATTTTAAATCAGTCAGAACACTTTAGACAGGTTGATACATATACAAAGTTAAGAGACATTTCGTAATATTACAGGTCTTTATATGAATATCGATACCTTTTTATAAACTCAGTTATTTACGCAAACTACAGGAGACTGAAAATTCAAAACACAAATATACGTACTCCAGGAATGTATATCTCGTTGTAAGAGGTATTGCTGCAGCTTTGGTGTAGTCTAAGTCATTTGCTACTTGCCATACTAACTCTTGCGTCCACGTTGTTCCTAAAAAAATTCAATAAAAAATATATCAATTCGGGAAACAGCCGAACAATCGATAATTAAAAAGTTACAGTATCTATCAGACATCTGGTGATATAACTGAAAAAATAAAACATAAGTAAATATTTATCATTGAATGACACTATTAAATACCATTCGAATAAATTTAATCGTAGCCTACAATTAAAATGTTATTATCAACAGTTATAATATCGCTTATATCCATTTTCATATGTGCTTATGTAACAATCACGATGAGAAACGGGAAAAAGTATATGTGGAATTATAAGGAAAAAGATTTTTATGAAATTTCAGATTTTCATTAAATATGAACGTCTGTCTCCCTTAGTTTTTTTCGTTATCCTTTTGTTTTTGGCATAACCCGGTTAATAGACGTACTGTCTATTGCCAGAGATCAGAAGATTTTCCCAAAAGTATATACTCTTTTGTTATTAACTTTGAATTTTTTTGAATTGCTTTGAATTTTACAACGATACGAATTCAAATAATTTTCATGAAATCTTATATGAGCACAGTACTCCATGTGCGGCCAAATTTGCGCCTTATAGAGGCATAGGCTGGACTAACGTAAATTATTGTCTAGCCTTGCTGAGCCATACCAAGCTTCTTCGAAGCCTAATTGGCCATATCTTCCTACTGACTGCGGAACTGAGCGTTGCACGAAATGAATCGATGCCAAGAAGTATGAGACTAGCTGTGACAGACAGGGGAGTTTTCTCAAAATAAGGAGTTACGACAAATGGGGACTATGTAGCGTTTAACGCGCAAACATGTTTATTTTCGGGGTTGAGTTGGACTAAGTTTAGTCGACCCAGTCTGAGACTTTAGCTGTTAACAAAGTCTCGACTTCAGACACAAGCTTGTTTCGGCTCTCATAGTCATATTCCCGAGAAATATTAGCACGGCCAGTGTATAAGACATCCACAGTGCTATCTTGTGGATAACAATGAATGTTGCTAATTTGCAACATGTTATACTGTCTCCTACTCTAGGAAAAAGAGTAGGAGACAGTACGCAGCCTTGTGGAACACTACTATTGACAAACTTAGGATGCACTGTTGTGAACAACAAAGCATGCACTGTCGAAGACGACTTTGATGCTCCGCTCTGCCAAATAGCAGGTGATCCAGTTACATAGTTTCTCAGGAAGTGCTAATCCGTCCGGATGAAAGTTTAACAGGGAAGTTTTATGATCTTCCACATCTGGGATTCGTATTGGTGAGGTGACCAGTTATGTCAGATGCGAAATCGTGAACAGATCTCCCCACATAATCGGTGGTACGAAATCTAAGCCATACGACTTGGTGAGCTTGGTCGTGGTACTTCCGAACGGACCTGCCCATTCGTGCTACAGCGTAGACTGTTGCGTGGCCCTACCACAGTTAGGGTGGATAGGGCCGACCCATCAAGTGTCGAGGCAACAAGAGCAGATATCCTCTCTGACGTCACATACATCTCAGCCCGCGGCACAAAAGAATGATGCAGTTTATACCCGGGTGGGAGAGGAATGAGGCATCAGCTGGAGAACATATCTATGTCCTCTCAGAATACGGAGGGCAGCCTGGACGTCGACGATCACGTGATGTACGCGTGGACGCCCAGAGACGGATTCTCCACCATTTCGCACTGTCAGTATAATGGGGAGTGGCCCTCCGAAACTCACCGACCGAACGAATCGCGACAGCACGGCTACCACTTGACGCTGGTTTCCAGTGAGGAAATGGTTCTTCCCTGGGCGTACCGGCAAAATGGCACTACACAAATAGCTCGGTTAACTGGTGGAATTATCTCTATCACAAGATCATCTCACCGCGGGCGATGGGGTCGCCTCGTCCCGACGCTGCGCCTTAATTAAAAGTTATAGTTTATATTGATAAATTAATATAAAGGGGATTAAACCTCTATATTTTACTTTATAACTTTCTAGCGACCCGCCCCAGCTTCGCATGGGTGCAATATATTAGAGATATAAACCTTCCTCTTGAATCACTGAATCTAGTAAAAAAAAACCGCATCAAGATCCGTTGCGTAGTTTTAAAGATCTAAGCATACATAGGGACAGACAGACAGCGGGACGGCTTTGTTTTATACTATGTAGTGACTCGATATTATAAACTGGAACGAATACGATCTTAAAAAGTATTAGTAGTATTATTACCTGATCGTGGATAAGAGGCAACGAAAATGTCATCAGGTTTTAATGGCATGTTGTAAATATGTGCAGCATCCCTTTCATAAACATCGAAGAGCGTATAATTTTTTGGCCCTACGCGCGCGTGAACATGACTGGATTCTGCAATGAAAACAACGACCCTTTAGTTATAGCGTCGGTTTATTAAAAACCATAAAAAAATCACATTATTTCATCATCTTATAATATATTAAATATGATTTATTATTTCATCACCATACTGTCCACGCGCTCAGCGGGGAAGTAAAACGATGTTTTACTGTTTTATGGGTTCTATACAGCAAAAATAATAAAAAAATATTTCGAAGACATTGAAATCCGCCAATTCGTGCTGAGGTCACGTAAAGGACTAGCCGCTATAACGCCACATTAACCGGTGGGACGATTTCCCGATGTCCGTACCTGCACTTTTTCGACTCTTATGGCAGTAAAGGCGACTTCGGTGTATGTGTTAGTTACAGTACAGTGGACTCTCGGTAATTCGGCTCCTGTCCAATACGACGCCCCCGTAATCCGACAAGCCTATCACCGTCGGTATTTGTTGAATGTAGGTACACAAACATTTATTTTAACAAATCTTTACTAATGTTGCATGATTATATGCATGATTACTGTTTAATTGCAACTTGTACGCGCCCACACTACACTGTATTGTGCTCGATGCGAGTTGTTTACTAAACTCGACACCCACATGTAGTATGATTTGTAGTTTAGATAGAATCTTATCATTTTGATATGTAATTTGTTGGATTACAAGACACCTTTTCAAAAAATTCCGGACTATAGGGGTCCTAAGGGTCCGGTCTCTATAATCCAACAAATTCGATAGTCCAACAATGCCCTCCAAAACGTTTGTCGGATTACCGGGGGTTCACTGTACTCCTAAGAACAGGCCTTAACAAATGTGTCTCATAATTTTCCGCACAATACCTTTTAATAATTTTACTAAACGAAACTTAACTGGGCTAGTATAATTAATAGATCGGTTCAACTTTTAAAAGATACGCATATGTATATTGGAAAATTAAGAAACTTACCAGAAAAATATTCTCTTAACTCTTTGTTTTCATTATCATCTACACGAATATCAAAAGGGAAATGTGCAGTCATTTTTTAATTTAAATTTATTATTGTAGAATGTGGATGTTGACTTGTTTCAGCGAAATTGTATAATGACCTTTTCTGGCTTACAAGTTTTACGACTTAAAGGTTTTATCGCAATCAATTTTATCAAAGGTGATTTGTAATTATTTTTCATATTCATATACTTATAATTTTTTATAAGTCATATACATGTGATGCCTTTTATTCACAATATACGAGTACATGTGAACATCATGACATCCTTGAATTTGCCTCTGTTGTTTAGTTTATGTAAAATTGGAACAATAATATTTATTGAGCTGCGCACTTTTCCTTTTTATTTAATGTTTGTTCCCACCTTGTCATGGGGAAGGGGCTTAGTAGCTGTGGCTTGGTCACCCACGATTTGTAACGATGTTGTAAGTCCAGCACGAGTAGAAGAGGAGTATCGGTATTGCGTTGTCTGCTCACCCTATTCTCCGCGAGTCGGTTGGACTGCACCGCCGATGCAGTAGTAGTGGGGGCGTGGGGGGAGAGGAGTATTGCGATTCATCGTTCTCCCTACCCTCCGCGTCTGGAACGTGGTAAGAGGTGAAGGCACAGAGCAGGTCCGGCGCTGGAGGCTGGGAGTCTTAGTCTGGCTCCCATGGCCTCTGATCAGCGAACACTCGGGAGTTCGTCGGCCGTGAGAAAGGTGACAAGAAGGAAGGCACGCTGAATGTTCCAGCTTGCCTTACCTGGAGAAGTTGCTCACCGAGAAGAGGCTGCTGAGGCGGTAAGCGCTGGCAGCGTCACGGAAATATGCGAAAGCGTTCCCGTGGCCCTGCCGATATGCGCTCTAACATCGGGGTGTAACATCGGGGGGGGTTTTAGTTGGTGCGAGTCCGACATAGCCGTTCTTACCGCCAATGTAGGCATTTCCCCCACTTACAATTGGCGTGATATTCGCCATTAATCGTTTTACCCTCCTCTAGGTAGTTAAAACGGATTACCCCACGAGCATCCCAAAAAACTGTAGCACTTTATTGGCGGATAGAACTACTTTAGCCTTTTTTGCAGCAGGTTCGACCTTTGAAATCCAGCCTCCGAAGTAGTCACATGCACAGGGCCGGATTTAGGGTAGGGCAATGGGCTACAGCCCCGGGTCCTCCACAATAAATTATTTACTACAAAACTCGATTAAAAAAAATTATTCATTTTCAACAATATCCTGATTAGCATGGCATCAATCGCGCGGAGAGCTTCTATCTAAATGTTGGTGCAAGATATTGCAAACACGTTCGTCTGAGATGCCTGTTATCTCTTCTATCTCAATCACTTCTACTCAACGTAACGTTCAACACTTATGTCATGGATTTAATCAATCCTTCATAGTGACCTTAACTGGCTGTCTTCGACACCGATTTGAGATCAAATCACACCGAAAATCAGCAAATCACTTATGAATCATTATAATCGAGGGAGTAGTCACTATAATATTTATCTTTTCTTTTCGTTCTTTTTGTTTCTTTCGTTTCGTTCATTTTGTTCCTTTTTTTCGTTTCCGTTATAGTTTCTTTGCGCAAAGAATAATGTTTAATCAACGAAAGAAATCTATTAAGATTAAAACATGTAGAAAAAGTACGAAAAGATTGTCGCCGCTGTGGGAATCGAACCCACGTCTTCGGCATTCGCGGCCTGACGCTCTAGCCACTAAGCTAAACGGCTGATTGCCACACCGACGAAAATCTTAACGCCTCCTTCCTACATTGTTATTTAGCATTTGAAGCAATGCTTTGCGTATCTATTGTTATATCCTTTCCAGCATACAAACACAGCGGCGACAATCTTTTCGTACTTTTTCTACATGTTTTAATGTTTAATCTTAAGTGCAGAGATTAGCACTATAAAAAACTTTGAATTTATCTATTAAGATTTTTATTTAATGGCATATATTATTAATATACAGGGAGAATTTTCTAAGTGTATCCATTTTTTTTATTAAATTCTAGACATAAATAATGTTATATAAAAAATGATAAATATTTAAAATCACTCTTAATTAATTAATTACATTCACTTGAACTTATCTCAAAAAGTCGCACACAAGTTCGTTTCAAAAGTATACGACGAATTTATGAATGATTATCGCAATGTCAACTGTTTTTTAGGGAATAGAATTGCAATTTTTTGGAAAAAAAAGTTTGTTTTTATTTCAATAAACGATTATACTACCGAGTCTGAACCTTCTGTGTGAATTTGGGCATCTTTAGAAAAGCCTCCCTGTATACCTTTAATTCAATATATTCGAAAAACCTGAGTTCGATCTTACCAGGTTTTTAAAATTAATTAGAATGAAGCTTGTAAAATGATTGAAGTTATTCAATCATTTTACAAGCTTTCTTGTTTAAAAAAATTGTGTTTATGTTTGTATCCTTTATGTTTCGTGTATCCTCCAGAGGACGATCTCGTTTGATCAAATAAGAAAATTTTAAGAAAATATATATAATAGTTGTCAATAAAATTTTAATTACCTATAACTTTTTCTAAAATTTTACAAAGAAAACGAAAAGATATGTTTTAAATGCAAGGATTTATTTTTAATGTGCTATTTATTATTTAGAAGGAAAACGTAAGTCGGTGTTGCGCAAGTTATCAGAAATCCAGCGCTCGGCCTCTTTAGTCATGTCTTCGTCAAAGTATTCAGGCCAACCTCCCGATTTTCCTGAAAAATGTAAAAAAATACACATGACACCTACTTGGCAAACTAGATTTTGATGACTCCGTGGCACATTCGCCACGGTATTGACTTCAGCGCCGGGGTTCGTGTGTTCGATTCCCACACGAGGCTGCAATTTGTGTGGCCCACAGATAACTGCTATATTACGGATCTGGGTGTTTGTCCGCGAAATTTATGTTATATAAATTTACGTACTTAAAACATTGAATAATGTTATCCTACATTAAGCAATGTTTTCGAAGAGATTATAACAGATGTTTATAGGTCACAGTGATCCTTGGTACTTAAAACCTAACCCTTCCACACAAAATACTTAGCAAACAGTTGGACTTCAGTAAAATAAAAAAAATCACGTACGTCACGCACCCGTCTTCAGGCAATTGAATAATTAAATTATCTATTATCATCATTTCAACCTGTTTGATTCCACTGCTAAACATCGGCCTCCCCCATAGACTGACACGAAGTACGATTCTGAGCCACCTGCTTCCATCGACTTCCCGCACATTTGCACAAATTATTTATATGTTATGAGATATTTTTTTTTACTTTTTTACCTTTCCGGATAAATGACTCGTTTTTGGACAACATCCCCAAGTGCTTTAGCTCATCCATATTGACTGAGGGGTTTTTCTTAAAATTATCGAATTTCAGATGTGAGCACAGACCCTCATTTTGTTCATCACTATATTGCTTTCCGAGAAAGTCTGCAACTCTTCGCACGGTAGCAGGTAAATCCTAAAAATGTGTCGATACATTTTAACAATCAAAAACTTATAGCTACTGTAAATTTTATTAGCGTATTGTATCTTAATGACCTGGCAAAAAAATTTAAATATTTTACGAAGTGGTAAACTTCACTTTTTTATAAGGCGAAATTGGCAAAGTACAAACAAAAAACCCCAAACCTTTGATAGCTCCTCGTAGAATAAAAATAACATGTTCGGGTGGTTACGCATCTGCCATGCCTCCTTTATATGTTCAAAGTAGGGTGAACATGGAACTAAAAGCAATAAATGTCGCTATTACAACTATCACTTGCAAGTGATACGATTCCACGATTCAATATCCAATACCAAGTAACAGCTTTTATATTTATCGCGAATTTTCAAACCATCTTTACCTCTGTAAGCCTGTAACGTTACCTAAAATCCAATATGCACTACTAATTTAATATTAATTACAAAAGGAATACAATAGATTGATTTCATACGACGTAGAAATGTTTTTTTGGTAAATTTTTCAAAGCATAGTTTTCTTGTTTTGTCACCACCCGTGCGTCAAATAATTCAGTTATTAAGTTGGCAGTGTCACGTAAGTAAAAGCAATTCTCCAGCCACTAATCTATTATAAATCACGATAATACGCACCCATGCCTCTGATAAAATAACTCCAATAGGTCTTGAAGTCGCCGCTAAATGGACCTGCTTTAAACAGCTTCGAATGATGGAAATATGAAACGGCTACGTCACGTGGGTCACGTGCCACGTACACGACTTTGGTGGAATCAAGCAACGTGGGAGGGAGTAGAGTCATTGGCAAGTGGGTCTTAATAAATCGAGGTGATGGTTTTCGTGCGACCAGTTGTGTACCGGGCGTGCCCATTAATTTTATAACCTTAATCACCTCCTCATTTCCGAAATTGTGCTTTAAGAGTTCCTCTTGAAGACTCTTACTCATAAACATTGATAATCTGAAAACAAATGTAACGGCGTTTTAAAGTTTTAGTTTATAGTCCATGCATTAAGAACAGACCAGTTTGACAGAAGAGGTATAACGTCATCACAGAAAAAATAGTGTGAGTAATTTCTATCATTATTAAAATAATACCTTTTGCATCTATATACCTACTGCGCAATATCTAAGTCAATCTAAATAATTCCAGAATGCTTGTACATCTCGGAACTTACTCTAGGGGCAGTTTTACAAACCAGGATAATGCTAATACAAACGAGTAATTCGCTTAGTGATGATAGTGATATACGAGTATATAAATAAGAAAACAATGGTTAATAGACCATTCAATATCGTCTGCTCAGCAGGTAGTCACTTCTTTTCCATCTCCTCTTCATGCTACAACCATAAAGTTATATACAAAAATAAATTTAACTATGTGCATAGTTCTACATACTCCAAGAATATATATCTTGCTGAAAGAGGTATGGCAGCAGCTTTAGTGTAGTCTAAGTCATTTGCTAATAGCCAAACTAGCTCTTGTGTCCACGTAGTTCCTAAAAAATATTTAATATAAAATAGCTATATAAATTATAAACACATTTAAAATTTAAACTGTTGTGGAATTCAATGAAACATACTAATAGTAACATAACATACTAGTGGTAATTGTAATAATGGTATTTCAAAAATCAGTCATATAATAAAATGTAGTTACACAGATGACCATATTTTATTGTATACGTGTTTTCTATACATATGAGTCTTATGAAAAGGTCTTCATGAAAACACAAATTTTAAGATTATGGGATATATTACTTTCTTTATAAGCGAGGATTGTAATATTTAAAATGACATTACAGTCATAAATTTCTACAAAGAATTAAGAGGTTAGGTAAGGATAACTTACCTTTGAGGAATTATGATCGTAACAAAATAAGATAATGTAGCTTAATATTTTCATATCATTATTTAAAATTATACAGATTACTCAACAAGCAAGCAAGGCATTACAATATTTAAATTTATCGCTTGAAAGATAATATTTTCACAAATTAAAGCGTCATGAGCATGAAAATTAATGAAGGAGAAATATACCTTTTATAATACCCATATTCTAATATTTTCTAAGGGGGAGGCCCGTGTTCAACAGTGGACGTCTTGCGGCTGATGATGATGATGATATTCTAATATAACATTTATAGAATATTAGTAAAAGGGGTGCATACTCTGCATACTCTGCATACTATGCACATTAAATAGTAGTAGTACCTGACCGTGGAAAACTGGCAACGAAAATGTCATCAGATTTTAAGGGCATGTTATAAATATTTTCGGCATCATTCATATAATCACTAAGGAGCACGTAATTTTTTGGACCAACGCGAATATAAGTGGACCCTGGAAAACAGAAGGATGTCATCATTTAGTTATAATAATATAATAAATAATCTTTAGTTTTAACTAAGATATGTTACAATATTTTTGTACTATGGTATAACTTAAATTTGTATATACTCTGCATGACGAAAAGTTTTTGCCGCTGCTTGAATCGAGCCAACGTATTCCGGAATCACGCCCTTTTCTTAAAAAAAATAGATTTCATTGCTATACAATGGCGACATTTCTCGTTCAACTTATTGTTGTAAAACAATATTTGAAATTGTTTGTATACTGTAAAGGATATAATAATAGATGCGCCGAGCATTGCTTAAAGAATGTAAACAATGCGATAATAGGCGTCGAGTGGATTTTCGTTGTTGTGGCAATCAGCCGTTTAGCTTAATAGTTTAAGCGTCTGGGCACGCATCTAGAAGACGCGAATTCGATCCCGTATTGGCGAAAAACTTTTCATCCTTGTCTCTTCAAATTTTCTAGGAAAACTTTTTTAAATTTTGTTTTAACCAACCTTATTCTAAAAAGATAAAATATTGGAGAGTATATAAAGAGGATTAGAAGGATTATTAGAAATTAGTGGCAGGCGCATCCACCTACGTGGTTTGGGATGCGTCAGTTTATCAGAGGGAGGTGAATTGTCTGCTGTGAAAACCTCGCCTTTGATGCAGTCCTCTGAATTGTTCTCCCCGTCGGTACTATACTAGTGTCATTGGCAGTGCAGATAAGGCTCGCCGAGCTTAGGGTGAAAACCACGTAAATCCACCAGAGGGCCACAAAAAACTGAAGCACTTTGGTTTCACAAACAGCTGTTCGTTTCGCGTTGGTGACGACCTAGGTGGGGTCAGAGATGAATTACATCGGGCTTACTCTAGATAGTCACTAAAGCAACAGAGCTAAAATTTATAGTCTGTATCCTTGCAGGAGGATATCTTGCTATGTATATCCTTTGAGGCGACCACTATCGTAATTCGATTTCCTCGAATTCCTAGCAGAGATAGATGTGCGACCTTATACTCGCCTCCTTCTAACAGAGGGTAATCCTTAACCTCTGGATGTATGTGCATTGGAGGTTTAACGCGAGTGGCTGGAGGAGCCCCAGAAATGTTTTCAGCCGGCTCCTGTCGAGCTTCGAAGGCTGACTAAGAGCGACGGGGTGCCAGCGACAACCTAGATAGGATTTAACGCGAACCGATAGCGTAATGCCACTAATGTGGAGAGTATTTGACTCCGCGTAACATACTTTCGTCGTGTACTCTGCATGGGAATCCGAGCGAGGGATCTTGGTTCATAGAATCAAGGACGATCGAGCAGTCATAGTGGAAGCTGCGCTGGCAGTGAAATGTAATTGTATGTCATGTTTCAGAATGAGATCACCGAGTATCGGGAGGAGAGTTAATTCCACTTTGAACAAAGACACAAACAAAGGCCAGCAGAAACGGACCGCCCTGTCAGCCCTGTAGCATGTGCATGGGTGTAGCAGGATTACGAAGTAGTCTCGTGTTTGCACTAGATGGTGAGGAAGTCGGGTTTCCAATCTTCGACGCGCGTTCAAGCGCAGTACAGAGGGACACCGGTGCGTTCCATAGGAGATCTAAGAGTCTCCCACCAAACGTACAAAAGATGGCCACCAAGGGGGTTTTAGTGATTACAGATTGGATATGTTTTGAGGATTTCCGCCCCGATACCAAAAAAAGGCATCTCATAAAAGTATACTCGTATTGTGAACTTAGAGAACTTACCACTAAAATGTTGTCTTAACTCCTTGTTTTCGTCTTCGTCTATGCGAATTTCAAAAGGAAAATGTCCCGTCACAGCCATGATGTAAAATTATTATGATAAATGTAGGTGTTTGCTTGGTTAAGCGGAATAAATAAATGGTCTTTGTCGGCTAGTTATAAATTAATATTTTATCAGTCAATTTTATCAAAAGCGAGTTGTAAGTATTTGTCGTATACATGATACGTGTACAAGAAATATTTTATCTACAATATCTACAACCTCTTACTATAAAAAAACTGGTTGCTATCTAATATGTTGATTTGTTTCGCTAGGTAGTTGGAATAAAATAGGAATAGAAATATTTATTATTTATCGTTAATTACTACTACAGTCAAACTGTCGAAGTATGAACAAGTATAACGTGACCTCACTAGTATAGAGATAGCAGAGTAAGGTTATTTCATGGCTGAGACTGCACGTGCGACATGGACATGTATGTCCACATATCTTACATAGCCAGGACCCCTCCTGGCAAACAGTGTACATCGTACATCCAACTATATTCTTTTCCTTTTTAAGCTACAATATTGTTAAATTTTTTTCCATTCGAAACCGAAGCTTAGAATCCTCGGATCTTAGACTTTAAGAAGAAATATAATGCTTTTGCGACCTAACAACACCCCTGATTACATTTTATGTTAGTAATCAAGCTTTACCCGTTTTTTAATTAAATAAGAATGAAAATTTAAATTAAAACAGTAATGAGAGAGTTAAATCCATACCAAACTTCAAAGTTTAACTCGGTCCTGATCATTGTAGAAGTCAACTAATCAGCTTTTCAAATGTTATTTCAGTTGCCAAAAGGATTGTTAAACTCTTTAAATTGATCATTTTTGATTTTGTTTCATTAGAAGATCAGTGTTTCTGAAACCGGACGTAAGTTTATAACATAATTTTTTATAAAAATGTTATAAAAAAGTAATTAACGTTTTTGACACCATGCCGTGTCGCGTCGGCAAGCTATGTTGAAATTTAATTTAGTTAGCTATTAGTTATTGTAAATATTTATCAGTGAATATTTTGTATAATTATGCTCAAACAAATGGATTTGAGATGCCGTCTAGATAGAGACTTAAATAACTAAAAAGATACATAATTCTTTATTAAAAACACGGTGTACATACATTGCATGCAAGATGTGGAATACATTTTATTTTTAATTCACCAGTGTTATAGTAAAATATACTTAATTGTAAAAATGTCTGTGAAATAGTGTGCTTGCTGTAAAGGGAGCATATTAGGGACCGCCAAGCATTACTGTAGAAATGCAACAAAAAAAAGTACACGCAGGTATCACGGTAGCGGCACAACTTTTGCGACAGTTTTTTCCTACATGTCTTTAATTTCTTGTTTGGATTTGATTCGAGAGAAATTTAATAGTTATTCTACAAACTATTAAATTTCGCTCGAATCGCTACTTATAACAATTAAACTTTAAAAAAAATTATTAATAATTCAATAAACAGGAGAAAATTTATGGAATAACAATTGTTGTACAGTACGGCTGGTCAATTAAGATAGGGATTTCTATTTTACAACATATATATTTGTTTTCATTACAAAACTATAATACGAATTATTTCTTATTCATCCGATTATCGTATGAATGGAAACATCCAACTGGCACCGGGGAACGAACTCAGGTTGCTCGAATAAATGTAATTAAAGGCGAGCGCCCGGACACTGAGCTATCACGGCTCCTAGTGTTCATAAAATTAATGAAAATACATTTAGCCGGTTAACGCATCAATATGTTCAGCATACTGTGTGATCTAAAAAAATTCAATGATAACATTTAACTATCACAAAACCGTAAGCGATATTGTATCATGTGATAACGTATCAAGGTTCAGTGAGAGTCCGTATCGGCTGTTAAATCGCCAGTTAATGTGCTGGCAACTTTAGTTATTGTTAAGCAATTGATAACCATTGTCTTTACGTCCATGTTCTTGTTGTTCATGTTCAATTTTGTGCATTCTGCAGCTTGTCGGTTTGTCGGTAACCCTGAAATGAAACAAAAAAATATTTACGTACATAATACATTTAGTTATGCGCATTGTCCATCTCTTTCATAATTGCATTCACTGGCATGTTAAAATAATTGATAACTGTCACAACCCGTGTCAAGAAAATGATAATTTCTTATGTAGTTTCTGTTGAAGTTTATAAAACACGATATAATTGAGGGTAATTACTATTACTGCGTTGTTATATGGAAGGAAAACGTAAGTCGGTGTCACGCAAATTGTCAGAAATCCACTGCTCGGCCTCCCTAGTCATATTTTCGTCGAAGTACTCGGACCAGCCTCCTGATTTCCCTGAAAAATGTATAAAAATAAACGCGATGCAAAGAAAAAATATTCATTTTACTTCAACAAAATAATAAAGAACTTTACGCACAGCACTCAGCCACGTGTACTTTTATAATTAAAAGATATAATATGAATGATTTAATAATACATTTTACAATTTTTACCTTCCCGAATGAAAGATTTGTTTTCCGTGAAGACCACGAGGTCCATATTAACAGAAGTGTTATTTTTGAAATTATCGAATTTTAGATGTGTACATAAATCCTCTATTTGTTCATCACTGTATTGTTTTCCGAGAAATTCAGCAACTTTTCTTATGGTGGCAGATAAATCCTAAAAAAAAGTAGTGATTTCAATGTTATAAAAGGCCATAATAGTCGATGATGTCATCAAAAAGTTATATTATAAATATATATAGTCACGATTATTAATGAGTAAAGACCAAAGCCAAAATTTTTACATTTACCACACTATAAAGCGGATATTATTACAGAGTACAAAGAAAGTGTACAGCATCAAACCTTTGATAGCTCCTCGTAGAATAAAAATAACATGTTTGGGTGGTTTCGCATCTGCCACGCCTCCTTTACGTGTTCCAAGAAAGGTGTCCAGCGAACTTAAAAACAATAAAATGTATAATTACAACTATCACTTGTAATTTCATGATTTTATATGTATATAAAGAAAGTAACATGCTTTTACATCTACAACTCTACTGGAGAAACACCTGTTTACCTCCTTCTTTAATCTTGTAATTTAGTTTAATAATAATTTTGGAAGGAATTTAATTCGTGAGCTTCATAGATCTCTTTCTATGTAACAGTTTTTAAACATTCCTCGCGATATTTCGCACTACCGAAGCACGGATAAAACAGCACCCGAAATTGCTCTTAACAAATTTCGTTCACCGACATTGGAAACAACTCAAGTTTATCTCTGTTATGACAACAAGTTCCCAGACACTTATATGCGACGCATATATCTATTATCCAATAAAACTCACGCATTCCTCTGATGAATAAATTCCAGAAAGTCTTGAAGTCGCCGCTAAATGGATTCGCTTTAAACATCCTCGTATGATGGAAATATGAAATGGCTACATCGCGTGGATCACGTGCCACGTACACGACTTTGGTGGAGTCGAGCAAAGTGGGGGGCAGTAGAGATATTGGCAAGTGGGTCTTAATGAAACGAGGTGATGGTGTACGGGCGACCAGTTCTGAACCGGGCGTGCTCAATGTATCTATATGTTTGATCATCTCCTCATTCCCGGAATTCTTCTTTAGCAATTTCTCTCGTAGACTGTCATTCATAAACATCGAGAATCTGAAAAAAAAAAAAAACTTTAAAATGTCCCCTTTCTCGACCGGGTCGCTTGCAGGTTGCGCAGGAAATGTTTGTAAACGTTTGTATCGCATTTATTCGGTTGTTTATTCTTTTAGTTTAGCCCCAGAGGATTGGAATTGATATTAGACGCTTGGTTAACTCTATAAATTTTTCGCATAGCGTCGGGAGTCTGAAATCTCTTGCAGGTCGATCTTACGCTGATAACGCCTTTTTCCTTTGCCTTTTTTTTGACCGTATAATGTGAATTGCCCTAGTTTTGTGATGAGCGAGTTTGGGTCATAAGGAAGTTGAGGAGCCCGTAAGTAAAGTAAGATTATTGCCAGATTTTTTTAAAGAATTTTCATCTTTACTTGGCCTCCAAAACGCCAAGTTTTTCGTCGGAATACAAGAGAGCAATGTCATCTACAAACAGCATAAGGTAAACTTGTGGGTCTTTAGGAATGTCACTTGTGTAAAGCGAAGGACGGAGGCAGGAGCCTTGAGGAACGCCAACTATTAGAGTGCGCTCAGCTTATCTATACCGAGTGTTTTCTTCCATATCTTTTCGAGGATCTTCTCAGCTGGTACCCCCTTTTTTACACACCCCCACAAATATATTGTAATCTATAAAAATCATAAAGTAAACTATACATACTCCAGGAACGTATATCGCTCAGAAAGAGGTATGGCTGCAGCTTTAGTGTAGTCTAAGCTATTTGCTAATAACCAAACTAGCTCTTGTGTCCATGTTGTTCCTAAAAATGTTAAATTGAAAACAATGTCAGTTTACTTTTAAAAAACGTTCATTAAAACATTCAATAAATTAGTTATTACATTATCAAGTATTATCTTAATGTAGTCTACGAGTCCTAAAGTTTTCGACATAAACATAAATTAAAATATGTAGAAAAAGTGCGAAAAGACTGTCGCCGCTGTGGGAATCGAACCCACGTCTTCGGCATTCGCGGCCTGACGCTCTAGCCACTGAGCTAAACGGCTGATTACCACATCGACGAAAATCTTAACGCATTCTTCTACATTGTTTTCTTAGCATTTGAAGCAATGCTTGGCGCCATCTATTGTTATATCCTTTCCAGCATACAAACAACTTCGAATATCGTTTTACAACGATAATTCGAACGAGAGATGTGCCATTGCTTTTTTTTTTAGAAAATTTTTTTTAGAAAGAATTTTTTTTTCCCACAGCGGCGACAGTCTTTTCGCAATTTTTCTACATATTTTAATGTTCAATCTTAAGTGCAAAGATTAGCACTATAAACAATTTAAATTTCTAAAAAAATAAACATAAATGTTAAGATTTTCATAGCTTATTTTCTACATTACCTTACTTTTCTACATTAGGTTCTCTTAAAATAACATCAAAATCATAAATTTTTGAGGAATTATGATGATAACAAAATAAGAAAATATAATTGATTTACATAAAATTTATCATTGAGTGCATTTATTGTAAAAATTTATAGTTACTTAATAGGAAAGTATTTCAGGCTTAAATCGTTAGATCGACAAATATTATTTTCACCAAATGAAGTTTGATATACATAAAATATTAATAAATTGACAGTAATAATAGTTCAATACCCTCTATATTCTAATGTATGACTTATCCAATATTAGAAACTTAAAAGCATATTGTGTAAATTAGCAGTTGGTGTGATTTACCTGACCGTGGATAGCTGACAACAAAAATGTCGTCAGGTTTTAAAGGCATGTTGTAAATATTTGCGGCATCATTCTTATAATTACTGAGGAGCATGTAATTTTTGGGCCCAACGCGTATGTGAATATGGTCGGATTCTAGAAAATAGAATTATATGATCATATAGGCATATAGTCAATTTATAAACCAAACTAGCTGCTGCCCGCGACTACGTCTGCATAGAGGGGTGAAGATTTAGGGTTGTAAGTATTTTTGTATGCTGTATCATAAAAAAAATTAGGGGTGGACAACCCTTAACATTTAGGGGGATGAAAAATAGATGCAGTCCGATTCTCCACCCTGGCCAATATGCACACAAAATTTCACGAAAAAATCGGTCGAGCCGTTTCGGAGGAGTTCAATTACAAACACAGTGTCACGAGAATTTTATATATTAGATTAGTACACCACTATCATGTAAGGATGATAATACAACGTTTGAAGAGTTTCAAGACATTCAGTAATACTCGGGGACGCGATCAAATAGCAAAGTCAAAGTTTGTCAATATTTCACCTTAACAAACCTCAATAATTAAACAAAACTAAGCGAACTTACCACAAAAAAATTGTCTCAACTCCTTGTTTTCATTTTCGTCTACCCGAATTTCAAAAGGAAAATGTTTCGCCATAACTGGAAAGTTAATAATTGGAGGTGTTCAGTTGATTAAGCGAAATTGTTAAATGTCGTAACCAACACATTAAATATTTTATCAAAAATACCATTATTAAAAGTGACTTGTAGTCAGAATTATTAAGTACCATTATAAAATTTGTTGCCTTAAACATATTTTATTTCAGATTTATAGTAATGGAGTAACTTCATAGTATGCATGTAGGACTCCAGCTCATTATCCTCTTACATCTTATAATATCAGGATCTTTTGGTTTTAGGTGGCGCAGAAGACTCAGTATATAGATTTCATTTACCCACGAGGTACGTGACACCAAATTCGATAGTGTTCCAGGTACCAAATTCCAGCAGCAGCAAACACAGGAAACAACATCTCTATGTCATAACAGACACACGTATGTTTCTTTCAAATTATTTGAATTTTTTTTAATAATTTTTAATTTTTTATATTTTTTTTATTCATTTTGTAATTTTAATTATTTTGAACATTGTCATTTTTAATTATTTTGTACTTCTTTGAATGTTCTTCTTCATTTTTTACGACTTCATCTTAGGATCAACTTTGTGGTAGTTGCTAGCAAAAAACTGTAGTGAATTTCCAGACCTGACCTTTATTATCAACAATTTCGTAACAGTATTCACTGAGATAGCTCGTATTTAATTAACAGATTAGATAACAATATTTCGGTAATAAGTTTGTAATCTTTATGATGCAATTTCGTAAAAATATAAGATAAAAACACTTTTAAAATCAATAATAATACTTAAAGCATTTTACGCTTAGCTTGAACATAATAAATCTTGCTTACTAAATCACTTTTGTTTTTGATCATAAATTTTTCTTTCATTTGTTTTTAGTTACTCTTTAAATTTCGGAGGAATGTTAGAAGTTATAGCTTATCTAAAGCTATAGCCACTTAGTAAAAAAATAAAAAAAGAACGTATTAAAAAGAAAGTTTAGGTTTCAACCTCAGCTTTCTCTTCTTTCAGCTTAAGCTCTAGATGCCACGTTCGCTTTTATTGTTTCATAACAATTAATTTTAGTAAATCTGTTTTCGTTTCCATATTTGTCATTGGTAATTTACAAAAATATTATAGAATAACATTTTCATGAATAATCAACGTCATGATTATTTATCAAAGTTAAATTATTAAATGTAACGACAAATAAACGTCATAGTCACATTCGGCTGCCTATTAAGTTGCTGGAAGCTTTAAATACCAGATTTTTTAAATAACTAAAAATTTAATTTAATAACAATTATAAATTAATAATATCATAAAATAAAATGAAAGCAGAGAGCAAAACACGATTAATTTTCCATGGAAAATAAGATATCATAACTTACCAGCTGCCTATCGGTTAATCTTAAAGATTAACTTTATCTAATTGTTTATTGTTAATAAATCTATAGCCACCCACCAATTTATTATCTTGATGACTGATTAAAATAGATTGTTTAATCTTTTCATTTGTTACATAATTTTTAAAACTTATTTTAGAACAGTGACACTAAAATTTACCTACGTGTTATTTAGGTATAGATGTACGTTCTATCAATGCGTCGAAGGTATATATACACAGTAACAGTATATGTTAGTCTATGGGTATATAGATAGCACTATCAACTTATCTGTAGAACGGTCAAAAGCGGAACTACAGACGCCATTTTGAAAACATCAAAATTAATGTTTAATAAAGCTATTTCAATTTGATATGTAATAATGAAGTATGAATAACATAAACGTTTAAAAAAATTACTTGTATGCTTTGATGATTCCGAGGCCAAATGGCTAAAAACCCTTTAATTGAGGTATCCGTTTAATTTTTTATGTTTTATTAACATCCACCTTTGTATGTTTTTATATAAATATTTTATCTGTGATAGCGAGCAAGGAGTCAAACAGTAAAAAGGCATGTTACAACTTATCAACAACAAATACTTTATCATATAGTTACGAGAATTAAAAAATTATGAAACTGTTTATTTTTTTAATGGTGACACCATTTGCTTAATCAGCATTTTTGATTACCTTACTACTCAAATAAGTATTTTTGTACCAGCAACACGGCACAATCTCAAATGATATATTTACGAAAATAACAGTTTATATTATATGAAGACTGATGATATTTCGTATTAAAATTTGTATAAAAGTAATTTATTTACTTTACATTTCATATCAAACAGATTACTTAAAAGATAAGGTTATTAAATCAAATTATTAAATAAAATTATTAAATCCAGAATAATGGTGCCACAGTTACAGACTGATTAAAAAAAGCCGTCTTAAGAGTCGCGCTAACTGGGACTTTTTATTATTTAGTGAGATTCTTTAAAATGATATCCATCAATTTATTTGCCAAACAAAATAATTGCAGTAATTTTTAGCGAACAATTCGACGAGTTTTGCTATATCCTTTACCGCTTTTAAAGCAAAGTTTTCTTTGCAATATTTAGATCTGCGTAGTTATGTTTTTCTGCTATTGTGACCAACATTAAGAAATTAAGAATCCACATGAAGACTAAGATGAGTATTCTCTGGAAATGTGCCAAAAGATTTTGTGCACTTAGGTTAGTAAAAAAATTATTAAAGCAATAATGGATGGACGATACGAAAATCTAATAGTGTGTCGTATTAAACTTGTGTGTGTGCGATAAACAAAAAGCACTAAATAAACAACTTATATAATCGAAACATTTTACTTAAAAAACTGTTTTTACAAATCTAGGCAATAAATAATTAGGCGTAAAACTTAATTCTATACACATATCGGCGACGGAGATCGCTTTACGCGGCGGCGGGAAGAACTTCGGGGGCTTTCTCCGGCGCGGCTTCGGCCGGCTGGACGCGGGCGCGACACGTGAGCGTCACGGGGTCCCTCTCGCGGTCAGGGCCACACTGTTCCGTGGCGCCGAGGAGCTTGTACTCGTCGCGCTCAGGCGGCTCGGTCTCCAGGCGGCGGCGGCCGGAGATCACGACCTCCACCGCCCGCCCGTCCGCGCCCGCCGAACGCTCGCCCGTGCCAATCTCCACCTGGTAAGGCGTGTCCGGCTCCACGAATGCCCCCATCGGCTGTACGTCGGAGCGCTCCAGGGCGTCATCGCCCGCCTGCTTCGACCGCTTCAAGATGCCGTCGAGCAGGCTGGCGGGCAACGACATCTTCTGCGGCACCGCTATGAGGAACACCACGTTCTGCACGTCGGCGAGCACGTTGAAGTCGCCGTCCTGCCGCTGGTCGTAAGTGGCGGGCGCCGCGGCCGACGCCGCGAATAGGCACGCGATTAAAAGCAGCATCTCGCGTGCGCGTGAGAGACGACCTGGATGTCGACTGCTCGGCGCTTGCCACCGCGCCGCTTTTACCGGGCACCCGCGAACCAGTCGCGAGGAATCGGGCACAGCGTAACGGTTAACCCGTCGCGAGCGTTAACGCGCACTTTACATACACACGTCCACCGCCCGAGTGACACTTACCGTACTCTCAATCTCGACCGATCGCTAATTGCGCATGTTTCGATTAATATTATAGATAATTATATTTTAAAGTCTATTTATACACACAATGATAGTTCTGTAGTAGTCTTGACGGTGGCAATTTGTTGAGTCACCTTTGACAGTGGCCAAGGGTCGTAATGCGATAACCGAGTTCCCAGCTCCGAGCACGCGCGACAGACCGCATTATCTCTCACTAAATGGAAACAGAGGCAAAATGCAAGAAATCGCACATTTGTGTTGAGGAATCAATTAAGTCCAATATATAAAAAAAGTTCTATACAACAGCTTGGATGAATCCGAAAGCAAGTTCCTCTTAGATTGCAAAAAGCAAAGTCTTAGTTCCAGCACCGTTAGAATATGCTAATGCAAATAGTAAACGGTTCCGTACAGACGGCAATCACGATGTTTATTGAGTAGGTTAAACAGGTTGCATTTTCCAACAACAAAGTAATAATTTGCTATACTGCATGTATTTATGCCTCAATACTGGTGATATGAAAATAATAACATGTATTATAATCGCCTTTAACTTTGCATAGCACCCTATATTCATCTTTTTGTTGTCAAGGCTTCGTCCATGTTAAATTAAGAACATACCTCGACCCAGACTTTTTAATGTAAACTACAACACATACAGTTGCTCTCTTAGGTGCTCCTTTATTGATAAAAAGTTTGGAACCTCATTTAAAATTAAAGTTAAATAAATTTTTAGATCATGTTAATAAATTGTTTTTACTAAATTCGCATATTGCGCTTACTATTTTGCGACATTGTATTCTTGTACCTAAATTTACGTACGTCCTTCGCTCGAGTCCAGTTTGGAAATGCGGTGACGTTTTGAACGAAATTGATTTCCATCTTAAATCAACTCTATAAAAAATTCTAAATTTAATGAATTAAGCTGAACTCAAGCTACGCTGCCAATTCGTTTTGGTGGTATCGGTGTAAGGAAAATTTCTAGTGTCGCTCTACCTGCCTTCCTTGCTTCCGTGCATAGCGTAAATAATTTATGTAATAACATCCTTAATCACGATTCAGAACTTTCCTATGCAGAGGAGGCAAGGATGTATTGGCTGTCTATTTGCCCCAACGAAAATATTCCACTGGAAGTAAATCTACAAAAACAGTGGGATGTTCACTTGGTGCGGAGAGTACAGAGAGATACGTTTCAATCTTTCGAAAGTAATTTAGTAATCTAAAGAATCGAGTTATTGGCTTCACGCTTTACCATCAAATAACTTGGGCACATTACTTGACGATGAAATCTTACGCGTTGCTGTAGGAATAAGTCTGGGGACACCGATTTGTCAACCACACCAATGCCCTTGTGGTGTCAGTGTAGAAAAATTTGGTCTCCACGGGCTTTCTTGTCAAAAAAGTGCTGGCCGTTTTCCCCGCCACGGTTCCCTGAATGACATCATCCGTAGGGTTTTTGTTTCCATCAATGTTCCATCTATGTTAGAGCCCTGTGGCATTTTTCGCGACGATGGTAAGAGACCCGACGGTTTAACATTGATCCCTTGGGAGAGAGGCAAAGCCCTTGTTTGGGACGTCACTTGTGTAGACACTTTGGCTGCCTCTCATCTAAGGGGTACTTCGGTCAGGGCCGGGGCGGCATCGGAGGCAGCTGAAGTAAGTAAATGGCGCAGATATGAGTCTTTATGTTTAGATTATGTATTTGTGCCATTTGCTGTTGAAACTTTAGGTCCGTGGGGTCCCCGCACATCAATTTGTTTTAAAAGTTTACGTCCTAGGCTTAACGCCGCGGCTGGTGACAAGAGAGCTAGTTCTTTTCTCGCTCAAAGGTTAAGCATAACTATTCAGCGATGAAATGCAGCTAGCGTACTTGGCACCATGCCGCGTGGATTAGGTTTATTAAATAATATGTAATCTTAGATAGATTTAATCTTTTAAATATTAGAACACATACAGTTATTTTTTCTAAATTATCAGCGTATGAATATTATCGTTCGCTATTGACACTGAAGTTCTTTTCAATTCATATTGTTCTTTGGTGACAAAATTGGAACAATTGAATTGAACAATTTGGCTCTGTAGTGACGAATTTCTATGATTATTTTAAAAACAGATATCCTAGAACCTAAAAGAGTCGACTCATGATCAGGGTTTTTAATTCCAGTGGCGAACATATAAACTTTTTGGAATTCCAGCGTGCAGAGTCCACTCTGACAGATTTAAGGCCCATTTACATGGTGCCAGTTTCTTGCCTGTTGTATACAATTAAATTGAAGCAATAAATGAGTTGCATGGTCTAAACAACAAATGGTCTAAACAATTATTGCGCGCAAATTATTGCATTCAATTATTGCTCTTGTATGTACAAATCAGAAAATGGCATCGTGTAAATGGGCCTTTAGAGTGTGGCACACTTTAGGACTTCAGAAGGTCAGTGAAAAGTGGATCTCACTAAAGGTAGTTAGTGAATGACACTACGTATATTACTCTCGATGGGAACGACAGTGAGTTTGTTACTTCAGAACTTTCCGAATGAGTGAACCGATATTTCTTTTATTTATTTAAAAGCTGGTGCTTCCCACGTGGTCCCATATTAATTACATTGGTATTGGATCTTTGGCTCCGGAGATACCTCTACTTCAGGGAACTCCTGAAAATCAATTATAAAATGAATACAGAGCGAGATATTTGAAGTCGATTTTGTTTCTCGTTAATAAAAATGGACTTGTTTTTATGTGTGATAACCACCACCCATTGACATTTGCAACCTCTGAGGGGTTGCAGATACGTTGCCACCTTTAATTAAGAAGGCCCCGTCTACCTCACTCACCAGAATTGTACGTAGATGTAAAGCACTTCCATTTCACGCTAGTCTTTTGTGAGGTCGTGATACTTACCCGGACAGACCTGCCCATTCGCACAACAGTGAAGACTGTTTCGTGGCCATACCACCGAATACCGTATATTAACTATTTCGTCCAAAATAATATACCAGCGAATTCTCAAAACAATTTGACGAGCCACGATGACGCAGTTGCCATAGCGCTGCATAGCATACTAGCTTCGGCGCCTGGGGTCGTGAGTTCGATTCCCACACGACATAAGTATTTTAGGGTTATCCTCAGATATTCATTCCGGATCTGGGTGTATGTTCCCAAGGAGGATGGGCCTAAGACAGGCGGCCAGTAGTAAAAAATATAACTAATATAAATAATTTAAATTAATAGAGTTAAATAAAAAAATATCAAAGTAGAAAAATTGGCACCCGATTTCTACATATATATGGAATAATGTCGAAAGTAAATTTCTTATTGCGTATTTATAGCAATTTAGGTCAATGTTATAGGTAAGTCGAAGATAAGGAGTCTAAGGAGAATAATCTATTATCTAACCACCATTGGAAAGCTAAATTAAAATGTTTCTGTTTTTGATTGTGATTCGAAAATGTTTGTGTTGTACGAAGTGACTGCCCTTTATTTGAGCCAAATCTAGGGCGATGAACAACATCTGTGCACTAGCACAAATGGAACTGGATCTTCGTCTACCTAATAGCATAAAAGCAAACTTCGTGAAAGCTATACGAGTATACGGAATAAGAAAGGATTAGTAACCAATAATAATATATGAAATACCCATAAAGTAGCGTCAAAGTAAAGACATGTGCCCGTCAACAGTCATAATGTACCCTGTTGGTGTAAGTAAAAATAAAACTAAATAACAGCCTATAAATGTCCCACGGCTGGGCAAATTCTACCTCTATGCAGAGGGTGTCAGGGTATAGTCCACCACGCGGACTATACCCGTCGGCGGACTTCGTATATATTTGAAATAGTTATTTTGTTATTATTACAAAAATATGTAGGTTTGCTCACGATGTTTTCCTTCACCGCTGAGCACTTGATAATCGAGCATTTAAAAGTAACAATTTCATTGGCGCGGGCACAGGGATTCGAACGCAGGTTGCTCGACTATATGGAATTAAAAACGAACGCCCGGATAATGAGCTATCAAGGCTGTTGGTGTATTTATAATTTATTCTCCGAATTATTTATTCATAAGTTTTCACCTTTTTCATCTTAGGCACCACGATTAAAATTTTGGTTGCTTGGAGTGGTTGTTAATGGACTGTTTACAACTTTTTAATAGACGAAAAAAGTATGTCCTACGTGAAATATCACCACAATAATAAGTTATATAAATACTCAAAAAGTTTATGTATCAAAATAGATTGCTATTTTTGATCTCAAATTCGTAGACGTAGATTAAAGTTTTTTGTTTTTAGCAATGCAATTTACTCGAAAGCTCCATTAGCGAAAGTTTGACACATGTTAATGGCAACACCGACTTTCTATCAGGTCGGGGAACATGTTTGCTTTCTATTTATTAAAAATAACAACCGCAACGTCGATATAATCAAATGCATCTCCGACATTCGAACCGAAGTAAAAAACTATACGCAGCTTTTCACTTACCGGTCACGCAATTGATGGATTTAAAACGGCTCTACGAAGTAAAAGCTAGGTAGCTTTTTAGCAACCTTTTTTAAATTGGCTACCCTGATACAAAAGGGGATACTTACAAAGATAAAGCAACAATAAAGAAAAGCTCTTACTTTAGAATGAACACTTTTTTATGTTCGCTATCATAATCAACTATATACATGAAATTACAGAAGAAAAAACCTTTAAGAGATTTCAAAGTTATTATATATCTTTAATAGAAACTTGGTTCTGTCGAAAAGTGGCTTTCAGCTATCCGATTCAACATTCCGATTGTAATTAATCATAACCGCGATTATAATGATCACAGCATACCATCGTTACAAAAATTAAATAGAAAATAATAATAATAAGAGAAGCACCTTCTCTATATACATTTGGATGACCTCGAATTATTCGCTTCCAACTTCGTGGTGACTTTAAGCAATTACATCAAATGGGAGCGCATTTGATGTAATTGCTTAAAATCACCTGTGATTTCAGCAACTCTAGGTCGTCCATGTCGAAATGGGTAAGGTCGCTAACACATAGGGTAAAGACTTGTCTTTGCCCAATAACATAATGACCCTTTCCAAGTCTGAAATATACCGATTCCTGGCTATGTCACATAATATGTGTATCGATGAGGCTAGCATAAAACAGTTACCAAGTAATGTAAACCAAAAGTTATGTTTTGTGATAATTTGTGAAGTAAAGGTTTTTAGGTGAAGTTAATTAAGTTTATTCATTACTATAGTTAAATATCACTCACTATCGACGATTACGGCATAACTAATCGTTTCCTAGTTTTTATTTAAAATTTGATAAATACATAAGATATACAGGTGATTGAGAAATAAAGTAAAGAAAAAATCTTCTTGAAAATGTTTTGAAACCTTTTCATATTTGTAACGCCACATAGTGTGAATAACAGCCTTGTGTATCAGTAAGTTGTTTTAGCAAATACGACTCATATTATTTTTCTTTTGATGTGAAAAAGATTATCATCATGTAATGACTGAATATTATTAAGGGTTCTGTAACTCAATCATCAACGTCAACCGTCAAACAAACAGTATCATTTAATAGTGTGGTGCTTTTAATATTTGTCCATCACAAAAGGTGGTTTTACTGTAGCTAACTAGCCAGCTTATAACTATAATTCACTATAGCTGAATGGTGCCGTGCGATTAAGAAGTTTTTAATATGAACGCCGTCGGTCATTTTACCGTTGATTTATAATCTGGGGCAAAAAGCTCTTTATGATCAATCGACCTAATTGGCTCAAACTCTGAACAAAATGGCTTAAGGCTGTCTAAAAGACGTATATGAGTTTAATATAAAAAAAATAACATGTGGTGTGTGGTAAAGTTAAGTTTATACTGGATGTTTTTGTTATTATTAACATTTGTGGAATTGTTGGAATTATTACAACATAATCAATATCAAAAATTTTCAAATGTATTTAATCGCATCAATAATTAATTTTAAATCATTAGTTAATCTTTTTTTTACTAAAGCTCAAATTATATGATGCTTTCAATTTAAAAATGAGAACAAGTAAGCACTGATAATTTGTGGGTTTATTTTAAGTCCATACATCACCACTACATTTGTTGTGGTGATGTATCAACAAAATAAAACAAAATAAAACCAATTATTAGTATTTTTCAATAATAATCATCATTTATTTTCAACGAAACAGAGTAGTAACTAACTACTATTACCTTACGAACTAACGTACATAAAACTACATATAAATTTATTAAATAAATGCATTAATATATCACTCGTTAGCTAAAAGGCTTGAACCTTATCGAAGACCTTAGCGTCCGGAGAAAATTCAGTCAACTTATTATTTCCTCATTCAGTAACTGTGATCAATGATGGCGGGTTCTTCGCAGCAACGGTATCAACATATTGGCGAGACGTTGTTTCAGTCTGGAACGAAATTTAAAATTATAAAATGTTACATAACCATTAAATGTTACCCTGTGCAAATTATTCCACTAAATTGTATGAAACATTATATTTACGGATTTCAAATACATTTTTTATTCATTTAAGTTATTTAATCCCGATACAAACGGAGATTTTAATTCAAGTACTCTTGCCGGTAAATAGTAAAATTATTACCATAAAGCAGTCTTATAGACAAGATATATGCACGTTTATGTTTTATTACTTCTTGGACATCGCTTTGAAACGTCAAAGCACTTACCTTTGCGCTTTCTCCTGTTTCCTTAAGCTAGCGTCCTTCTTCTGGCTTTTGAGCTCGGAGCTCGGAAGGGAGACGTCACTTAGCGGCGCTTGCGCAGGCTTAGCGGGCTCGTCTGGCTTCTGCGGCCCGTCGGCTGGCTTGCTCGGCTCCGGCTTGGTAGCCTCCGGCTTGTTGAGGTCGCTCGGTGGCTTTGGCTTATTCACCGGCACATCTCCGAAGTCCTCCAGATCGAGGAGCTCGCTCAGGTCAAAGTCGGAAGCGGCCGCGAGCAGCGAGTCCGCCGGCGCCACGGCGATGACCACGCCGTCGATGTTGAGCCGATAGTTCTCCGTGCCGTTCTGCCGCTGGTCGAAGTGCTTGTCCGAGCAGTCGGCGGCTGGCGCGCCGGCTGCGAGCGCCACGGCCGCCGCCAGAAGCGCAACCTCGCAGACTATCCGCTTGTAGTTGACCATCGCGGTCGGTGGTTGAATGCGCACTGAACCACGGCTGCCCGGGCCCGCTGTGTACCCACTCTCCCGTCCATCTTTTATTTATCTGCCCAGATAGCGGTACAGCCGCCGCAGCTTGCCGCCGGCCGCTCCTAACGCACCACCCGTCTCCGCTAAACTGGATTCAGCATAATACAAACGGCCCCTATGTAGGACACCCTAGTCAGTTCTCGCGTATAAGTTATGATAGAAGAAATAAAAAGTCAACAATTTTTCATCGACTCGGAGCCAGTGGTACAAAAAAAAATGTTTTTCTTACTACAATGTTATAGAAAGACAATGTAATAGGATAACTTAACAGTATGTAATTTAAGACAAAATCGAATTAAAAAATATTTGTGTTATACGTCGTATATACATCACAATTATAGAGTTCCAGCTTAATGTATACCAAGCCGTTACATATTTATAGATTAATGGTATTAACCGTTGTATTGCACACAAATTTGAGAGTTCGAAACATCGACTTTCTAAAAATATTTTGATAACTGTCCCGTATTTAATAAGATTTATAAGTGTTTCCGAGCAAACGTAAACAGTCAGCTTGTCGATTGAGCTCAATCTCGAGTGGCGATCGATGTCTGGCACAAATCACGAATGGTACGGTTAAACAACCTGTTGCCCGATGCGGCTGCGCTTGCTTTGCGATTAACTAACTGTATTGGATACCGCCGGTAAACGGTACATTGCCTTTTTATTTGCAATAATTGCGATTAAGACTAGGTGGATTTCGAGCTTTTTCTTTGCTTATTCCCACCGTGGCGAATTCGGCTAGAAGTTTATTCAACTTGGTCATTGTCAATTTGTCATCGTGACTTTGCAGTTCTGATGTCGGCCGAAACGATAAGTTCGACTAAATTTGTTTTTAATTGAGTCTTATTAATAGGGTCCTGTTTTACCCTTTGGCTACGGAACTCTAAAAAGATCTCTCTAATAGATTTGTTAACTATTAAATAAACCAAAATGTTGCCGACTATTACACTAACTGCAAAATTATATTTTTAATTAACATTCCTTATTATAATTTTTATATTTACCATATATTCAACAAAGTTCTTCAATTTTCATAAACTTGCAAAAATAATATAAATTTCATTTTTATGCTTATTTCCTAAACGACATGCAACTGCATACTTTTTTAAAACTTTAAATTTTTGCGGTTTCACATAAAGAAATCGCAAAATGTAAGTTAAAATTGGCAATGAAAGAAATGCAACTTTGCTTTCAAGCCGATGTTTATGTTAATAAAAGTTAGAGATAGGTACACACGATGCAGTCCACTCACCTTTCTAAAAGCTCCGTTCAACAACTGGACCAGTTCATCCGCTGTCCTAATTTGGATCTGGTCCAGTGGCGACCCTCTATGGCTACTTTCACACAACCATCAGTGAATATTTATGTAGGTATATCGAAGCAACAAATAAAATTAAGTAGTTCAATTCGCTTTAATGAAAAGTTTATGTTGATTTGTCATATTTACCGTTTATCGGACACAAGGCTCCGAAAGTAGCATTTTTACGGACAATGCAGAAGTCTAGGAATTATGCAGACATCCCGCGCATTTCGTGTTTTAACTTTGAATGATTGTTGAAAGGGATTCGAACCCCCATTCCGGCAACCACAGCTGTCTCTTATTTTGTTACCTATACTGATTCTAATTGATGCAGACGTGAATATTTTACTTTAATTTTGGAGGAAGGAAATTGAGATTTATTGAAGACGGCCTTAATAGAAAATAAAGTTTTTTTCTATAATCACTACATAGTATAAAATCGTTCCTCTGTATGTCTGTCCCTATGCATAAGAGGAAGGTTTGTGTGTATAATACATTGCACCCGTGCCAAACCGGGGCGGGTCGCTAGTTTGATAATAAATTCTTAATTCTTTTATTTTTTTGGCAAAAATATAGCATCAAAGTTAGGAAACAGGTTAAAAATCAGATCATGACCCCATGACCTAGATCAGCCTAGGTCATACGGTTCATGATTGCCGTCTACACGGCAAAGCCAAATGGAATCTACACTGGGCTGGACAATAGTGAAGCCTACTCTGGATGCGTGCGAGGTGTGTGCGGGGGATATGTAGAATTGACGAACATAACGCAAAACTGTCTCTGTTCTCTTCAACCGAGGTAGAGTCACGGGAGAAGAGGAGTGTTTCGCGACTCTGTTGCAGCAGTGAAAATGCCGCCGAGGGAGAGGAATACTGGTATGTTGACGGCGATGCACAGCTCGCTTTTACCTTCATGGCCGAAACGCATGTACGAAGCGGCGGAGCAACAGACCAGACCTTTTTTATGCACTGGCTTTCCTCTCTCATGGCCTCTCGGTCATTCCATTCCAGTCCGATGCCCGAAATAAAGGAGGCGAGAAGTAAAACCCGACACAATGCATAGGCATTTTCACCACGTAATCAAAAACAAAAAAAGAAATGTAGAACTTCGTTACCCGATCGATGGAGACGTTAGGCGGAGGTAGCCCCTCTGAAAACAGTCGTGTTTGGATCTGGTTCTTAAAGGCACGCAGGTGAACGCTAACAGATTGCATTACCTACAAGGCCGAAACATTATAATTAAATAATCTTGAGTTGGCCCCTAAAAAAGGTGAACACTGGGATCAATGCAATGAACTGGGCTGTCCATTGCCCTCAGTCTTTGTTCTCTAATAATGGAGTCTATCATTAACTGCCAACTCCATAGGTACCTTGAGTCACATCTCGTCTCGATGCTTAGTTGGATTCCTCAAATTGAACTAGAAAGTGTATAGTGATTAAAATAGTTGAAGTCGGTTTTGTTATTTGTTATTATAAATAGTTTTGTATCGAATTCATACCTTTTAATGAATTTCACCACCGTACATGTTTACGGATTTATCGCGTTTATTTTTGGTTTTAACTCCCGACGTCGACGGTCACGCTGTAAAGGGTTCGGAACGTCGAGAAAAATTCGTAAACATAGTTTTATTTAGTAATGTGTCATCGCGTAAATACAAGAAATTATTATGTAAACCGTAGATACAAGTCGTCAAACTACCAAACGCCATGAACCCGACCTTCGTGGTTGGCCGTTCACAACAGCGCGCTTTTCACGCTATTTTCTTCCACGCACAGCCGTTCTGTGGCACCAGTAGTCGCCAGTGATATTTCCGAACCGAAGCGACTTAGGGACTTTATTAAGACAGTACTTCTATCTCAAAAGCCGAAAGCGCATTTGTGACTCCATCGGATGTTGCAAAAGTCCATGGGTGGCGGTGACCACTTACCAGGTGACCCGCTTGCCCGCTTACCACCTTTTCCATAAAGAAAACCGACAACTTTACAGTCACAGTCCAACCATAAAAGAATGTGACAGTTTCTTCTCGTAAGTCATAGGTACTTTATTGTCTTTATTTCTGAAATAGAAATAGTCATTACATGCGACGGAAGTAACAACATATACAGTAACAACGGGTTCGCAGACGACCTTACTGCTAAACAGTCGGCGAAAGTCGCCAGTGCGACCCAATATGCTAATTTGTGATTCTGTGAAACATCCTAATGCAACTGAAGTCGGTTTTCTATTATTTGTGAGTGAACTCATATTTGTCTATAATCTATGAGGATAATCATAGATTATAGACTAGTATGTGTGCTCATGTACTTCTTTGTGGATTTAACAGATATACTACTGTGAAAAAAAGTCATCCTTCTGCAACTTTTCTGAACGCCCTTTTTTATTTACACTTGCCGAGCTTTGAAGTTAAACTTCTTTAGGCGCGATATGAAAAATTAATGAGAATGAAAATGAGAATGATGCGGGCGCATCACTGAAGCTGCCCGCTAACCCGCTTATTATAGATGGCAGCATATTCTCAATCACATTCACCCGTTACAGTTTTTTTTTTTTTTTTTTTATGTAAAAAGTTGCCAAGCGAGCAGGCGGTTCACCTGATGTTAAGTGAATACCGCCGCCCATGGACATCTGCTACACCCGAGGGTTGCAGATGCGTTGGACAACCTTTTGAAAATTGGGCTCCGGCCACCTCACTCACCAGACGAAACGCGAAAGTATTATACTTCCACTTTACGCCGGTCTTCTGTGAGGTCGTGATACTTACTCGGACGAGCCTGTCCATTCGTGCAACAGCCGAGGCTGCTGCGTGGCTCTACCACCGTAAAGTTCTCAATAAAAAATGTAGATGGCGCTTTCACAATTTTATTACGTTTAGCGACTTTACGAATTCCGTAATATGCACTGATCGTTAAATTAAATTGTTTTAACGAAGATATCATATTTAGTTCATATTAAACATTTTAGACGTTTCAAATACTTTGCAGCATTCAAGTCTATATACGTGCCACTTCTGGAGAAAGGATACCTACCACGCAATTCCACTGCGAATTGGCAAACTTCAAATGTCTTAGAGTTTTTTCTGTTATTATTTTGACAACATGCTGGTTTCCTCGAAATATTTTATTTCAACGCTGATCACGTGATAAATTAGCACTTAAAATTGCAATCAAAATGTTTATTGATTTTCATTGGTTCGTCCACCGGGACTTGAAGTCAGATTGCACAATTAGACTAAATTAAAAGCTAGCGCCTGAGCACTAAGCTATCACGGCATATATTTCAATTAAATAGAAGTTAAATACAATCTATTTTCATTTAATATTATCATATTTAATAGTACTTCAAAATAGTAGTTGGGAATATTTGTATGGGTCTCTCTTCAGTCCAGTTGCAATGAAAGAAAAAAATAAATAATAACCAATCATTTATTTCACTTTGTAAGATACATGTGTACGAAGAATACATCATTCAATATGATAATTATAGTGAACAAATATTTTTTATATCACATACTGCTACTAGTACCGACATTTTAAAATAACATTTTTGGTTTCAAGTTTAGTTAAATGGCCAAGAAATTAAAAACTGTAAATATTTGCCACTAACAAAAATGACACAATAAATAATTATAGTACTGTTCTTATTGTACCGAAAGTAATTTGATTCGAATAAAATAAATATTACGTATTTAGAAAATAGAATACAACATAAAAGTTTTGAATAACGATTTTAAAAAAAATGCAAGACATATTACTAATTGGAGTACGAGAACGAAATCCAAATACATCTCAAAAGTACTTACGTTCTAATTTATTAATTTTTAATAATGCTAAATTAATAATATCATGTTTTATTGTACTAATCACAACTCGTCGATGCAAGGCACTTAGGAAGACATTATTATCTATACTTCAAGGCACTCTTTATAACAAAATACGCAATTTAAACAATTTAAACAAATATAAAACATCGAAAGAAGTGTAAAATTGTGCTCGGATAATACTTAGACCAGCTTAATAGCAGTGGCCCTCACCATAACATGGTAAAAAATTATAAAATAGAGCTACCAATCTTGATTGCGCCCGAGTGAAGTTTGCTACAGTGTCGTATGAACTGTCACAATCGTTTTATAAAACAAGCCAATATATTTAAAAAAAAAAACAATTTTAGCATGATAAATAGCAACATTTTTCGCGACCGTACTACGTCTGTAGTGAGAATGAGACAGGCGGCGATTTTGCCTAAGGCGCAACAAAGAGGATAAACTCCGTACACTATACTTGAAAAATGCTTCATCGGTATGTAGGGTAATATACTTGATTACTTACTACACACAGAGACCTTTTTTTTTTTTTTTTTTTTTTTTTTTTTTTTTTGGTATCGGGGGGGAAATCTTCAAAAGATACCCTGTCACTTTACATGACAGGGTTATGTGGGGTTCTTACCCACTAAAACCCCCTCGGTGGCCACCTTCTGTACATTTGGAGGGACTCCGGGATCTCCCATGGAACGCAACCGGTGTCCCTCGGTACTACGCCTGAGCACGCCTCGGAGAAGGATAAACCTTCTCCAATCCCCTCATCCTCTTACAGCAACACGAGACCACTTCGTGCTGCTGCCCATCCGTGTCCCCTTTTAGTCGCCTTTTACGACAGGCAGGGGATACCTTAGTCCTATTCTATAAGCCCGAGACTACAGGGCTGTACTACACAGAGACCTAGCCGAACTTCAGGAGGTTTTTGAAACCTGATGATGTTTGATAATGTATTATTCTTGTAAATACTTAAAGGGTCCTGCGAAAAAACTGACAATAAATGTACAAACGTAACAACCGTTATAATTAATCGGAATAATTAACTTCCACTAATTACATAATAAAAAACAAAGTCATCGTCCAAATACCCGAGAAACTACATTAACTTATTATCCTAATTACTTAATTATTATTCTGTGGCAGAGCCCAGCAGCAACTTATGCTTTTGCACGAATGTGACCTCATTAGGAAAAGTGTCAAAGACGTTGTCACGCGGATGATAACACAGACACTCGGAACTTGATTCTCATGGAATCACTTAAAATCAGGTGTACTACCTGTTCGTATGTTATTAAAATAATCCAAAACTTCATCAAAGATTCAAGACTGGTTGATGCAAACTTCGGCCATTAAAAATAGTGCTTCAACTGTCTCGTTGAATCATTATAGTAGCAACACTGGTTGGTGCACATTTCTATAATAAAATCGAGATTTATTGAAACAAAATTGATTGGTTGGTACAAAAAAGTGCAAGATTCAACGATCCATAAGACGTAGGCCTTCTAACATAGAGAAAAGTTATAATCTTCCAAAGACCCGATTGGATTGTAACAGCAACACTGGTCGGCGCACACTTCACTCATTAAAAAAAAAGAAAAACAAAATCGAACGATTCCATTGGATTACACGAATGTCGCACTCATTAAAAAGGAAAAAAAAACAAATCAAATGAATGGGAAATAAAACAAATCGTACGATCCAATCGGTCATTGGTCATGATCATTGGTCGCGGTTATCGGTGAACTCGGCGCACACGATCCCCAGCACGCGCTCGTAGAAGCCGTCGCCGTAACGCAACCGATACGCGGACGTGTCCAAGTAACGCTGCACGGAGGCCGCGCACAGTGGCGCCGCGTCATCACACAAATCGCGGGAAGCCGCGCACAACGTCAACGCTTGCCGCCAAATTCGCGAACTCACTGAAATGTGTCCGTCGATTGTTATTATTTTTGTCACGAGACGATTTTAAAAATTGTTTTCACAAAACATTAAAACAAGTAGTTGGTTGCATAGATAAAATTAAACATTTAAAACACGTACGGAAACAGAATGACATTCAATAACAAAACATCCTAGTCCATTCTCAAAAAATGTATTACATCCCCCTCCCCCAGAGAAATTGAGTAAATAATGAAATATAAAATTATTTATTGCAATTCTAAAATGATCAAATGTGAACTATTGTAGGTTGCGTAGGTTTCATCATCATCATCATCATCATCATCATCATCATCATCATCATCATCATTATTTCAGCTCGGAAGCGTCAACTGCTGAACTTAGGCCTCCTCTAAGGATTTCCACTTCGATCGGTGTGAAGCTGCCTGCATCCAGCGAAGTCCTGTGACTTTGGACAGGTCGTCAGTCCATCTCGCGGGTGGCCAGCGTTTTCCAACACGTGGTCTCCTCTCGAGAACCTTGCTGCCCCATCAGCCTTCAGTTCTGCGAGCTATGTGCTCTGCCCATTGCCACTTCAGCTTGCAGACCAGCTTGACTATGTCGGTAAACTTCGTCTGCGGATCTGCTCGCAGAGAAACCCCGAGCATAGCCTTATCCATTGCCCGCTGAGCGACGCGGAGTCTCTTCGGGTGGACATAACAAGTCGACCACGACAAATATGATAGATTGGGACCAATTTAGCTCCATAAAGCATTCACTAATCACATATAATTTAATTTCCATGTAATATAAGATAAGAAATGCAACTTACAAAAATGTTGCATGTCCACATCACAGTGTTGTACAAGATGCTGGTAAGTGGTACAGCCCTTAATATTTGGTACATTGTTGCCTAAAACCACCATGGACTGTGGGTCCGTCACATCTTCCAAAATTGTTTCCACTTCTGATTTGAGTATCTGTAAATAAAATTACTAATTTAAAGTAAACTAAAGTAGCATCATATATGGGCATAGGCCTCCTCTGTACAGTCGATATTAGGGAATTGTACACCACACTACTTCAATGTGACTTTGGCGGACTTCACATATCTTCAAAATACAGATTTTCTCACAATGTTTTCAACAATTTCATGCCACAATTCTACCAGTTACAATTTAATATGCTAATTACCCAAAACTGTGTTTTTACTTTGTTATTTTTACTGAAATATCCATTGTCCATACAAAAAAAGGCAAACACCACTATAATTTCTCTAAACTCATTTATCTATAATTATGTTCATATTCCTTTAAAGGTATTTCACTAAATTCAAGTCAGGGCTTTTTTTGTGTGAATTAAAAAGTCATATTACACACCTGATCTTCATCACTGCCAGCTTCTAGCCTATTTGCATCTCCTTTAATTACAATTAGCCTATAAAAGGTTGGTATGTGCTGCAATATAAATATGCATTATACAAAGATATATCTAAATGTCACTCTAGGTATTAAAATAAAAAAACATAAAATTATTAAGTGCTGTTAGTAATTACTTTTGTATCAGCGAGCATTAAAATCCTGTGCACATGGGACTGATCTGTAGTGTCAGGTGACAAACGGTTTAGGCAATCCGGATACATCTCAGCCAAAACAACATTATTCTCTCCACCAAGTTTTAACTTCTTAAGTTCTCTAATAGCCAACTCATCCAGGCGATCATATATGGAGCTTGCCACTTTGAGCTTTACATCTGTAATTTGAGTGTTATAAAATTGATTTAGTACTTTGGATTTAACATGCTATTGCAATTCATATTGTTTAAATTTATACCCAGTTTAAATATAAGCAATTATATTACTGATTACATGTTACTAATTATTGTACTTACCTGTCTACCATACTAATGTTATGAGAGAGAGAGCATGAAAATTAAATGGAGACAAAGATTAGTTTTAATATAAAACAAAATCAATTCAAAACAACGTAATGACCACATAATTATGACTAACAAATGTTAAAACTGTTAAACGATTGAAATTTGTATAATTATTGTTTAGTAAAATATGTATAATTATTGTATAATAAAATTTGTATAATTATGTTTTAAACTTTTTATGGACATAGATTAAAATAATTTTACATTAACAGCAACATAACAATTTTAATCTTTTAATTGAAATAATTATTCTTTTGATGTATTTTAACTTAGTGGTCACTCTTTTTTTCAAAAAGATCCAACCACAATAGAATAAAAATAGAATAATATTTTTTATCTTTTACCAAAATGTTTAGCTGCAATATTTAAGTCTGCATCTTCACACCATGCTAAAGTCATTTGAAGCACTTGCTGAATAGAGCACTGCATCTTGAAGAAAAAGGATCCTATTCTAATTGGTTGTCTTTTTCCACATGATTCACATGTCCACTGAACTCTGTTAATAGAAAGAAACAAATTTAATATTTCTATAACAGACAGACAGACGGACAGACAGACAGAAACTTAAGGGACTTAATAAATTAAAAAACTTACGTTGAAAATAACATACCCAAAATTTGAATAATTAATTTGACTTTTTTTTTATATTACTTCTACGATTACTAACTTGTAATTATTGTAAAAATGTATAATATTAATCAGTCAGACTACATAAACTTTGTAATTCCCAGTGTCAATGATTTTGTTGTACAGTATAAAAAAATGTAATAAAAAAAAAGTAAATTTTATAATAGTACCTGTCTATAACCCGAGCCATTTTGCACACCACTTTACAATTAGAGTTTGATGTCGGACATTTAACTGTTGTCGGCAGCAAACCAAAATCTTGTAGCCTTTCTACAATTTGGCTTTCCAAACTCGTTTCTCCATTATTAGTTATGAAATTTTTGTACAAAGCGAAGTTCCTATAACATACAAACAATACAAGATGCAACGTTGTGATAAACTCTGTAGTTGTAGCTCTTTATACATATCTCGTTCCCCATACCCTGTATTTATTGCAAATGGAAAACAAATTGCATGTTCTGAGTTTTCACACTTGGAACTACTGTCATATGTAGTAGAATCGGCCTCCATAGCTATCCAATAAAATGAGTATTCTACATACAAAAAAATAATATCACAATTTAAATATATGTGCTATTTAGGTTCCGATTTAAAGGAACGCAACCAAAATGCAATTATTTACATAATATGTCTGCAAATATTTGAATGCATCTCGCATCCGACATTGACGTCGTAAGTCGTAACGAATGAAAATGACAATAATGACATTATGAGTATGACACTGACACTACTAACGGTGACAGTTAACAGTGTGACAGTTACATTTTACCTTCACTGTTGCCAGTCTGTATTCTGCAAATAACAATTGTGTTATATGGCATGAATATTATTACCCCATTAATATTGTTATAGAATATTATAATACGATCTCAGTTACTTGAACTACAAGCTAAGCCAATGCTCAGAAATGGGCACGTTTTAAATCACTATCTAAAGATTAATAAACATAGGTTTCTGTACATTCTGTACCAAAGGAATATCCTTTTCTTGTTGATTTACTTGTCATGGAAGATTTTATTGGAACAGGTAGACAGCCAAGTCATCCTTGCCTCTTTGGCATGGGAAAGTCCATGAAAAGCATTAATCCCGGCTATTGACAGGGTCTGCCTTCTTACTTGAACTCTTCCATTTTCCCCGTCTTCGAAATCCGTAGGGATCAATCCATTGGCTCTCATGTAATTTTTCAAGACGTCCAGCCATTGCTTCCTTGGACGTCCAGGGAGTCTAGTTCCTGGGACAGGTATATGAAGGCATATCCTTCCGACAAAGTTTTCCGACCGGCGTGATTTAGGATATTATTACATTAATTATTTACACTAGCAAGAAATGCAGTTAACGATAGACACTAGCAAGTTTCCATAACTAATACTAATACTGCCAAAACGAATTAGTAATGTAGCTTGAGTACAGTTTCATTAATTTCGAGATAAATTTTAAATTTGATTCATTTGAAGCAGATAAAACAGTTTCTTGGTATTCTACATACACTTGACTATTTTTGAAGTAATGTTTCTTTTGTCGCGATTGGAAAAAATATTAGAGTAAAATTTAAGGAAGCGCGCGCACACCGACACCTTCAGAAAACGACATGATACTTGGTAACTAATTGAATCTGGGCAACCAATAACAACTTTTTGACATTTACCAATCATTCCAAGTTATTTAAATGAACTGTTATCAATTGCATTTAATGTTTTTACGCTAAAAAAGTATACTTCTTACCCGCGTTAATAAGTACACGTATACTTTTTTTTGTACAATGATTTTTATACTTACCTTTTTATTTCTAACCGTTAATTTCATTTAAGTTAGCTTACATTAAACCAAATGGAATAAGGGATAAAAAAAGTCTTCATTTTAAAAGAAAAAATCTATTTTTATTAAGTTATGTGTAGAACTAACCAAGCTTTTTAATCTGTAAAACATCCACATGAAAGGCTATATACAAATATTTGAGGTTACTCTGTGGTGTGTAGTAAGTCTGTGGTGTATTGTATCGGTACCGGGCAGTGTTGCCAACTTAGGGCTTTTAGCCCCAAATTAAGGGCGGAAATATGCATGTTGGGCCTTATTAGGGTTCAAATAAGTTTTGGAGCTATTCTTAGGGCTATGAATAATATTTCATAAATCAATATTTTCACTTGCCATAGTGAGTAAATTAAAAGCAAATGAAATGTTTGTTAATATTGTGTTGTTTTATTTATACTTTCAACTATTTGTAATGAAAAGTAATTAAAAACTAAGTTATATTATATTTACCCTAACAAAACCTAAAACTCATTTAAACAATATCTTTGAATTCAATACCGAGCTGTTGAAAATTGCATTTAGGGCTACTTCATCTTGATTTTAGGTTTTTAGGGTCATTTATTAATTATTTTTAGTAGTTGGCAGCACTGGTAACGGGTACGGTATTCCGTTTAGTTAACAGAACCAGAACGTGTCGTGTTTGTAAATTAATTTTGTTTATTTCTTTTATTTGGTGGATCTTGTATTAATATTTCAATTATATCATTAAGTTTTAAGGTCTTATTATTAAATGTATCAAAATTTATTCTAGAATACTATTTATCCACTTTAAATCATTTCGAAAACGGCACGAGATTTTAACAGGTGCGTACACTTTGTTATTATTTTTTAATCCATTGAAATGACAATTTTTATTTTTATAAACTAAATACTACTAGCGCTTAACAATTTACCTTATAGGCAAAAATAGCAATTTTCATATCCTACTAGTTATTTTTGTTATTGTTTAAATGAAATGAATAAACTTTTATAGATGTGATAACTGATAAATATTTTACGCTACAGATATAATCACATTAATACATATATATATAAGTAGTTCTAATTTCGTGCCTATTAATAACATGGTCATTTAATAAATACCTACCTTGAAACCTTTACTCAATAAAACATACCGTTGTATCTTATTATTAGTATTATTTCTGTTTTACATTTACAATATAAAACAGAAATAATAAAAAATTATGCCAAATCATATCATTTACATAAAAAACAAATAGTGATATTATCAACGAGCAACTACAATGAAAAAATTTTACATCACTGTTTTAATTTGAAATTGAACCGATATAAAAAAAAATTGCGAACGAAATTCAATTAACTTTTTAAAGAATCTGTTAGCATTAGTCGTTTTCGTCAATCTCGGTCTAGCTTAGTACGCCGTCTTTGCCTGTTGGCCTACATTTATAGCTTATTGTTAGAAACTATAAAATGATTCGGGTTCGTCGCTCGACGCGCATCCGTGTTTATTTACATATTTTAGTTTTAATTTTTTTTATCATTTATTTAGAACCATTTAACAATCCTGTTTACAGTAAGCTACAAATGGAATTACTTCAAGTAAAATTTTAAATATATGTTGAAACTAAAATTAAGCTTAAAATTAATGTCCTGTTGCGATTCTGCTTTTCAATGAAGAGAGATTGAAATAGGAAAACTCTAGTTTTAACTTTTAATAATCGATTTACAAAATAAATGATGAGTTGCTCGTGTCTTGTACCAAAAACTTTACGCATACGTTGTATGACACTTGGAATTTTATTTTCAACGTGAAATCAAATATACTATCAGCTTTTTAATATGTAATCACTCTCAACTATTGGAGTTGTTTAAAACTTGTTGTCGACAATAACAAAGAAAATCTGATTTTATTACAAAAATCTCGGGAAAATAGTATAAGTAGGTATTCAGGGAAAGCACCACCATGAGATCTTTGATCTACAAAATTAATAACATTTTATGATTATAAAGTAATCGACTTTATAAACTTAACAAAATGTTGTGCAAAAAAATAAAAAATAACCGCCTGTTAAACGCAACAACGTCTACTGGATGCCAGAATCACATCATAATGTAATGCCGAACTTATAAGAGCCTCATAGAGCTTAATTTATTATTTTCTTTATGTGAAAATTTGCCACCATGCCAAACGTGACAGTTCACCTGATGGTAAGTGAATACTGCCGCCCATGGACATCTGCTACACCCGAGGGTTACAGATGCGTTGACAAACCTTTTGAAAATTGGGCTCCGGCTACCTCACTCACCAGACGAAACGCGAAAGTATTTGTCATACTTCCACTTTGAGCTGGTCTTCTGTGAGGTTGTACTTACCCCGTAGCCCGTTCGTGCAACAGCCGATTGTGATTCCGAATTGCGAATTGATTTAAGTTATGATTGGTTAAAATTTGACGTGTTAATAATCGTCGCAATCCGATTTATGGCATTTGATCTTAACTTCGCTCCGGTCTGGATTTAGAAACGATAATTCGTTTATAACGTTCGCGTAAACAACAGTATGCATCTGATATGTCTTACGCCGGAAGGATAGACTCGTAAAATGCCGGTCTTTCAGATATCTGTGTCGCGTTTATTTAGTATACGTCTATTTTCTATTTTTATCTTCAAATCGGCCTATTAAAATCGACATCATGACAGAATTCTGTAAAGCATTCTTTTCTATATCACGTATGTCCATTAAACGCTATTAAAAGTACACTCTACGGTGGTAGGGCCACGCAGCAGCCTCGGCTGTTGCACGAATGGGCAGGCCCGTCCGGGTAAGTACCACGACCTCACAGAAGACCGGCGTTAAGTGGAAGTATGACAAATATTTTCGCGTTTCGTCTGGTGAGTGAGGTAGCCGGAGCCCAATTTTCAAAAGGTTGTCAACGCCTCTGTAACCCTCGGGTGTGGCAGATGTCCATGGGCGGCGGTATTCACTTAACATCAGGTGAACCGTCTGCTCGTTTGACAACTTTTCGCATAAAAAAAAACACTAAAGGGACAAGTTAAAATTAACAAGGTAACTGATGAAACTGTAAAAAAATTGTCGCACTCAGTTTGTCCATTGATTTATATCGTTTGAAAAGTATCAGTTTTTTATGTATGTGAGTGACTAAATAAATATATATTCCTTCTACTGATTTTTACAAACTTCACGTTCTTAAATTTTTCAATATCATGTATTCATGTCAGGATACATCCAAAAATGGTTAAACTCGAAAAATATAGCTCCATATACTATTGCGACTCGTACTCACCTGACAAAATGTTTATTACCACGTTTATTTATCGTTTGACGGATAAAGTCTAAGTATTTTTTAGAAGGTGGGAAGCGAGCTGGCGGTTCACATGATTTGCTTCGCCCATTGATATTCGCAAAATAAGTAGGGTTGCCGATGCCTTGCCACCTTATAATAAAGTGGGGAGCTACCTCACCAGACGAAACGTAGAAGTATAACTATTCTGCTTCACACTGGTCTTCCGTGAGGTCGTGGTACTTACCAGGACGGACCTGCCCATTGCGAACCATGCAGCAGCGAACACTGATGCGTGGCAAACTACCACAGTCGCAAAATGTAAAGAGTAATAAAATGCCTCTTATCCCCTACCACAGTGTCAAAATGTATATAGTAATAAAATGCCTCTTATTTAACAAGTTAAAACTATTTCTACAGCATAATTTTTTAATGTTAATT